GGTGCTGGGCCTGGGGGTGCTGGGACTACGGGTGCTGGAGCTGAGGGTACTGTGCCTGAGAGTTCGGCGCCTGGGGGTGCTGAGCCTGGGGGTGCTGCGACTGGGGGTGCTGAGCCGGCGTGTGCGGAGTCTGGGGGTGCTGAGTCTGGGGGTGCTGCGCCTGCGGGTACTGAGCCTGGGGGTGCTGCTACTGAGCCTACGGAGCCTCGGGTTGCTGCGTCTGGGGGTGCTCCGGTTCGGGGTGCTGAGCAGTCTCTCACACCACAGCAGCTTCGTGACTGGTACGTCCGGCGCTTTCGCCGTCCTAGTGGCTCGGCTGGAGCTGGGGGTACTGGAGCTGCCGGGACTGGTTGTTCTGGGAGCACTACGACTGGAGCTGCTGGAGCTGGGGACTCTGGAGCTGGCGGCGCTAGCGGAGTTGTAGCTGCCGACTCTGGGGGTGCTCTTCCTTGCGGTGCTGCGGACCCTGGGGGTGGTGCTGCTGCTGGTGCTGCGGACCCACCTGGTGGAGCTGCTGCTGGAGCTGAGGACCCGAGCGGTGGCGCTGCTGCTGGTGCTGGGGACCCGGACGCTGGAGTCTCTTCTGCTTCTGGAGACGCTGCGCGGCCGCGGCCGTACTTCGTACCGCTCCTTCAGCAGGTTCTTGGGCAGGCTCCTCCTCCTTGTCCTCCTCCCTCCGTAGAGTGTCCTCCGACTGTCCAGCCGCAGTCACAGTTACCGCCTACCTCGCCTCTCCCGGCTCCCTCTCCTTACACTGGTCCCACAGGAGGTCTTACAGAGCGTCGTGAGCCTGAGTCTCGTCCTGCGTCGCCTGTCCGTACTGCTCGCACTGGTCGTCGTGTCCGTCGTGAGCGTCCTCCTCCTGTCCCAGGCACTCACTACATGACTCTACGTCCCTCTACTGCTCCTCAGCGTGTCCCTCTGCCGTCTCCTCCTGCGTCCTCTTTGCCTGCTGTTCCGGACCCTGAGTCTGACCGGTATCATGCTGAGCACCCTACTGCCACGCGTCTCCTAGCTACTATTGTCACTGACCCTACCTTTGAGTCCTCGGCTGCGTCTGCTCTGGTCGCTGAGTTGGTTGACTTTGCTGCTGCCTGTCGTCTAGACTACGCTGCTCGCCTTGTTGCTGGGTCTGAGTCTGCGTCTGTCTGTCCTCCGTCCGTCGGGGGTGAGTGTGCTCTTGGCACGGACGTCCTTGAGGACAGGCAGGAGGACTTTGACTCTCTCGCGGCTGCTGTACCTCATCTCGTGGCCTGGTTGCTTGCCCCTGAGGGAGACCCGGATGCACTAGACATCCCCACTCCGCGCACTTACGCAGAGGCGATCTCGGGTCCCTACTCCTCTCAGTGGCAGACAGCCATGGACGCAGAGATGGCATCCTGGAAGTCCACAGGCACCTACGTCGACGAGGTTCCCCCTCCTGGGGCGAACATCGTCGATGGCATGTGGATTTTCAGGGTGAAGCGGCCGCCAGGTTCTCCGCCTGTCTTCAAGGCTCGTTACGTTGCTAGAGGCTTCAGTCAGCGTCAGGGGGTCGACTTCTTCCAGAACTTCTCCCCCACCCCGAAGATGACCACTCTTCGGGTTCTGCTGCACGTTGCTGCTCAGCGTGACTACGAGCTTCACTCTCTTGACTTCAGCACAGCGTTCCTGCAGGGCAGCCTGCACGAGGAGATCTGGCTGCGCCGCCCACCTGGCTTTACTAGGTCGTTTCCTCCTGGTACCCAGTGGAGCCTCCGCCGGCCAGTCTACGGTCTCCGCCAGGCGCCACGCGAGTGGCACGACACACTGAGGACTACACTTGCGGCTCTTGGGTTCGCGCCGTCTACTGCTGACCCGTCGCTGTTTCTGCGCACAGACACGTCGCTGCCGCCGTTCTACATTCTCGTGTACGTCGACGACTTGGTCTTTGCTACTGCTGACACTGAGGCACTCGCTCGTGTGAAGTCGGAGCTGCAGAAGAGACACACCTGCACTGACCTGGGTGAGCTGCGTAGCTACCTTGGCTTGCAGATCACCCGGGACAGAGCTCGCCGCACCATCACCCTGACTCAGTCACACATGGTGCAGCAGGTCCTTCAGCGCTTCGGCTTCCAGTTCTCCTCACCACAGGCCACACCTCTGGCTACCAGCCACTCGCTCTCAGCTCCACCTCCGGACGAGTCCGTAGAGCCGAGTGGCCCGTACCCAGAGCTTGTGGGCTGCCTCATGTACCTGATGACTTGCACGCGACCTGACCTCGCGTACCCTCTTAGCATCCTTGCTCGTTACGTTGCGCCTGGGAGACACAGGCGAGAGCACTGGGAGGCTGCTAAGAGGGTGCTGCGCTACTTGTGCAGTACATCAGGCATGGGGCTGGTGCTTGGAGGACGCGACAGAGTTGTCCTCACTGGCCACTCGGACGCTTCTTGGGTGGACGACCTGGCTACGCAGCGGTCGTCACAGGGTTACACCTTCAGCCTTGGCTCTGGTTCTGTCTCGTGGCGGTCCACCCGCTCTTCCTCTGTTCTCGGCTCTAGTTGTGAGGCTGAGATCTACGCCACAGCCATGGCTGCACAGGAGTTAGTGTCAGGAGCACAGACTGGAGCACAGGACGAAGCACATTGCTCTTCGCTACTTTCTTGCTCGAGAGCTTCAGCAGCGCGGTCAGCTTCGGCTTGTGTACGTGGACTCGAAGGCCAACACTGCTGATATCTTCACCAAGGCGCTCCCGCCTAGTGATCATCAGCGGCACTGTACTTCTTTAGGCCTTGTGTCCACGTTTCCTCACTTGCTCACTGCTTGACATTCTTTGTACTGTACTTTATATATATCTTGTTGCTTGCTTGCTAGGTTTTGATCACTGTGTTGCTTGTCTTGTACTATATCTAGCACTGCATGTGAACTGGCCTTGTGGCCTTTACTTGTGCTCGGAGTGTGGTGACGTTGTGATCCACCCTGGGCTTTGCTTTGCTTTGCTGGACTGGTCTTGTGACCCTTTGTTCTCCCCCACTTTGCCTATGGGGGTGTGTTAAACTGTATTATGCTTGTAGGCTGTAGTGGGGTAGCCAATATGGGGTACAACCCCAACTAGGGTTTCATATTTGTACCCAAACTTCTGCTAGTTCATTCATTCTTGCCTAGTTATTCTGAGAGCGTGTTGCTGACTGGACAAAGCCACGTCATCAAGAGCGACACTCCAGAAGCGAAGGGGAGTGTTGGAAACAATAAATTGTAAACGCCTCTGTCGTGTCGAAACACCACACCAGAAGCGAAGCACGCCATGTCGAAGCACCCGCGAGTCAACCCTCGGAGGTTAAAAGAGGTTGCTGGAGGTTACGCGAAAGTCAAAGGTCAAGCGACCTTTGACCTGACAAATACAGCGCGACAGTTAAGGACACACAACTGACTCGTTACAGAGCAGTTGCCCGAGTCGTACTGTATCGAACCGCAACAGCAACAGTAAAGTAGTTACAAACTGCATCCTTTCATATTCCTTGTATTATTATATAATCTTGTACTTCCTTGCTATAATCAATCTACTTTGCCCTCACATACCAGCGCAAGGTGGTTCACAAACTTTTGTTAAACGCTTCCGCTATTACAACACTATCCATCCAGAGTTCTCCCTTGAAAGATCCTAAGGGGCTATCTCAGCCCAACATATCACACTACAAGTAGTTGCATTGAATCGGCTATTATAATGAGTACAATTTGTATATTATTATTATTATTATTATCATAATATGTCTAAAATATAATCCCGCTAAAGGTAAAAAAATATATATATATATATTCGTTCAACGTAACATACGGACCAAAATTCATTATGTATGGGAACAAACAATTGTAGATGGGGGAATAACACATAAACATTTGTCACTAATTTGGCCGGTGTCATGTCTATGTCGAGTATTAAGCACCTACGCAACCCATACGACGTTGAACGTCGAGTCTAGTAAGTTCTGGATATTATTGCTATAATTGTCATAAAGACAGGTCCAGTGCTCCCCTCCATTTATGTAAATATTTCAAACTCTGAAAGTTGGCAGCAGAAGGCTTGTCCTTAACTCACAAATTTATCCTCTCTACTTATGAATAGATAGCTAACTCTGGAATATTGTTCGCAGCAGAAGGCTTAGTTGTCACGACTCACAACTAATCGAGACATGAGACATTAACGAGTATAGTGGAATTGGTTTCGTTACAAAAAGGGTAACCAGCTGCTGTGGTCCTCGCAAGCGATGGCATGAGTGTGTCCACCGTGGCATTCGCGATCGAATCTTCAAAATTCCAGTCCAGCAAAGTGTTGTTTCAGGGCTCGCGTGTTTCGTTTCGCCCAGAATAATTGGCTCACAGCCTCATAGCCCCACATTGCCATGGGATCTTTCAATACTTCACCCGTTTGGGGCTGCGTGGCACAGGAGTCCACGCTTCGCCAGCAGAGGATATGTCCAAGCCTCTCCTCATGGATCAAGAGAAACGCTTGCGTGGCAAGTCCCTGCCACATGTTTTGCCACGTGGATAAACTATGTTCCTCCAGCCATTTTCCCCAGCCCGAATCAGTGCCAGCGCGCAGCCACTTCCGCCACTCCCGCGAGCGCCACCAGATCCACCACAGTCCAGCTGCCTGATCCGTCCGCAGACCTTCCGCAAACGCCAGGCGCTCACGGCCCGCAATGGGAGAACTTCCCCTCCGCTCTGGCGCCGAGCGTTCCATACCAAACCAACCAACCCACCACGGCGCATGGCATTCCAAATTCCAAACCAAACAATCCCAGGCTGCTACTACACCGCCTGACCAGTGACCATCTGCCTGACCAGTAACGACCATCCATGGCTGCCTCTTGAAAGGAACCGGAATTCGTCGTCAGCCGTTCAATGCGAGTTGGAGCATCCCCTCCTGCTTCTCAAAAGCGTCGCATTTCTTCAGATTGCACAAGACGCGCAGAGCAGCGAGCCTCGATTCACTCTTACGAAATTCGCCTGCTAGTCTCTGTTGCCACCTGTGCCAGGTAGCCATGGCGACTGTCACCATCCCCGCCGCTAAGGCGTCGCTCGCGCCCGTCGCGCGCAGCGAGAACAAGTCGGCAGGCGCCGCGAAAGTCGGGTTTGCTTCGTCTGGCCTTGCTGGAGCTCGCCTCACCACCAAAGCGCCTCGCGCCGCCAAGCAGGCTGCTACTAACGCCAGACCCGCCGCTCCTCGCGCCGTGATTGACTCCAGCGGCGCCAAGGATGTCTGCATGGACCCTGACGTCAGCCAGGTCAGGCCAGTCATGGAGACGCGTGAATCTTCTATGAATCTTTTAGTATCTAGGGCAATGTCGTCATCGTCTGTAGTTACGGACCGTGGTCGTCACGTAGAGTAGGTAGATTAGTCGAGCTTGACGGGTGTCTTTGCCTGACACGTGTCACCAGGTATCGCTCCTGTGTCCCTGACATCACTCAGACGGTCAATTTGTAGAGTTCCTCTTACGGCATTCAGGGGTGGTCAACGTCCCACGTCCTTGATGCATCTGAATATATGGCCACACCGCTTCGTCGCATTTGGCGGTTCGCTTTCATGCTTGCTCTGCCGCAAGTCCGTGGCGACGATTCTTGTTGTAGGCTTCTGGACGCAGATAATAAAGACACTAGTTCGATTCATCAATACTATCTCCATCAATCTTCATGTTATGTCCTTGCTGTTCCTCCGTTGTGACAATCAGAGCGTTCTCGGAATCATTCTCGGCGGTGGTGCCGGCACTCGCCTCTACCCGCTCACCAAGAAGCGCGCCAAGCCCGCCGTGCCTCTGGGCGCCAACTACCGCCTGATCGACATCCCCGTTAGTAACTGCATCAACAGCAACATTGTGAAGATCTACGTGATGACGCAGTTCAACTCGGCGTCACTCAACAGGCATCTGTCGCGCGCGTACACGAGCAACATGGGTGGTTACAAGACGCAGGGTTTCGTCGAAGTGCTCGCAGCGCAGCAGAGCCCCGAGAATCCCAACTGGTTCCAGGTAAGCAACATCCCAGGTTCATTTTTTATTGAAATATCCAGGGAAGCGATATCCGGGATGCTTCAACTATCGCGCGGCCAGTTTCCTCTTGGTCTTATACCACGGTCCAGATTGCAAGCCTACATCTGCTCAAGCTTGACGCGAAGTCGACTGGGCAAGTTCGTCTGAAGGAGCGCACTGACAATGGCTGATGCTGACGTTTGATGGAATCGGATGGCCTGGGTGCGGGCGTGTTGTTGCGAGCTGACCAGGATTGCTCGATGAGCGACCACAATCTGTTGTCGCTGCGTGATGTCGCCCTCGCAGGGGGGAGCAAACAATGTTGAGGCGGCCATTCTGCGGTGTGTTGCAACTTGCTGTCGTTTCGTGTCTTCCAATGTAGGGCCGTGCCTTCGCTCCCTTCACCCGCGGCAGTATCCGTGGCAGCTTAAAGGACGGCCAGGATTGCCGTACGGACCACCGCGTGCCGGCCCCTTATCGTCACCCGTCGCATTCTCCCGTTCCACCCCGTGTCCCTTTTTTCCCTTCAGGGCACGGCGGACGCGGTGCGGCAGTACCTGTGGCAGCTGGAGGAGCAGAACGTGCGGGCAGTATTTGATTCTCGCGGGCGACCACCTGTACCGCATGGACTACCATTCATCAAGTGCCACCGCCCGCTGCTCTCACCCCCCCCTCCCTCTTTCATTTCCTTTCCATCCCGTGCGGAGGTCCCAGTGGGATCTCAATAGACGGCCAGGATTACCGCACGGACTCTCATCGTACCAGCGGTTCACCAAGTGCTTTTCGTCCTTCCCTCCCTCCCAACCCAACCCATCCGTCGACTTCCCGTCTTCCCGCCGCAGGGCACGGCGGACGCGGTGCGGCAGTACCTGTGGCAGCTGGAGGAGCAGAACGTGCAGGAGTACCTCATTCTGGCCGGAGACCACCTGTACCGCATGGACTACCAGCGCTTCATCAAGTGCCACCGCGAGAACGACGCCGACATCACCATCGCCGCGCTGCCCATGGACGAGAAGCGCGCCGAGGCCTTCGGGCTCATGAAGATCGACGACACGGGAAGGATTGTTGAGTTTGCGGAGAAGCCCAAGGGGGAGGCCCTCAAGGCCATGCAGGTGCGTGATTGATCCGTGATGGGTCCGTGTTTTGTCGGTGTCCTCTGAGTTGACTGAAAAGGGAAGCCGATAGTCGCGGCTGTGAGGGCCATGGGGGTGCCTTCGGGCTCATGAAGATCGACGACACGGGGCGCATCGTCGAGTTCGCGGAGAAGCCCAAGGGGGAGGCGCTCAAGCCCATGCAGGTGCGTTCTTTCCCCATCTCCCTTCCCCCCACGACACTCCACCTTGCAAGGAGTTGCGGTGCATCACATCGATGGGCGTCCACGTCGTCACCAATACCGTATTCCCGTTTTCCATCGCATTCCCCTTCTATCCACCTCCTCCACCCACCCCCCCCCCTCCCCCTCCCCTTTCCCCCCCCCCCCCCCACCCCCGGCTCCCAACCCAACTCTTCCGCTTCCTCGTAACCCCGCAGTTGGACACGACGATCCTTGGATTGGACGCGGAGCGCGCCAAGGAGCTGCCGTACATCGCGTCGATGGGCATCTACGTCATCAGCACCTCCCTCGTTTCCCCGTCCTTCTCCCCTCGCCTTTCCCCTTCTTCCCCCGCACGTCCTCCCCCCTTCTCCCCCGCCCCCTCCAGGTCGACACCACGATCCTGGGGCTGGACGCGGAGCGCGCCAAGGAGCTGCCGTACATCGCGTCCATGGGCATCTACGTCATCAGCAAGGACGCCATGATCCGCATGCTCGCACAGGACTTCCCCGACGCCAATGACTTCGGCTCTGAAGTCATTCCCGGCGCGTGCGCCAAGGGCGCCAAGGTGAGCCAGCGACACGCCGTGAGGTGACCGTGAGAGGCGGCGAGAGGCCGTGAGAGGCCGTGAGAGGCTGTGAGAGGCCGTGAGAGGCCGTGAGAGGCCGTGAGAGGCCGTGAGAGGCCGTGAGAGGCCGTGAGAGGCCGTGAGAGGCCGTGAGAGGCCGTGAGAGGCCGTGAGAGGCCGTGAGAGGCCGTGAGAGGCGGTGAGGCAAGGACGTCATGATCGGCATGCTCGCCAACATTCCCATCAGGTGCTAACCTTTGCTTTTGTAGACTTGCAAACGAAACCATCAGGTGCAAGCGTTGATGTGCGATGGGTACTGGGAGATCATTGGACAATGCCAACCTCAGCACCAGGGCTCACTCATCTCCTCCGTTTCCATCCCATCCCCTTTATGGTCATATCTCATTACCCCCCATCAGGTGCAAGCGTTCCTGTACGACGGGTACTGGGAAGACATTGGAACCATTGAGGCCTTTTACAACGCCAACCTCAGCACCACGCAGCCCGACTCGCCCTTCAGCTTCTACGACCGCTCTGCACCCATCTACACCCAGGCGCGCTACCTGCCGCCCTCCAAGCTGCAGAGCGTGGACATCTCAGAGAGCGTCATCGGAGAGGGGTGCATCATTGAGGTGAGGGCGCTGTGATTCGCAGGACTGGTATTGAAAGAAGCACTGCACTGCACCCATCTGCACCGAATGCACCCATTCGCACACGTCGACGCCTCATGTTGCCGTCCAAGCTGCATAGTGTTGGCATCTCAGCGAGCGGCATCTGAGAGCTCATTGGCGAGAGTTGCACCATTGAGGTGAGGGCGCTGTGATGGTGAGGAGATGGGAGTTGGCACTACACCCATCCACACTGCATCGCATGCTGCTGCTCAAGCTGCAGAGCGTCGACATCTCAGAGAGCGTCATTGGGGAGGGGTGCATCATTGAGGTGAGAGCGCTGTGGTTCGGAGGACAGGTGTTAGAGGAGAGGCTTCAGCGAGATGAGAGTTGGCATTCCACCCATCCACACCCAAATGCACCGCATGCTGCTCTTCAAGCTGCCATTCTGAGGTCAGATGGGTGAAGGTGGGAGGGCTTGTTGAGCGAGATTGGAGTGTGGTTGACAAGGGGGGTGTTACAATTGCACCTGTACACATGCAGGCACGCTACTTGCTGCCCTCCAGTTTTCCAAGCATAATCAGGGAAGGGTGCAATATCCTGGAGGGGTGTGACATGCTTTGACTTTTGGTGTGTGCATTTGACTGGTAATGGTCAGCCCCCACCTGCTTTGAATGGTAATGGTAATGGTAATGCGTGATGGTTTGCCTTCCATACACAGTATGATCTCATTCCTCAACCACTTCTACTTCTCACCTCTCGTAACCCCATTCCGAGCTCTCACCATCCTTCTGCACTCCCATTTCCCCTGCATCCTCTGCTTGCTGCAGGACTCGCAACTACACCACTCGGTGATTGGCCTTCGTGCCAAGATTGGTGCAGGGTCCATCATCAAGGACACGCTGGTCATGGGCGCTGATTACTACGAGGTGAGAGGCCTTTGAATGCTGGGCAGTTGTGCCATGCTGAAGAGTACAAGTAGGCGAGTGTGTGTGCTGCTAGTATCGCAACTAATCAGTACAGGGTCCATCATCAAGGACACACTTGTCATGGGCGCTGATTACTACGAGGTGAGAGCGCTGTGGTGCTGACCAGTCATATGAGGGAAGTTTGAATCGTTGCTGTAGGGGCCGTCAGTCAGGACCGTCTTAAAGTACGGTTGACGAATTAGCACCCTTGTCGGGGGCATCAATGAGTAGTGATGTGAGTGTTGTGATGGTGCCGAATGGTGTGAGGAATGAGTGGGTGCTGAACATGCAACAGGCTTCCCAACCACCTCTCGCAGTGCATCCACAGCACCTGCTTTCCTCCCAATGTAACCCTCCTTTACCTCCCTTTACCATGCTCGTGGCATCTCGTTCCCCTGCTCTAATCAGACGGAGGACCAACAGGATGCGCTCCTAGCCAGTGGCGGTGTGCCGATTGGCATTGGGAAGAACGTGGTGATTCAGAAGGCCATTATCGACAAGAATGCGCGCATCGGGGACAACGTGCAGATCATTAACAAGGATCAGGTGGAGGAGGCAGCCCGGGAGACGGACGGTTACTTCATTAAGAGCGGCATCGTTACAGTCATCAAGGATGCTGTTATCCCTCCCGGCACTGTTATCTAGATTTTTGGAGCTCTGTGGTTGCTCAGTTTGGTGAAATTTTGATTTTGTTGTGGTATTATGCATTGGGCTCTTGGTGATTGTATTGAGGTTGAACATTAGCATTGATAGGTTGAGGCATGTAATTGAATATTGCGTAATTTAAGGTGGTTCATTCTACATATGTTGGGTAGGTCCTGAACAGGAGCCTGGTGTTTCAGGATTCTTCACACTGATTTCCCCCCTCATTTAGGGCGCGTAACCATTTTGTCCTGACGGTTCGTTAGACGGACAGTCCGTTGTAAACGCTGTGTGATTGGTCGTCACTGCCCTCACGAACTACATTACAGTGTTACGGTTTGTTGCGAGGGCAGTGCCAGCCAATCAGAGACCGTACAGAACGGACCGTCCGAAAACGAACCGTCAGGAGCAAAATGGTTACGCGCCCTTAATATCTGAAATCTGGCACTTCCTTATTCCATCCATTCTTCTGTCTTACACCCCTGAACACACAGATGTACTCACTCGGGCGACAATAATTGTTGCATATATATAGCTGGCATATGGATAAGGGGCACACTGGTATATGATACCGTTTAATGGAAATTGTTGGGATGCACTACACCCGACACGACACCATCTAATTGTGATGCCGTTTACAAGTGCCAATTTCCAACATTCTCGAGTCGTGTCCCTCATCCCGACATTCCCATATTAGTACGCAATCACCTAACCTGGATAAGGTCCAGCCAAATGGGCTGTGCGGTGAAAAGGGGGACAGCGCGCAGCGCATGGCAAGAAAACTGCGCACGCGGAGTTGTTATTGGATTGGAAGCCGCCGTAAATCCCAGAGCGGCTGCCCACCACCCACCACCAACACCGTGATGGTGACCTCCCTAGAACCTGCCGTCCCCCGGTTTCCCGACCAGCGGGCAGCCCCAACCAGCGGCTGTTTCGTTCCTGCTGCCCGCGACCCTACGTGACACGAAACCTGTTTCGGGGGACACACCAAGCTCAGACGCGGATCGTGTGCGGGGAGGCGGCTTTCACGGATGTCGGCAGGGTGTTTCCGTCGGGGCGACGAGCTCGAGCTCCGCGGGCTGTTCTCGAGATTCGGGGGGTGATTTCTCGAGCCCCAGAGTCCTTTCCACGTTCCCGTTCGCCTGCCTGTTCCTCCAAGGCATGGGGCAGTTCCTAGGCGAGCACTCCCCACATAGTTTCAAGAGAACAGCCTGCTTGTACCTGCCTGTTCAGCTCAAATCATTGTTGCTAACGGTTGGCCCGCCTTTTTACTCAGCGGGCCATATCACTCGTCCGAGGAGAGCTCTATTCTATCCGTTGATATAAATCTTGAATTCGACTTGCCCATACAGAGACAAGCTCTTCGCGCTGTGAGTGGTGTCCGTTACCCCGCCAAGCAACATGGCATATCGTCGGCGTATTTTCGGGTCTGCAGCAGCGTGTCTTGTACTGCTGCTCATTTCGGCCGCTAGTGTTAACGGCCAGCCGGTCGCGTTGCCTGACATTTCGTCGTACGATAACGTGGCGATTATGAGCGACGGATTCGAGCTGCACTGGAGCGTGAACGACACCGCATCTACGATTAGCATTGCCGCGAAGGCTCAGACCGCGGGATGGCTCGCTATAGGCCTCTCCGAAGTTGGCACGATGGCAGAAAGGTTTCTGCTTTCCTTCACAATCTGACTAATCTAACAATTGTGAAGGAAAGCAGAAACCTTTTCTCTTTCTTCCTTTCTTTCTTTCTTTCTTTCTTTCTTTCTTTCTTTCTTTCTTTCTTTCTTTCTTTCTTTCTTTCTTTCTTTCTTTCTTTCTTTCTTTATTTTCCAGGAGCGTTGCTTGTATCAACTTCTATCTATCGGTGTTTTATGTCTGTGCATAGCCTCTCGTGCAACCTGTGGACCCTGACTTGGGTCGTACCCGGTGTAACAGTAGGACCTCTCAGCTTCTACCATTTTTTTTTATTTTTTTTTTTTGGAATGTTCTTTTTCTGCTGTGCGACAGATGTTCTCGTCGCATGGATCGCAGACGGGAGCGTGTACGCGACGGACCGGTTCATCTTCAATAAGTCGGTGGAAGGCGTCGCATTGGACGACCAGCAAGACTGGCGCGTGCTGGGCGGTTTTCAAACCACCGACCAAACCACGGGCGACACGTGGACCACCGTGCACGTGTGGCGAAAGCTGGACACCGGCGACTGCAACGACCGCCCCGTTGTCGCGGGGCGACTGCAAAACGTCATCTGGGGAAAGGGCGAAACCAGCGAATTTGGTTACCATGGGACGTCATCTCGTGGCTCCGCGGCGCTCGTGCTGGTCCCCGCGCCAGCCCCCTCCATCCTTGCGCCCCCGTCGCCCCCTTCCGCCTCTTCCGCGTCCGCGGAATCGGGCAGTCAGCGCGCCGCGGATCTCGGGCAGGCGAACGGGCAGGTGAACGGGCAGGAGCAGCAGCTGAACTGGACTCTGAACAACTTCGCGGTGCCTGCTAATAACGACACGACTTACGTGTGCAAGGTAAGGTCGCCGCAGGGATTCGCAGGGGGGATTTGCAGTCTCCTTTCTGCTATCATCCATTCACTCTCGTGCTTTTGTGTGTGTTCTGCCCGTGCCTGTGGCTGTTCCTGTGCCCGTGCCTGTCCCTGTTTCCGTCCCTGTCCCTGTCCCAGTGCCCATGCCCGTGCCCGTGCCCGTGCCCGTGCCCGTACCATTGCTTCTGCCTCTGACTCTGCCTCTGCCTCGCGTCCCCGCCTCGTCCCTTTTCCCCCTCTCCTCTCCCCTCGTATTTCCCATATTATTCCCCTCCTGTTTTCCACTTAATCCCTTCTTCTCCCCTCCCCTGCGCATAACGGAGACGTTTGGTGCGCATAACGAAGCTCCTTTTGATTCCCCCTTCTCATTCCCCTCTTCTCCTCCGTTTCGCCTCCCATTCCACCTCTCTTCCCACCCTGTGCGTGCGTGCGTGCGTGCGTGCGTGCGTGCGTGCGTGCGTGCGCAGACGTTTGACCTGCCATTCACCAACAAGGTGCATATAACAGAGTTCGGTGTGCTCCTCAACTCCACCTACCCGCCCTCCGTCCACCACGCCATTGTCTATGGCTGCTCGCAGTAAGTCAGCGTCCAAGTTGACCTTTGAGTCGATTCTTTGAGTTGGCTTTCGAGTTGACATTTGAGTTGGCTTGTGACTTGTCGTCGGTTGAATCAACACTTATGTAACAATCGAGTTTACTTTTGAGCTACTCCTTCCCCCTTTCCCCTTCTCCCTTCCCCTTTCCCCCTTCCTCCTCCCGTTTTCCCCTTCCCTCCTGTCCCCTTACCCCTCACCCCAGGGCGGAATACCCCAACATAGCCAAAGCCAAGGGTCAGTTTGACTGCATCACAGCGCCCCTGCCCTGCCTCACAACCATTGCCATGTGGGTTATAAGCGGCCGTTCCTTCATCTCCCCTCCCCTCTCCTCCCTTCTCTCTCCCCTTCTCTCCCCCCCAGGTCGGAATACCCAAATATTGCCAAGGCCAAGGGTCAGTTTGACTGCATCACAGCGCCCCCGCCCTGCCTCACAACCATTGCCATGTGGGTTATAAGCGGCCGTTCCTTCATCTCCCCTCCCCTCTCCTCCCTTCTCTCTCCCCTTCTCTCCCCCCCAGGTCGGAATACCCAAATATTGCCAAGGCCAAGGGTCAGTTTGACTGCATCACAGCGCCCCCGCCCTGCCTCACAACCATTGCCATGTGGGTTATAAGCGGCCGTTCCTTCATCTCCCCTCCCCTCTCCTCCCTTCTCTCTCCCCTTCTCTCCCCCCCAGGTCGGAATACCCAAATATTGCCAAGGCCAAGGGTCAGTTTGACTGCATCACAGCGCCCCCGCCCTGCCTCACAACCATTGCCATGTGGGCCATAGGCGGCCGCCCCTTTCTCTACCCCGATGGGGTGGGCTACCCTGTGGGGCCCGGTTACTTCACCAGATTCGTGCTCCAGGTGCGTTGATGCAGTGCACAGTGGTTCAGTGCGGTTCCGTAGCAATATGGGCTTTACGCGGTCGCCCCTTCTCCCTCTGCTTCACTCACCTGGTCTGGGACTATATCCATGTATATTTATATGTTTATATCTGTTGTATTTATTACTTGTGTATAATTATCACATATGTACGTTTTTTCAAATATCTTTGCTTCTTCTCCCTCCTGTCCCCCCTTTTCGCTCACTCCCCACGTGCATCTAACGACTCTGATCTGCTCTTATGGACCCAAACCACCACTTGCCCTGTGGGGCTTCAACCCTCCCCCCTCCCTCTTTCCCTCCTCCCTCTTTCCCCCTCTCTCTTTCCCCCCTCTCCTGTTTCACTCCCCAGGTGCATCTGAACAACCCTGATCTGCGCACCGACATCGTGGATAACTCCGGCTTCTACCTCAAGATAGCCGACCCGCCTCGCCCCACGGACGCGGGCATCATGCTCACAGGCCCGGTCGACTACACCTCGCTGATCCGCATTCCCCCCGGCATGCCCTCCTGGCCATGCCGGGTTGAAGACCCAAACCAGCACGTGCCCTGTGGGCCTTCATCACCCTCCCCCCTCCCTCTTTCCCCCCTCCCTCTTTCCCCCTTCCCTCTTTCCCCCCTCCCTCTTTTCCCCCTCCCTCTTTTCCCCCTCCCTCTTTCCCCCCTCCCTCTTTCCCCCCTCCCTCTTTCCCCCCTCCCTCTTTCGCCCCTCTCCTGTTAACTCCCCAGGTACACCTGAACAACCCTGATCTCTGTTCCGACATTGTGGATAGCTCTGGCTTCTACCTCAAGATAGCCAACCCCCCTCGCCCCACCGACGCGGGAATCATTCTCACGCCCCCCCGGCCCCCTCCCACACTCCTCACTCCCAACTCTCTGTCCCACTCCCCAGGTGCACCTGAACAACCCTGACCTGCGCTCTGACATTATCGATAACTCCGGCTTCTACCTCAAGATAGCCAGTGCTCACTGGCCCCGTAGACTACACCTCGCTCATCCGCATCCCCCCCGGCATGCCCTCCTGGACCCAAACCACCAGGTGCCCCAGCGCGTGCCCTGTGGGGCTTCAACCCTCCCCTCTCCCTCCCTCTCCCCCCCCCTCTCTCCTGTTTCACTCCCCAGGTGCACCTGAACAACCCTGATCTCCGCTCTGACATCGTGGATAACTCCGGCTTCTACCTCAAGATAGCCGACCCGCCTCGCGCCACGGACGCGGGAATCATTCTCACAGGCCCGGTCGATTACACCAACCTCATCCGCATTCCCCCCGGCATGCCCTCCTGGACCCAAACCAGCAAGTGCCCTGTGGGCCTTCACCCCTCCTCCCTCCCTCTCTCCCCCCTCTCCTCCCCACTCCCCAGGTGCACCTGAACAACGCTGATCTCCGCTCCGACATCGTCGATAACTCGGGGTTCTCCCTCAAAATCGCCGACCCGCCTCGCCCCACGGACGCGGGGATCATTCTCACAGGCCCGGTCGATTACACCAACCTCATCCGCATTCCCCCCGGCATGCCCTCCTGGACGCAAACCACCACATGCCCTGGCGCGTGCACGAGTGCTGTTCTGAGGAATGCGAGCGGGGGGTGACGGTGATTGGTTCGGGCTTGCACCTGCACACTTCGGGAAGGCAGCTTTACACGGATGCGTACCGGGGAGGGAAGAAGGTTGCTGAGATTGATCGGCTGGATTACTAGTGAGTGTGGTTGTGTGGGTTTGGGTTCATGCATCCATGCATCCATGCATCCATGCATCCATGCATCCATGCATCCATGCATCCATGCATCCATGCATCCATGCATCCATGCATCCATGCATCCATGCATCCATGCATGTATGCACACATGCATGTATGCATCCATGCATGTATGCACACATGCATCCATGCATCCATGCATCCATGCATGTATGCACACACATGCACACATGCACACATGCATACATGCACACATGCATACATGCATCCATGCATACATGCATCCATGCATCCTTACATCTATGCATGTATGCACACATGCATACATGCACACATGCATACACACATCCATGCATACATGCATCCACGCATCCATCATGCTTGTATGCATCCATGCATCCATGCATCCATGCATCAATGCATGTATGCATCCATGCATCCATGCATGTATGCACACATGCATACATGCACACATGCATCCATGCATGTATGCACACATGCGTCCATGCGCCCATGCATCCATGCATGTATGCACACATGCATCCATGCATCCATGCATCCATGCATCCATGCATCCATGCATCCATGCATGTATGCACACATGCACACACGCATACATGCACACATGCATCCATGCATCCATGCATCCATGCATCCATGCATCCATGCATCCATGCATGTGTGCACACATGCATGTGTGCATCCATGCATACATGCATCCATGCATCCATGCATGTATGCACACATGCGTCAATGCGTCTATGCATCCATGCATGTATGCACACATGTTTCCATGCACATATGCATCGATGCATCCATGCATCCATGCGTCCATGCATCCATGCGTCCATGCATCCATGCGTCCATGCATCCATGCGTCCATGCATCTATGCATGCTTCCTGCTTCTTTCTCTTCCCTCTCTTTCCTCACAACCCTGCCTTCTTCCCTCTCTTCCCTCCTAAATCCCTGTTGCCGCAACGCCAATTCGCAGCAAGCGCAGCCCATCTGTCCGCACTTCCAGCTACGGCCACATGTCCCCCTCTTTCCTCTCCTCCCGCCCCTCTTCCCTCTCTTCCCTCTTCTCCCTCTTCCCTCTTCTCCCTCTTCCCTCTCTTGCGTCCCGACCCAAATCCCTGCCACAGTGATTCCAACTCGCAGCAGCTGCAGACCCCACACTACCAGCTGTTGCCCTTAAGTCCCGTTCTCCCCTCTTCCCATTCCCCCCCATCCCTTCCCACCCCTTTCCATCCTTCCACTCTTGCAGTAATTCCAATTCACAGCAAGTGCAGCCCATCTACCCGCACTACCAGCTGTTGCCAGGGGACGAGCTCAAGACCACGTGTGTGTGGGACTCCACTTCCCGCTCCCAGGTATGCGTATGGCCCGTCTCAAAAGCTTTGTTTGTTTGAGGTCTGAGACGTCTCAAAAAGTGTGTGGGGCTCCTCCTGTCGCTCCCATGTACCCACCACTTTTGAGATACCTCATCAATCATGTTTATATATATATATACATATATATATGTATACATACATGCATACATTTATATACATATATACACACATATATGTATATATATATATATATATTGTTGTGAGACATTCAAAATCGTCCCTTTTCTTATGGGTTTCCCAAGGGCGCTTCAAGGGTGGGCCTCCCTTCATCTTTCTCTCGCTCTTCTGCCCTTTCCCCAGTCTCTCTCCCATCCCTTAGACATTTCCCCATCCCAGTTCCCCTAATTGCTTTTCAACACCCCCATTTCTCCACCTTTTTGTGTCTTGTCCGCATGTGTTGCTGCTCTCCAATCCGCAGGTGACACCTGGCGGCCCATCCACGAGTGATGAGATGTGTGTAGATTACCTCATCTACTATCCTGCCAGGCCGACCCAAGGTGGGAAATGGGGGGATGGGGAGAGCATTGTGCCAGCCCGAAGTGAGCCACGGGAGAGAGTGTTTATAACAATCTTCAAAACACCCATCAATCCACCAGTAATGAGATGTCCAGGCCGGTCCAAGGTGAGCAATGGGGATAGTTTTTTTTTTCTATAATTTCTCAAAGGCACACATCACTCCACCAGTAATGAAATATGTGTTTTTGAAAGTTCTCTGAGACACTCATCACTCCACCAGTGATGAGATGTGTGTGGACTACCGCATCTATTATCCTGCCAGGCTGAACCAGTGTGAGCGATGGGGAGAGCTGTAAGCAGGGATTAGTGGAGTGAGTATAGAGATTTGTGAAGCGAGTGTTAGGGGTAATGATAGAGTAGGAATTTGTCAGTTTTTAAGTTAATTGTGGGAATTGGTAGAGAGGGTAAGTACCGGTAGAAAGGGTCGGGGTTCGTACAGAGTGAGGGATCAACTTGAAGCTCTTCTCGCTCTCCCTTGTTTTTCTTCCCCCTTCCTCCGCTGCAGTGCTCGGTTCGTGCTTTGACTTCTGTGCGGCATTCAACAGTGTCAACAACACATTTGACATGAACCCCAAGAACCCCAACCTCACCACATTCTACTTCTGTGGTGGCCTCGAGAACCCCTACGTTCCCACCGCAAACAAGTGTAGCATTAGCCATGGTGCCAACGTGCCTTTCAAGGTTCTCACCGGCTGCCCTGCTAAGTAAGTCTTTTACATGGTTGCTGCTTGTGCAGCGTGGGCCGTGGTGCTAATGTATTGGCTTCGCTCGCTTTCTGGCTGCTGTTCTAGTGCCATTGCCATCCCCGTGTTACTCACGGCAGCAACACTCCTCCTGCTCCTCCCAGCTATGCCGCGTTCTGCTTCTCCCTCTGACCCATTTTCTCTTCGTGCCTCCCATATATCCTCCCGCCTGCACCATATTTATCTCCCCGTATGCAGGACTGCAGGCTCGTTGGCTACCCTCTCAAGCAGCAACATTTCTGTGCCCGTGTCATCACCCACTAGCAGCACTGCTCCACCACCTCCCACTAGCCCTTCCAGCAACTCAACTGGAAGCACCAACTCTACCAAGGCTGCTACAGCCTTGTTTGCCAAGCTGTCGTTGGGTCTCTTTACTGTCTTCTGCACTCTTTTTGCGTCCATGTAGCTGTTTTCTCCACGTTTCTGTGGCTGTCGTGTGAGATAGACGCGTGAGACGAAGTGGTCATAAGTCATTGGTGGTTGCGGTTGCAGGCTTGGTGAGGCATGTACCTTGCTATGTATGTGACAGTTGCTTATTAAAGCCAGCAGGCAAAATAGTGACCCCCCCCTTCTAGTTGGGCCCAACTTGAATCTTCTGTTTTTGAATCTTCTGTTTTTGAAATATATCAAGCTTCACAGCAACCGAGCAGGGCTGGTGTACCCAAACGTTTGTGCAGGAATCACGACCAATCAAGAGCATCGCCCCAATGTGCAGAGACACACACGGGCCCATATGGTTTTCGCACAGTAGTGCTAAACAAACTTGTTTCTCCCGTCAGTTATGTCAGACCTAACAGTAAGTTTCCCCCCATTCCCTTGAGTGACCCATGCGGCCATTTCAAGCTGGGCTGGGGGTCACAATTTTGCAGTCTCGTTTTAAATGTTGCTGCTCTGACACTATTGTGCGCACTGAGGGTACATTCCGCTGTGGACATGCGTCCCAATCGATGTGTCCCAATCGGGTGTACCGCACTGAATCTTATTACACCGAATTACACCCTAGTTCCAAAATTTTTCGCTTCTCTGGTTTAGTGCGGTTCGGAGCGGTACACCCGATTGGGACACATCGATTGGGACGCATGTCCACAGCGGAATGTACCCTGAGAGTGGAGTGAGATGAGCAATGCCAGCTGACAGCTAAAATAGTAGTTGATTGCTGGCCGAAACGTACATCAAGTTTTTCTTGTTGGAAGGTGAATTTTTGTAGACTACCAAGATCTAACTCCCTCACAGAATTGGATTACTTCTAATTTTGTGCTGATGGCCAAGAAAGGGCATTGCAGGATGTCCTACACAGCATTTACCTGATGCAGTGCTCACTGTGAGACACCAATGGAGACTAGCTCCACTTCAAATTCAATTACTTGCTCAGCCAGTGGATGGTTTGCATCAATGACAACGTAGTCCTTGCCAACCTGCAATGAATGAAAGAGGAATCCAAATTTCATTCTCACCAAACTTAAAGTGATGGGGGCTGTGAAATGCAGTGGTTAAGGAGAGATATTGACTGGGTGCTTGAAACTGACCTCTAGAATCTCCGCAGGGCCGCCGTTTGCAAGCACAACAACAGCTCCCGCTTTGAGCTCTCCCCCTTGCTCCTTTGTGAGTCTCTGAATCTCCTCATGGTCCTTGGGTACTCGGAAAATCATGTCATCGGTCTTTGCCATCGGTGCTGACTGTATGGTGCGGCTTTGGCCAACTGCCAAACCTTTCACTGCCTCATCAAACCCCTGTTCTCACGTAAAAAAGAATCAGCCCAGAGAGCCAATCAGAGTGTGAATGACAAGGAGCCTGGAGTTGAGTAAACATCTGATTGGTTGTCACCTTGAAGAGAGGATTTCCGACGAAGTTCCCAGCACCGACTTCAAACGTCAATACTTCATCATCGCCAGATGCATGAAGCACCTGCGTTCATTCGACAATCATGATGAGGCCCTGGTGAAGGCATTGGAAATAAGAGATTTCGACGAGGGAAAGGGAACGAGCTTGAGCACGAACCTCACCCTCCAGTGTCTTGCACACGAATTTCACATTCACCATGTCCCCCTCCCTTGCTACCGCTTCGCCTGGAACAGACATGCGAGGGGCAAACGGGATACCCAGGCCGCCAGATAATAGCGATGGTCACCGAGGCCAGTGTTTTCTTCCCTCACTTTCCCGGCAAGTGATTGCACATTGCCTACCCTTGTGCTCTCAAGTTCAACATATTTGATTCACCATGATTGGAAAAACATCGCAGTTTGGATTCATGCTTCTGGTCATGTTTTACTCACCGCCGTCGCAAAAAGATGCCCTCGCGCCATTGCTCCTCCTCGACATTGTCCTGACAGGTCGAGGCTGGACCTGAAGCGTTGTTGTCCGTGCGGCATGCCTGCTGATGCAACAGCTGGACTGAATGGTTTGCAAGCTTATTCTAGAAGCAGCAATTAGCACCATAGAAGCTTGGCATTGCAACGTAGTCATGATGAAGACCTGATCGAAGACCCTCGCTGGGAGCAACCGAATAACTCTATCCTTCACGGGACAACGAAAACTTCTGACAGAAATGCTTGTGAATACTTGGAGCAATTGAAGAATGCGTAATGGAATTGTCAGGTACAGAAAGAGGAGTGTACTTTTCCATCTTGTTGGGGATGATGTGAATTGGCCAGGTGTAACAGACGGCACGATTGTACTCCACGTGAACAATCGTACGGTTCATGTTTTTTACCTATTTCCTTTAAAACACGTGGCAAAGGCTAAGGGGCTGACTTATTTCGAACTCCCGATTGCTGCCAGACAGGCGTTCGTCGATGCAGTTACCAGTTTCGTCAGTGTGTATGACTTTCGCAAGCTTCCCGCATTTCCAACCCATGAGATGCAGGGGCGCTCGGTGTTTGTTCCCAGCAAGACTGCCAATATCCCCAAGCACCGAGGAAGCAGAGGCGCCTTTCTTTAGGAGCCACTTTCACGGATTACAGTGCGCTGACGTTGATAGGCCGCAACAGCGACACCGGTGTCCCATTTTCCGCGAATCTCGCGCATTTCTCTGGTTGCTGCTGGCTGCTGTCCTGTATTCCGCGAGCTCGCATTCTCGCTCGACCTTCGTTCGTATGGCGCAAACCACAATGAATGCCGTCTCGCTTCCAGCCACTCCCCCCGCGCAGCTGGCGCGCAACGGTGCCGTTCGGCTGAGCAGCCACGCTAATTTCAGTCTAGCCCCAGCGCGGCGCCTTCTTTCAACGCGCAAGGCCATTACCTCCAGCCGTAGGACCAATCAGAGCATTTCCGTACGATCAGCGTCCACTAACCCTGCGGACACCTCCGGTCGACCTGGCGGCAGCCAGACAGGCAGCGATTCGAATTCCGCGTCCCCACCGACCCATGAAGACGGACCTTCTCCCGCGCCTGCAGCGGAGTCGCCATCTCCGTCAACTCCGTCAGCGTCGTCAACCCCGTCCTTTCCGTCAGCTCCGTCAGCGTCGTCAACCCCGTCAGTTCCGTCAGCTCCGTCATCGAAGCCGTCGTCGCTGCTCGGTCTGGTCCTCTCCGCGGGGCCGCCGGGGTCGTGGGACAGCAGCGGCGTGGGGAAGGCCGTCGTGCGGCGCTTCGCGAGCGACAACGAGGAGCGCTGGTTCATGTGGTACGAGGGGTGGTCCCATGATGACACGTCAGCAGAAAGCAGCGATCCTACAAATGGACCCGTTCCCCCTGTCTCCCGCGCGCGGACCGGGGTGGCGGTTTCCGCCAACGGGCTGCACTGGAGCCGCGGAAGCGGCGTGGCGGAAACTGATGCCAAGGGACGAGGCGGGCCAGGAATGGTCCTTCAGCCCAGCGCTAATTGGTGGAACTTCGACACACGCCACGTCAGCGTGTCTGACGTCATGATGATGTCATCGCAGAAAGTCCGCGCCAGCGGCGGCGTCCTGTGGATGTTCTACGTCGGGGGAAACGCGGAAGAACTCCCCATTCCCGCGCGAATCCTCCCCCTGCTCCCCCCGCGCCTCGCCCCCGCCGGATCAGCGCCTGCTGCGCGTGAATTTACCGAGGGGGAGGTGGTCGAGGGGCTTCGGACGCGCATCGGCCTGGCGATGAGCCACGACGGGCGGAACTGGGCGCGCATCGAGGGGGACCACCACAGCGGCGCGGCGCTGGACGTGGGCGCGGAAGGGGAGTGGGACGAATTATTCCACGGCGCGCCGCAGATCGTCTTTCACGAGCCCGGGGATATCCGGCTGTTTTATCACTCTCTCGATAGATCCGCCAAGGGGGGCAAGACGGGCGAGACGAAGGAAGGAAAATTCAGGGTAGGTTTTGCCCGATCGCGGGATGGGTTGAAATGGGTGAAATTCGGGCCGGTGTTTTCCGGGAGCAACGGGAAATTCGCGTTTGATGCGCTCGGGGTGACGTCGCGGTATGTCCTGCGCGACCCGCGCGCGTCAGCGGGGGGAAGCGGAGCGGGGAAAGCGGGGAAAGGCGGGAAGGAGGACGCGCGCAAGTACGTGATGTTGTATGAAGGCGTCGCCGCGGACGGATCGACGGCCATAGGACTCGCGGAATCGGAAGATGGGATGAGCGGCTGGAAATGCCTGGGCCCTGTTTTTGAGCCAGCGAGAGGGAAGGGAAGCGGAAACGGAAAGGCGGAAGGGGATGGGGAGGGGAGCGGAGAGGGGAAGGGCGGGGGGGAATCAGGCGCGTGGGATTCGTGGTCGGTGGGGTCGCCCTGTTTGGTGGATCTGGGCGGCGGACATCTGCGGCTGTACTATGTGGGGTCGGATGGGCGGGGGTTTCAAGGTGTTGGGGCAGCTGAGTCGCTGGATGGGAGCTTCGAGTTTGAGCGGTGCGCTAATCTCGAGGCGCTCCTGTAGGGTCGCGTGGTGACATGGGGGTTGGTGCGAGGGAAAGTCCCTCTTAGTTTGCTTGGCACACTGGGGCACGTTAGAGCGCACGATTCGTTGCAGCGGCAGCTTGAGTGCATGACTTGTGAATGGGAAGTTTGTCCCCTTGCAGCGCATTTGTGGGAAGTCCTGAGCAGATATCTCAGAGCATTGCAAACATTCACAGTCCTGAGCAGATATCAGAGTCCCGTGTGCAGTCACAGGTGAATTCATCTCGTTCCCCGTGTCTGGTGAGGACCAGAGAGTGCATGCTAATGTTTCTACCCCATCAGGCTTCAGGTTGTGGCATAACAGCAAATAGTGCGTATACACTACTGGAATGACATACAGCAGGACACCCACTTGCAAAGCAGCAACACCTCAGTACTTAGCCCACCATACAGAATATTCCTTACGAGAGCTTAGCACCACACAAGACAAGAGCAAGAGGCTTGCTCAAGCAACAGTTGCACCCAACTCGATCCAACCCAACCCAACCCAGCCTACAGAAATTAATATGTTTAGGGTCTCATCGCCAACCAACCCCTCAACAGCTAGAGTAGGATTGCCAGTGCAAAAGCAGCAACAGTTGCCAGCAGAGCAGCAGACGACCCATGAAGTGCTGCTGCTGCTGCTGCTCCTTTACCACCCCCAGCATTGCTGCTCCCAGGGGCAGTAGTGCCGGTGTCAGTACTGGCTGTAGTGCCCGTGGTGGTGGCAGTGGCAGTGGTGTTGGTGGTGCAATTGGTGGTTGGTGTAAGTGGGTCTGGAGTGGTGTTGATGGGTACTGAGATGTCCCCCTTGGGAATGTCGGCGAGAGATAGCGCGGTGCTGTAGAGCATATGATATGAGCACATGGGGATAGATACGGAGATATGGGAACGTGGGAACATGGGATTATGGGAACATGGGCACATGGGCACATAAGCACATGGACACATGGGTATGCAAGCACATGGGCATGTGAACACAGAAACACATGGGGATATGGGAACATGGGCACTGGAACAGCAAACAGGGAGGGAACAGAAGCGTTTCTTACGCGCTAGGGCAGCCGTGCAGCACAGAGAGCGGCTGGCTCTCCCCATAGCTGATGTTGCACTTGGAGAACCCCAACTTCACCCTCTCCCTGTCCGTGCCCTGGTGGGGGGAGGGGGAGGAGAAAATGGAGAATAGGGAGGGCTTTTGAGGCGGCTCAATAGAGGGGCTGCAGGGCTGGCTCTCGCCATAGCTGATATTGCACTTGGAGAACGCAAGCTTCACCCTCTCCCTGTCAGTGCCCTGGTGAGGGGACGGGGAGGAGGGGAGAGGAGGGAGGACAGAGATTGGCGTTGATGCAGCACAGAGAGCGGCTGGCTCTCCCCGTAGCTGATATTGCACTTGGAGAACCCAAGCTTCACCCTCTCCCTGTCCGTGCCCTGGTAGGGGGAAGGGGGAGGAGAAAATGGAGAATAGGGAGGGCTTTTGAGGCGGCTCAATAGAGGGGCTGCAGGGCTGGCTCTCGCCATAGCTGATATTGCACTTGGAGAACGCAAGCTTCACCCTCTCCCTGTCAGTGCCCTGGTGAGGGGACGGGGAGGAGGGGAGAGGAGGGAGGACAGAGATTGGCGGTGATGCAGCACAGAGAGCGGCTGGCTCTCCCCGTAGCTGATATTGCACTTGGAGAACCCAAGCTTCACCCTCTCCCTGTCCGTGCCCTGGTAGGGGGAAGGGGGAGGAGAAAATGGAGAATAGGGAGGGCTTTTGAGGCGGCTCAATAGAGGGGCTGCAGGGCTGGCTCTCGCCATAGCTGATATTGCACTTGGAGAACGCAAGCTTCACCCTCTCCCTGTCAGTTCCCTAGTGGTGGGAGTGGGGCAGAGAAGGGGAGGGGAGGAGAGGAGTGGGGGCAGAAAAGGGGATGGGAGACTAGCACCGAGCCTAGCAATAATGCACCGAGCCTGAGAAGAACACACTGAGCCTGGCAAGAACACATTGAGCTGCAGACAGCAAATCTCATGAGCTTGGGGCTGATTATGGGTCTTCTGATATCATTTTCACCACCCCTCGCAATCCTAGGCAGTAGAGTCAACGAAACGTGTTTCGGCCATTTAGGGGCGGCTCTAGCGGGTCTAGCAAGGAAGGAAGAACGTACTGTGTCGCAGACAGCGAAGCTCATGAGCTTGGGGCGGGTGGGGTCGAGGTTGAATATATCGGTCTTCTGATATACCTCTCAGGTTATAAAGAGGCTCAAAGCAAAAGGAAGACGGTAAGGGGGTTGACCTTAGCAGGCGTAGCAAGCAAGAACGTACCGTGCCGCAAACAGCAAAGCTCATGAGCTTGGGGCTGGTAGGGTCCAGGTTGAGCTTTCCCGTTGATATGTCGGCACACATGGCCACGCATGAGCGCATCTCTGCGTTTTTTTCACACACAACACACAGTGGTGGCAGATATGGAGGGGTTGAGCGGGGTAGGATCCAGGTTGAGCTTAGTTACACCTAAGGTTGAGCTTTCCACTGGATATGTCAGCACGCATGGTGACACAGGAGAACACATAGCGATATGTCAGCACGCATGGCGATGCCACCTCGTTTGTCTGTATGTGCCATGCGGACTCACCCCGCTTGTCTGTATGTGCCATACGGGCTTACCCCGCTTGTCTGTATGTGCCATACGGGCTCACCTCGCTTGTCTCTATATGCCGGGTAGTAGACGAGGAAGCTGATGCACATCTCCTCGTTGCTGGCCTCGCCGCCCATTGTCACCTGCGGGGTGGGTGGGATGGCATGGCGTGGGATGGCATGGCGTGGGATGGCATGGCGTGGGATGGCATGGCGTGGGATGGCATGGAGTGGCTTGGAATGGGATGGGTGGCATGGTCCATGGGAAGGGTGGCATGGTCCATGGGATGGGTGGCATGGTCCATGGGATGGGTGGCATGGGTTGACACGGAGTGAAGTAAATCCATCACCGCTTCTCACCGCACACCACCATGATGCGCCTTGGAGCGAGTGGTGGAGTCCCACGCACTCTTGGTGCGCAGCTCATCCCCTGGCTAGAGCTAGAACAGCGGCTGCACGTGCAGCACCGCTTTTCACCACTTACCACTACTCACCACCACTCACCACCGCACACCACCGCACACCACCGTGGCTTACATTGGAGCGGGAGGTGGAGTCCCACACACACTTGGTGCGCAGCTCATCTCCCGGCTGCAGCTGGAAGGGCGGCTGCACGCGGATCATCTGCTGTGATGCGAAGTCACTGGGAAAAGGAGGAGAGAGAAAAGAGGACCGAGGAGAGGAGAAAGGATAGGAGAGGAGAAAAATATTTGAGAAGAAAAGAGAAAACGAGAGACATAAATGAGAAGAAGGATGATGTAAGAGAGGGTATGTGACGCGAGGGGAAAAGATGTGTGGCGCGAGGGGAACGGATGCGAGGACACTCACCCCTCATCATCCCCACTCCTGCCCCACTATCCCCTACTCACTAGTAGTCGAGGCGAGCGACAGTAGTGACCTTTGCCCCATCCCGGTACACATCGGTATACATCTGATGGGGTGGTGCGAGGGGGGGGTGGGGCAAGGGTGGTGAGATGGGGCCGTGGGGTAAGGAGCGTGACTTTTGAGGCGCCTCAAAAGGGGTGCGACGGTAGTGACCTTTGCCCCATCCCGGTACACATCGGTATACATCTGATGGGGTGGTGCGAGGGGTGGGTGGGGTAAGGGCGGTGAGACGGGGGGGGGGAGGGGGGGGGGGGGGGGAGGTAAGGGCGGTGAGACGGGGGCGGGGGGTAAGGAGCGTGACTTTTGAGGCGCCTCGAAAGGGGTGTGACGGTGGTGACCTTTGCCCCATCCCGGTACACATCGGTATACATCTGATGGGGTGGTGCGAGGAGGACGGGGTGACGGGGTGTGGAGGAGTAGGGCAGGCATGGATGGGTGAATGCATCTGATGGTGTGGTGAGGAGCGGCGGTGAGGAGGGGTGGTGGGTGTGGTGAACAGAGGAATGCAGGGGGTGCATGGGGTGGTGAATGCATCCCAGTAGAAGTGTGTTGGTGCAAGGCAGCAGCAACGATGCTGACCGATTCATTCTTGAACACTGCCTTGGTGAAACAGCAGTGTGGGCAGGAATTGCGTGCTACCTGCCTGCGCGTGTTGCTACCTCTGTGTGTGAGCCTGCTACCTCTGTGTGTGAGCCTGCTACCTCTGTGTGTGTTGCTGGTACCTGGCGGCCCAGCGCATGTTGGTGCAGCGCGGCAGCAACAATGTTGACTGACTCGTTCTTGAACACTGCCTTGGTGCACCGCCCCGGGCATATGTTCTCCTGTGTCCACGAGGGCTGCAGATGGGGCAGAGAAAAGGGGATGGGATGTGGTACTAATGACTGAGTGAACACTGCCTTGGTGCATCGCCCGGGGAGGGAAGAATAAGGAGAATCCGAGGGGAGGTGGAATCAGGGAGGAACGCCGCCTCGGTGCACCGACCCAGGCACCCAGGAGACCTGGATGCACCGAGGAGACCTGGATGCACCGAGGAGACCTGGATGCACCGAGGAGACCTGGATGCACCGAAGAGACCTGGGTGTACGGCGGCTGCAAAGGGGGGACTTTTGAGTCGACTCAAAGGCCATATGTTCTCCTGTGCCCACGAGGGCTGCACTGAGGGGGGGGAGAGAGAAGAAAGTGAAGAGAGCATGAGGGGAGGTGGGTGGAAGCAGGCTTGTACACTGCGACTTCAGTAGAACCGGAAAGGGATGTTACCTGACCTGTGCAGGTGCTACCTCCTGACCTATTCCAGGTGTTACCTGGCCGGTTGGGATCTGCAGCAGCAGCCCGTAGTATATGGGACCAGCCATCATGATTGCTGTAGGTACCATTGGGTGTTACCTGGCCAGGTGTTACCTGCCTATCTTTCTGGGTGTTACCTGGCCAGGTGGGATCTGCAGCAGCAGCCCGTACTAGACAGGGCCAGCCATCATGATTCCATTGACCTGATGTATCCTTACCTGGCCAGGTGTTATTTGGTCTGGCCCGTGCAGGTGTTACCTGTCCAATGGGATCTTCCACCCTAAGCCCGTCGTAGACCGGGCCATCCATCATGATCCCTGCATCATGCTTTCGTGTAGTAGAAAAGGGCGTTACCTGTACAGGTGTTACCCGAGCTGTGCAAGGTGTTACCTGGCCAGGTGGGATCTGCAGCAGCAGCCCATAGTAGACAGGGCCAGCCATCATGATCCCTGCATCGTGCTTCCCCGGGGCAGAAGTTTCCAGGAATATTCCGCTGTTGTCGATAATGTCAGAGCGGCCGTCGGGATTGGTGTAGTGGATCTGAAGGGGGAGGAGGAGAGGGTGAAGGGGGTGAGAGTTCGGTGGGAGGGTTGTGAGGGAATTTCTAATCAACTCAGAAGGTGTCAGAGCGGCCGTCGGGATTGGTGTAGTGGATCTGAAAGGGGAGGAGGAGATGGGGGGTAAGCCAACATCGGGAGGGAAGGAGTGGGGGCGAGCTCCCAAACCCCACATTGCACAGCACTGCACTCACATCTCCGCATATCACCGCATATTACCGCATATCACCGCATATTACCGCATATCATCACACGGCACCACACCCACCTGCAGCGCGAACTTGGTATACAATCCAGGACCGATGAGAAAGCCAACATTTGGAGGGAAGGAGTAGGGACGCGCACCCTACCCCCACACCACAGCACATGACCACTGAGCACCGCACTGCACCGCACCGCACCCACCTGCAGCACGAACTTGGTGTAGTTTCCGGGGCCGATGGGATAGACAACATCTGGGGGAAAGGTGTAGGGACGAGCCCCCAACCCCCACACTGCACAGCACATGACCACTGAGCACCGCACATCACCGCACAGCACCCACCTGCAGCACGAACTTGGTGTAGTATCCGGGACCGATGGGATAGCCAACATCAGGAGGGAAGGAGTAGGGACGAGCACCCAGGCCCCACATGGCCACTGTGTGTCCCATACAGGGCGCTGACTCGTGCATGCACTCATACACGCCCTGTGTTGCCGGCACGTCCTGATATTCCTCCCTGTTATGGGTAAGGTGAGGGGAAGGGTGGAGGGGAAGGGTGGAGGGGAAGGGTGGACGGAAGGGGGTGGAGGGAGAGAGGGTGGGAAGGGGTGGGGAGAGGACAGGGAGGGGGGCAATGGGTGGTGCAGCAACGAGGGCTATTGAGACGCAACGAAAGTCATACGAAGGGTTAAGGGGGGAAGGAGGGGAGGGGTACGGGGAGAGGGGGATGTGCTGGGGGCAGCCGAAGAGCAGTGCACGGTGCAGCACGGAGGGGAGAGGGGTTGATTGAAGGGGTGAGGAGTGGTGTGGGGGAACCACAGGTGCAAGAGATGAGAGGAGGAGCGTGGTGCAAGAGACGGGGCGTAGAGGAAGCAAGCAGAGCAACGTACAGGGGGCAGCCGACGAGCAGCACATGGTTCAGCACGGAGGGCTATTGAGGCGCAACAGGAGTCGTACGGGGGGGTAAGGGGGGAAGAAAGTGGGGAAGAGAGGGGGAGGGAGAGAGGGAGGGGGAGGGAGAGAGGGAGGGGGAGGGAGAGAGGGAGGGGGAGGTTTGGGAGGGGGGGCGGGAGGGGGGGGACGTACAGGGGGCAGCCGAAGAGCAGCACATGGTGCAGCACGGAGGGGAGCGACGAGTTCATCTGAATGCCAAACTGCGTGATGTGTCGCTTGGCGGTCAGTGGCAGGTCGAATGTCTGAACGTGGGGGGAAGGGGGGGGGGAGGGAGCATGAGGCAAAGGGATGAGAGAGAGGGAATTGCGTGATGTGTCGCTTGGACGTGAGTGGCAGGTCGAATGTCTGTCCGTGGGGGGGATGGAGGGAAAGGGCGGGTGGAGAAGGAAGAGTAGAGGCAAAGGGGTGAGAGGGAGGGAGGCGCGTGGTGCAGCGCGGAGGAGACGAGGGAGAAGAGGGAAGAGAGCGAGAAGTGGGGTAAGGGCCTGAGGGGGGGGGGGACGCACCTTGCACATGTAGGTGGTGTAGTTGGTGGAAACCCGGTGATTCACCATCGTCAGATTGAACCGCCCATCATCGCCCATCACCACTCCCTGCCCCTTCGCCTGCCCGTTCTTCTGCCCGTTCGCCTGCCCCTGGGCATACGCGGCGAGCTTGCCTGCTGACGTGATGGCGGGCCAGCTGGCAGCGGTGGATTGGGCGGTGGTGGTGGGAGGGGTGGCTGGGTCTAGGATGGAGGGGCCAGGCGCGGGCAGCAGGACGAGCGAGGTGGCGCCACGTGTCTCGCTGTGATAGGCGAGCTCGTCGGTCGTGCCTGAAAGCGGGAGATATCATAGGGTGGTGTGAGGAGGGAAACGTGAGTGAGATGAATAGACTCACACTCACACATGCACACACACACACCCCCCTCTTCCCCCCACTCCCCCCCCCCCCCAGCACATACAAAGGCCTCCACTCCCCATCCCTCTCCCACGCCCCATTCCCCTTCCTTTCCACACACCCATGGCCCAGATGACGAATGAGAGCGCGCCAGCTGTGATGGGGCGGTCGTTGCAGTCGCCGGTGTCCAGCTGGCGCCACACGTGCACGGTGGTCCACGTGTCGCCCGTGGATTGGTCCGTGGTCTGGCTGCCGCCCAGCACGCGCCAGTCCTGCTGGTCGTCCAATGCGACGCCTTCCATAGTCTTGTTAAAGACAAAGCGGTCCGTTGCATACACGCGGCCCTCTTTCTCCGCCACCCACGCCACCATTACGTCTGGGAGAAACAGGGAACGAAAAGCAAAGAGGGAAATAGAAAGGTGACGCTTGAGTCAACCCATCGCGCCAGTCCTGCTGCTCGTCCAATGCGACGCCTTCCACTGTCTTGTTGAAGACGAAGCGGTCCGTTGAATACACGCGCCCCTCGCGCTCCGCCACCCACGCCACCATCACGTCTGAGAGTGACAGAGAGAGAGGAGGAAACCAGTGTCGTGCCTTTCGAGCGGAATGAAAGGTCAATTCATCTCGAAACGGACGCGCCACTCGCGCTCCGCCACCCGCCACCCGCCACCCGCCATACATCTGCGAGCGAAGGAGAGCGAGAAGGAAATGAAACGGCAGCATAATTTGATTTTCTTGTTTCCACGTGCCATGAATCACGCCTGTGAAGAATGTCAGTGGAGTTTGACGCAAAGCCTGACAATAAGAGGGAAAAAAACCAACAAAACAAACAAACTGAAAGGAAAAATGATAGAATCATTTTGAACTGTGTTAGGGGTCGTCGGGGCTACGGGAAAGCTCCACGTGTTGACTCAGGTAACGAGCGCGGGGCGCGCGAACGCGCGGAGAGAACGTGACAAAATGCGAACGAGAGGACAGAACGCGACAGAATGCGAACGAACTGGGGGAACGAGCGAGAGGAATGAACGCGGGGAATGTGCACGGGGGAGCGAGCGCGATGAACGGGCGTGGGACGAACCGGAGCCGAACATTCCGCCGGATTCAGAAAGGCCTATTGCGAGCCATCCCGCCGTCTGCGCCCGCGCCGCCATGTGAATGGTCGCGTCGCTCGTGTTGGTGCTCCAATAGAGCTCGAAGCGCGGATCGAGCAGCGCCATGCTGGAGTAAGAGGAGAGCTCCGGCAGGGCAGACGCGTCAGCGCCGCCACCGAATGCGCCGCCGTTTGCGGAGAGATGGTGGGACGACGAGAAGACGAGAATGAACGCGAAGAGGAGCGACAGATGGTGATGGAGGTTCTGCCGCGCCGCGCCGCGAACGACGCCGCCGCGCGCGCCGCTGGTCGCAATTCTCATCGTGAAAAGTTCGCTTCCGCACGTGCCTCCAAGAGATTAGACGCGTGGTTTATCCCAACGTCCCCGTGGGCTGCGGGCGATAATTCTAGGCGGCTCAGGAGTCGTACCACCCACGGTGGCGGCGCGCCTCTGATGCAGGCGAGGGAGACGGAGAAAAATGTGTGGGTGAGGGGTAACAGGAAAGTTGTGCAGCGAATGTGTTTTATGTGCAGCAGAGGAGTTGCTTTTGGGGTGAGCTCTTTACAGGGCGCAGTTTGGATTGGGTGCCTGATGTGGGTGCTTGGGATTCGAGAAGGGGTTTGGTTTGGGTACAGCTCAGAAAGCTGAACTAATGTAAATCCACTGATTGGTGTGCATCCCGTAGCTGTGCGACGCGGAACCAACCACCCTACACGCACAAGAGGTGGGTCACTGTGGGCAGGAAATCGCTCATGACTTACGCGAAGTGGCTGCGATTGCCTGCACGAAATAACTGCGATGGCGTGCGAAAACCAAAAGTCTCTCAGATAAGTTCGCTGGGGTTGGCGAATCTACATACGTCGGTGAACGAGCTAGTCGTAGATAGGACGGTGGATGCAGCCACTGGCTAGTGTAGTTGCGGCTCGGGCATGACTCGCTTTTTTTACACGTACAAGGCCTGCTTTGTTTCAGGGCCATCCCTGCTCCTCCCCGTAAGATTTGACCCGCGGGCAGGTGACGGAACTGGGGATTCTTTGACTAACGGACAAATCAACTGCCTGGAACCTGAGTGTACACTGACGTGTACACTCTGGGTCAGGCGTTACACCACACAGTGTTTCCTTTTCGAGACCATGGGTCCAAAATGGCGTCCCTTTTGCCATGCGACAAAACAGTAGTGCTCCTTGTACAGTGATGTAAAGGACAGAAAGCAGGCTTGTTGCTTGTGTTGCTTCCGCAAACACTACACACACCCACCAAACAAATGCAGAAAGCAGGATTGTGCTAAAGGGCCGAGTTTTGCATATTTATTCCGACTCGTACTGTAGTACTTGGCGATTTCTTGGCTAAAATGCATTAACATCAGACAAACGCACAATCTTTGAATAAGCATTCGTCAAGAATCAGCTACCGAGCCAGAGTGGAATGCAAAAACTCGAACGTCAATCTTCAGAACCCTCGATTTTCAAAACGGGCACCGTGAACTAGAAGGGTGGGTTGCAGAATCATATGTGTCCCCTTCGCCCTGGAAATTCGTTCGTGGAAAACAATGAACAATTGAATCCCCTCCACAGGCGTCACATGTCTTCGAATCAAATGCATTTTTTCGGGAGGGCAGAAGTCGCCCCAGTTGCGATTGCGTTTGCAGGCGGAGGTCGTCGCTGTTGTAGACATCCTTGCACTATGTCCATCAGGCTACCAATAAGACTGTACCAAGCTTAACGTGAATTGAAATAAAACGTGTGAAAGCTCATTAGCATGTGAACCAGCTCTAGCATCTTACTTTACTCCAATTCAGAAATTGATCATTCATCTTACAACAATAGATTATATTCAACCCAATTCAGAAGATATTCATTCATCTTACAACAAGTCATTACATTCAACTCACATACCTGCCAAGAAGATATAGGGTTGGGCATCATGTGAAGCTAAACTCAATCTCCCCCCTCTAAATTGGTCCACATGATTTTCCAGAGTGATTTAGCCCTGAATACACAAATACTTGACCCAGTTTTAATGATTATACATTCAACAGTTTTTAGAATTTAGTTCCCCGTTAGATGTACATACACCTGTTCCTCACTACAGCACTTCTTCACTACAGCATGTGGGTGTTAGCTCTCCTTCCCTAATCAGCCCAATATTCGGCATGTGAACTTGAGATGTTTCGATTATGATCAGGAAGCCAGGACACACATACTAACAATCAACAACACGAGCATTCAATCAACATAACAAACTCCACAAGCCTAAGAGGCAAGAGATGTTAAATATTAGAGGTCGCGAGTTTGGTGCCGCGAATCCAGTGGAAAGTCAATTTTCCCCCTCGCTCTCGCTTTCGCTTTCCCAAAGAAAGAGAGCATAGCTCGCGAGAGCATCTGAGTTGTCGGGAGATTCACTCAAGGCCTTCTGAAATAGATCTTCTGCCTGGGTCTTATTATGGAGTCGTTGCCATGAGAACTGCGCAAAGCTCGTCAAAAGTCGCACGTCGTACGGAGATCTCCGCATTGCGTCGCGAAAGTATTTCTCCGCGGTAACGGTCTCTACCCACACCTCGTTAACAAATTCCGCGAACTCCGTCGGCAAGCTCGGCCGCGCTTTGCTGTTCTCAGCATTCCTCTCCATTCGCTGTCGAAACGCCACCGCCCTGCCCTCGATCTCCGCACCATCCAAAGACGAGCAAGGACCTGACGACGCATGGCCATCTGTGCCGATTCTACCCGAGCCAGTCGCCTCTGGCGACCACGGCTGTCTGAAGACGGGTCTGCACCCTCGGCTGTTGCACTCCACGAGACCCACGGACGCCTCTGCTAAGAAGAACGGCTCGTTCCACGCCATACTGACGTCGTCCTTCTCGAATACGCTCATTGGAGAGCATGGTGAGTCGACAGCGAATCGCGCGGCTTGAGAGGATCTCGGGCGCTCGGTGACGCGCTCGGGTTCAAGAAACTTGGAGGATGTCGCAGCGGGGGTAGCGGCGGAAGGGTAATGGTGTTCTTGGGAGCATCCCCAGCCGAGGTGGCTTACTGGACTTTTAGCAGTTGCAGTCACGACGTTGCTTGGGGGAGATTTGTTGTACGAGACCCGACATTGCCGTGGCGACGACAGCGATAAGGTGATGGGTGAGCGGATTTGGAGACCGATCGCTTTAGCGGACGCGCACTCCATTGCCAAGTCTCGGGATGAATGTGCGCTGAAAGATGAGTTGAATCATGCAATGGAAGAGTTTTCCCGTGGCCTAGTTGTGCTTCTTGGGAGGAAAGATTGAGACTTCTGCCCAACTTGAAGCACACGGATGGGATGGGAGATGTCAAAACCCTAAGCAGAAGCCCGTGAACCGAAGAATGCCACAGTCTAGCATGGAAGGAGGAGAACCATCATGAGCAGAGCAGAATGAAGGTTAGGGCTAGGACGAGACGAGTCACGCTGCTGGAGCAGTAGCAGTGGTTGGCATATTCCGGAAAAATCACAACAGACAGCAACAAGAACGAGGGAAAAGAAACGTACAATATCTCCAGGCAGGCACGCTGGCAGTCTGGCAGCCTAGCCCAGCAAGCCCAATCACGGCAAAAAGCTGTTGATGGTCGGACAGTCTGTTCTGCTGTGGCATCATTTCCACATCACGCTGGCAGATCTCGGTTTTCCAGCCTCTTCTCCACCGTGGCCTTCCCGGAAACCCCTCGATGTTACCACTCACCTTGCTGACGTGGGACGCAGCCAGCCTGTGGGACGATTTGGAGCGCAGTTCTGGGAGGCATCGAGGGGATACTTTGGGTGAAAGAGAGTGCCAGCCATGCCCAGCATTGCAGGAAGACTGACCATGTTGCCGCACAACGCAGCTACGGAAGAGTATGGGGAGCTACCAGAACCACAAAGATTTCCACCAACGGAGTACGGAGCAGCTTGTGACGAATAGAATTTGTTCCAAAAGCACGGCTGTGGGAGAAAACATCCCGGGAAACCTGCAAGCAACCCGCACTGCTGCAGGCGCAGGCAACTGTAAACACGTGGTGCCCAGCGTGCTGATGACATCACCACCGATTGATGCCGGGAATAGATACATTTTGTACGACTTTTGGCGCTGGCTGCGGTGTACATATTGTACATTTGAGGAACAAAAGTCACTACCCCAGTTTGAGGCGGGATGCGGCATGCCAAACTCGAGTCACATTCATGAGAAACAGATCAATGTTGATATCAAGATAAACATTTTCGGTCAGGAATAGCCCCGCTTTTTCCTGAACAGTTGCAGATATTCTTATGATTGTTCTCACGTGCTTTTCTGACAAGCAACAGTGAATCTACGCGAAGCCAGCGATTGGCGGGTTATGATACTTGCGCTACATTCACAATTCGTGTGCCACGAAAAAAACATCCTGCGAGACATATCTACACTTTGTGTAAATGCAATTCTAGGTGAAATTTTCATTGCAAGGCAGCTACGTAAATCTTTGGGCTGCAAGCATAGTATAAACTACATTCTATCATTCCACCTCCCCCTTTTGGGATTCAGCACTAGTCAACTTTGCATACAAAAAAGGTCAACGCATTGTCCAAAGTAGGCTCGCTTACCTAGAATCCTAAGTGACCACCAAAAGGTTGTTCTCATGGCCACTAGGTGTGTAGATAATGGCCCTGCGTGGATCAACCTTCCAATTTCCATCCACGATAAATTTGACCTGCAGCAGGGAACGTAATGGAGACTATTTGAGAGCAAACACATCAGTGAGAGTGCATACATAACGAACACCGGAGGTGAAGCTTCCACACTGAAAGGCATCGTCGCAGGGCTGACCCTCTGGAGCAACTTTTGAGTCAACTCAAAAGTCACCGGGCTGACCCTCTGGAGCATAGGTCAATCCAAAATGCATTGCTCGAAACATGTTAGCGGGCTAGCATGCCTCATGGGCCTTCCCAGGGTCGGTGTGACAAGGCCTGTAAGACAGTCGGTAACAATAACGAGCATACCTCATATTGTCCGGGGTACAGATGAAGAGTTGTAACGAACACTCCCGCATTTGACTTTACCATCTTGATCTGCCATGCAGATCCATGGAATATACACACAGGGAGCCAAACAACAGACGAATGGTTCAATTCAAGAAGGGAAGAAACAGAAGCGTGTAGAAACCACAGTAGCATCGATCAAGTCACGGTGGCATAAAAAGGGCAATGACTACCGGTACCCGATTGGTCCATCCCATGCTTATCCGGTTGGTCCACCCATTAAAGGAGCCTGTGAGCAGCAATTCACTGCCGGGGTTGGGCCACACGACTCGCTTTTTGGGACATCTACAAAATTGGAACCTTTTGGCCCATCCATACCCAGTTGACCCATCCCATGCATACCCGATTGGTCCATCCCATGCGTACCCGGTTGGTCCAGCCGTTGAAGGAGCCTGTGAGCAGCACTTCATTGCCCGGGTTGAGCCACACCACTCGCGTGCGCCATGCATACCCGGTTGGCCCATCCATACCCAGTTGACCCATCCCATGCATACCCGATTGGTCCATCCCATGCGTACCCGGTTGGTCCAGCCGTTGAAGGAGCCTGTGAGCAGCACTTCACTGCCCGGGTTGAGCCACACCACTCGCGTGCGCCATGCATACCCGGTTGGCCCATCCATACCCAGTTGACCCATCCCATGCATACCCGATTGGTCCATCCCATGCCTACCCGGTTGGTCCAGCCATTGAAGGAGCCTGTGAGCAGCACTTCATTGCCCGGGTTTGGCCACACCACGCGGGTGGGCCTCAGCTGCACGTATGCCACCTGCAGCTCCCCCAGCTGCTGATCCTTCTCCTCCAACACACGCCTCGTCTCCCTGCCAAGGGCAGCATCAGAAGGGGGAAGAGGAGAACGGAGCCTAAACCACACTATCCTTAGCTTCACATGAGCCAACTGTAGCTCTCACCAGCAATGCTCTGAAGTTGATGGCACCAGAACCGAAGCAGCAGCGTCTGCGAAAAGTTCTAAATCGCAGTAGCGCCTGTACTGTCCCCGCTCCCGCACATCTGACCTCCGCTTGTCCCCATTCACACGCACATTACCTCCATATTCCCCCACACACCTGACTAACTGACCTCCACTCATGCCCAACACACCTGAGGTTAACTCTCCTTATCCCCCCCTCAGACCTGAACTCGGCCACAAATCTGCCTTCAAGGGCCGACACCTCGCACGGGAGGAGCGCAGCTCTGCCCGCGTGCGCAGCACCTCACACTCCCTTCCACTCCCGCACCACTTGTGCAGTCCTCCCACCCGGCCCACCCCCACACGCACCTGAACTCGGCAGCGAATCTGCCTTCCAGCGCTGTGACCTCAGCACGGGTGGAGCGCAGCTCTGCTCGCGTGCGCAGCATCTCACTCTCCCTGAACTCGAGCGAGTCGGTCAGCCGCAGCAGCTCACCCATTGTGCGACTGCGCATCTGATCATAGCAAGGAGAAGAGGGAGAGGGGGAGGGGGGGGAGAGGGGGAGAGGGGGAGGGGAGGGGGGGGGGGAAAGGGTGAAGTGGAGAGGGGAGGGGAGTGGGTGGCATGGTTGAGGCCAGGAGGAAGGGGCAGCATCTCACTCTCCCTGAACTTTAGACAGGCTGTCGGCTGCAGCACCTTACCCATGGTGCGACTGCGCATCTGATCATGTTGATGGGGGGAAGAAGGGACGGGGGAGGAAGTGAAGAAGGGACGGGAGGGAGTAGGGCGGTGAAGTGAAGAAGAAAAGGGGGTGGGTCGCAAGATTGGGCCAAGCAGGGAGGAGGGAGGAAGGAGAATCGACGAAGGAGGAAGGAGGGAGGAAGGAGGGAGGAAGGAGAAACGACGAAGGAGGAAGGAGGGAGGAAGGAGGGAGGAAGGAGGGAGGAAGGAGGGAGGAAGGAGGGAAGGGGCATCACGGAATGTGTGTGTCACGAGGACTTTAGAGGTCCAGAATGTGTGGCGCCTCAATAGTGCGGGTGGTAAGATCCAGAACCAACAAACAAACAAACCAACCAGCTACCCCTGATCATCAACAAAATGTCTTTGCGAGATGAAACTGCCCCGACACACATCAAACAACCAATCAGCTACCCCGTCCACCTCAGCACTGACCTGTTCCAGCTCAGCATCTCGCCTGCTCAGCGCCTCCCTCCCCTGCCTCAGCGCTGCACGCGTGGCGGCCAGCAATTGCTCGAGCGATCGGATGCGCCCCGTCACGCCTGCCAGCTCATCCGGGTCGCGCCGGAGGAAGGCGGCAGCTGGGGGAGGCTCAACTGGCGACGCAGGGGGAGGTGGTAACCGGAACTTGCGTACCGGCGGCGTGGAAGCTTCCTTGCTCTTCGCCCTGTTCTCTGGGGGCCGTTGGGAGTCTGTGGGCAAAGGCCCTGGTTTGTCTGCATCCGCTGCTGCAGTTGGTGCTGCCTCACGTGCTGCGTCTGCTTCTGCTGCCGTCCCTGCTGCACCCCCTGGAACCTCTACTGCTGCAGAAGAGGCAGAACCACGAGAAGTGGTGGAAGTGGCAGCAGATGATGACGGGGATGGGGATGGTGATGATGGGAAGGCACCCACAAGCCGTGACAGCACCGCTGCAGCTGAAGCAGACGCATCCTCACCATCAGTACCAACCCCTGATAGATCAACAGCAGATGACCTATCACCACCACCAACACCAGCATCAGTATCAGCACCAGCAGCGGCTTCACTGGTGCCATCAGCGCCTATCCCTAAGCTGCCTCTCCTCCCCACCTTTCCCTCGCTCCCTTTCCTCCCCACCCTCCGCCTCCTCTTCCTCACGACAGGGCCATCCGGGGAAGGCGCCACCTCTTCTTGCCCGTCACCTGCCGTCTGGGCCTGGGAGGCAGGCGTTATCTGGGCTAAACGAGAGGGAGGCGTTACTTGGGCTTGAGGAGGGGGAGGCGTTATTTGGTCCTCGGGAAGGGCAGGCTTTATCTGGTCCAGTGCGGGCTCTTGGGTAACACCACTGCCTGCAGCAGCAGTCGCCCCAGCAGCAGCACTTGCCCCAGCAATACCTAGAACTGCGTCACCAGCAGCACCACCAGCCTCCAGGGACTCGAGTCTCTTCCTGAACGCCATCAGATTCGCCAGGCTGGCACTCAGCGCTGCATCAAAGCCGTCCAAATTCCCCACACTTCCCTCCATCACCCTCCCTTCCCCCACACTATCGATCACCCTCCCTTCCCCCACCCTCCCCTCTCCCACACTCCCCTTCCCCACTCTCCCCTCCACCACACTCCCTACCCCTACACCCCCATCATCCACTCTCCTCCTCTTCTCCTCATCCGCCGCCTCCTCTCTGCTCCCCTTCTCCCCCTCCTCCTTCCCCTTGTCCCCTTCAACGGCTCTCCCACCAAGGGTTGAACCCACACCATCCTCCCTTGCTTGTCCCCTCCGTGTCTCCTCTGCTCGCCCCTGGTTTGAGGGCGGGTTTTTCCTTGGCCGGCCCACTGGTCTCCGCGGCTGGAGGGGTGGAAGACGGGAGAGGAGGCAGAGCGAAGCAGCGTGGAGTGAATGAATTGCGAAGAAAAAGGCAAGCACACTTGCATGACCGCTCCTCACAACAGACGACTCAAAAAGGTCCTTGGTGCTCCTAACAACCGAACCATGCCACTCACTCACCATACAATATCATATGTCAAATCATCTTATCGTATCCTTTAGTAACAGCTCGCATCAAATAGCATCAAATCGTATCATATCATACCATATCATATCAAGATCATAATCATAATCATAACCATATCATATTATGATCATACCACATCACAATCATATCATATCGCCCACTTTAACAGGACTGCTCATCACAACCGACTCCTCCGGACCGGAACAGCCTCACCCACACTCGCAGCCACAACCCCCCCTCACTCCCACCTTCAACCTTACCCCTATTCTCACAACCTGTGAGTGGACGCATAGGCAGAGAACCCACCTTAACGGGACTGCTCATCACAACCGACTCCTCTGGAACAGCCTCACCCGCACTCCCAGCCACTCCACCCCCCTCACTCCAACCCTCGCCCTCATCCAACCCCCCTCCACTCACTCCCCCTCCCTTCCCCTCCGCCCCCCCTGCTGCCCGCCCCCTCCTCCGCCTGCCCAGCCCCATCAACCTCGCCACCGCACTCCACCCATTGCCCCTCCCCACCGCCCCCCCTGCCCCCCCTTCCTCCACCCTTCCTGCGCCCTCTCCCCCCTGTCTTGCAGCAGCTGCTGCTTCACCCCTCCCTTCTCCTCCCCCCCTCTCCCCTCCCACACCCCATACTTCCTGCCCTGCCCCTGTGCCTTTCGTCCTCAAATCCCCTTGCACCTCCCCATCCCCTCTCTGCCCCTCCCCTTCCCTATCTGCGCCTCCCCCCGCCTGCTCTCTTGCCAGTTGCCTGAGAGCGGCGGCCAGGTCCCCCCTCCCTGCGTGCCTCAGCTGCTCCTGCGTTGGCATGATGCCCGCCTGCCCTGCTGCTGCTGAGAACGCCTGTAGCTGCTGCCGCAGAGCAGCCGGGCTGGAACGGGGAAGGGAGACAGGGGAACGGGGGAACGGGGGAACAGAAGCGTGAGGGGGAGGGGACGGGGGGATGGGGAACCGGGGGATGGGGAACGGGGGGATGGGGAACGGGAGGATGGGGAACAGGGGGATGGGAATGTGGGGATGGGGAATGGGGGACAGGTCAAGGAGCTAACAAGACAGACAAAACGGAGAGAATGCTAGAAATGGGGATCCATACTGATGCACTCAGGCATGCACTCAGGCATGCAGACAGATCAGCACACACACACGTACTCAAGCGGGAGAGCCCCCTCCTCCTCCACTTTCCTCCGCTTCCCACTCGGCCGCCTTCTCCTCCTCCTCTTGCGCTTCTCCCCCTCCTCTCCACTCCCATACCCCCTCTTTCCACCCCCTCTCCGTGCCCTGCTTCCCCCCCAGTCACCAGCACCCTTCTCCCTCCCACCCCTCCCCTCCCCTTCCTCACCTCCACTCCCTTCGCCATCACTCACCCCCTCACTCTCGCTCCCACTCTCTTCCCCGCCCCTCGCCCTGTCCTGCTGGCTGCTCCCATTGCCCCCACGCTTGCTCCTCTGAACCCCATACCCCCTCTCCTGGCCACCCCGCGCACTGCTTGGCACTCTTGCACCAGGGTCAACCAGAGACCCAGCAGAGGGATTGCCTAGAGAACTTGCACCGTGACTGTCCAGAGAGCTTGCAGGGACGTTCGTTGGTGCTCGTGCAGTGGGATCGCCCACAGAGGCAGAGCTAGGGCTGCGATTACTAAGAGAGGTAGAGGTGGGGGTAGAGCTAGAGGTAGAGGTGGGGGTAGAGCTAGAGGTAGAGGTAGAGGTAGCGGTAGCGGTAGGGGGGGAGGAAGCAGCGGGGTGCCACTGAATGGCGGGCAGTCCCAGCTGCTGGAAGAGCGCGGACAGCCGCATCTGCGCGCCCTGCACTGCACTCCGAGACAGCTTCCCCTCGCTGTCCGACCCTGACGTGCTTCCCCCGCTCCCAGACGCGCTCCCCTCCCCGTCTGTCCCTGGCGTGCTTGTTCCCCCGCTTTCAGTGTCACTCCCTTTCCCGCTTGTAAACTTCCTCGTTTCACCGCCTAAGCATGACGCCCTCGCATCCCCCCCTGACCCTGCCGCTGACCCTCCTTCCCGCTGTGAGGTGGGACCTCTGCCTTCGTCTGAACCGGAATCTCCCTCCTCCTCCTCCTCCTCCTCCTCCTCTGATGATGATGATGCCGAGAAGTACTCCCACTCGCTGCTGCCTTCCCCCTCCTCCTCTGACCCGCCTTCCTCCTGTGACCAAGAGGACGCGTCCTCGTTAGAAGGCTCGACCGCCCATGATAGGGGATCTGGAAACGAGTTACGCGAGGCGAATGGAGGAGCGGGGGCGGGGGAGAACCTGTAAGAAGGACCCGAGGCAGGAGGTCGGGGAAGGGGAACGGCAGGGGGGAACCCAGAGGCCGGAGCTGCAGAAGCGGGAGCAGGAGCAGGGAGAGGAGCAGGGGGGGGAGCACGGGCAGAAGGAGGAGGAGCAGGAGCAGGGGCACGGGCAGGTGAAAATAGTCGAGGTGTAGGCTGTGGGGGCGTGTCCAAACCAGGCAGTGCGTCTGCTCGCCAGTTTGCTGTTCCTGCCCCTGAACCGCTCCCTGCTGCTCCTGTCCCTACCCCACTATTTGGCCTGCTCGCTGCTCTGCTCGCTGCTCCACTAATTGCCCCACTAGCTGCCCCACTCGTTGCCCCGCCCGTCGCTCCTTGCCCCGCGCTACCTGCGCTTCCCCTGTCCGCCCTCCCCACGCCTGCTCCTGACTCTGACCCCATTCCTCCTCCCCCGCCTATGCCTGTTCCTGATACTGATCCCATTCGCCCACCTACCCCTCTTGGCGAGGCCTCCTTTTCTGTCATTCCCCCTTCAGCCCAACCCTTCCTACTGCTATCCGCTCCTGGGGGAGGGGCGCGCGAAGAGGGTGGGGGGATGGGCGGGGAGGGCGGGGAGAGCATGGCGGACCAAAACCCTGAGTCCGAGCCCATTCCGTCATCCACCGTTTCCAGCTGCCGTTGACTCAGTTGACTTGACTTGCTCGGTTGACTTCGTTGACCTGAGCTGCTCGGTTGACTTGAAGCCCGTTGACCTGGTTGACCCTCCCTGCCATTCCCAAGTTTTTCATCCCTCCCACTAGACTCTGTTCCCTTCTCCGCTTCCCGCTTTCCCCCATCCCCCATCCCCGCATCCCCCATCCCCGCATCCCCCATCCCCGCATCCCCCATCCCCGCATCCGCCGTCCCCGCGTCCCCCACGTCCCAGCCGGCGCTGAGCCACCCGCCGTCCGCCAGGCAAGCCGCCACGAGGTCGTGCCGGCCGGCGGCGAGCAGCTCGCGGCGCGTGGGGAAGCGGTCCGGGTGACCGTTGGCCACCATGAACTGGAAAATCGCCACCTCCAGCTCCACACCGCCCTCCCACGCCGCGCCGCCTCCCGCGCCGCCTCTCACCCCGCCACTCACGCCGCCTTCCACGCTGCCTCTGCCACTAATGCTGCCGCTGCTGCCGCTGCTGCCACTGCTGCCGCTGCTGCCACTGGTTCTGCTTATGTTGCTGCCACTGCTGCTGCTCCTGCTACCACTGCTGCCACTGTTGCCACTGCTGCTGCTGCTGCTGCTGCTGCTGCTGCCGCCACTGCTGTAGCCATTAGTCGAACCTGAGGCAGCAGGTCTCAAACCATACCCGTTACTGGAGCCTCCGCTAAAGCCAACAGCACCGGAGCTGTTCCTATCATTACTGCTATAGTCGCCTGTTCCCCCGACCGCTTCGGCCACCAGCCCGCTTCTCCTCTGCCCTGGGGGACCAAGACCTTGTATCGCGTATGGCGCTTTTCTTTTATTCGGAAAAGAAAGCGGGTTAGCCTGAAGAACGTGCCTCTCCCGAAAGCCTCGTCTCCGTTCTAAGAACGTCCCTTTGGAATTCTGCGTTACAAGGTGCCTCGTTACAAGAGCAAGATGCCGTCCCTTCCATTGGCGACACGTTCGCGGCTCACAGCTACAAGTGTGCGAACATCGCGAATCATCGCGAGAGACGGGACCAATCAGCAAGCCGTTCAACGACCTGCCTGAAAAGAAAGGCCTTTGCACTGATCCCAGAACAAAAGCCCGCGGGTAAATCGCAATACCAGCAGGCTGGAGAATCGCCGGACGAGCTTGCGACCAATGGGGAGCTCGACTCACCACCCGGACAGCACTATGTGAGCGACACGTGGCAGCTGCTGGGGTGTGCCAGCTGGCTCCTGTTGCTAAGTCCATGGGGCCTCTTGAGTCTCGAGGCCCCAACTGTCCGGTGCGAGTCAATCTGCGCGATTTCGGCGGGCATGCATGGGTTGCAGATACGAGAAACCTATGAGAGACGCATGATAGGAGCTACTACGTGTGACGGGGTTACGATCTGAATAATGCAGCTTCCTCTTGTTGCATCATCAGCAATACTAGCTCCAGTCCGCTGCACCTGGACCATCCAGCTGTATTCATAGATTCCCAATTGCGAATTCTCCTCTCGAGAGATTATTGAGAGTTCTCAGAAATCTCTCGCGAGGGTTTCGGAAAGCCGAGGTTACATTCCGAGTAAGAGCGAGCATCGTACTGTCACTTAGAAAGCTGTTCGAGCAGTACGCAGTGAAAAAACTCCGATACGATCATACCCTAAAAGCCATCTCTCAACAACCGTGAAGAAGCTCTGCTTAGGCTTGTTTTGAATCGTTTCGTTTTCAAGAATCCTGATGCCTGCTAGACGGAAGTGCAACGCACACCCACTCTAGCGGCGTTATTCCGTACGTAAACCCAAGGGAATACGCGAGCGATCCGACATATCCATCCTACAGACACAAAGAGAGAGCCTCTTTCTGTTCGGGCTAGTACAAGATAACACGCTGACAACAGTTGAACAAGACCAGTCTTCTGAATTCCCAAGGATCCTAGCACTCCAGGGCATGCCTGGGGGAAGGGAGATTCCCTGTGATGGTAATGCAGGACAAAAGTTGCGGAAAAAACTTAGCCGCATTCAAGTAGTATATTATCACTCGAAACCCTCTCCAACCGATGAATTTACTTTGTCAACCGCTATGAAACGCAAGATAACACGTTGGCCCATGGTTCTGGGGCCCACCTTGCAGAGCAGCCGCCAGTGGGGCCAGTGCTACTCTCGCAACGCCAACCAGCTTCGCGGCCTGGCGAAAACGTACGAATGTTCTCGAAAGCCCTGCGACACCACAAACTACATAACTGGGCCGTCCCACAACTTCCACAGATCGCGTGGCTGTGATCAGGATGATCACACGCGCAGGAAACGGTCGTTGGTTGAGCAGAAAAGTCTTGGGTTGCTTTGCCACGTGGAAGTTTGGGCAAGCCGTGTCGTAATGACATGTGGTACAGGTTTTGCTGACGAGATCCGGAGCCCATCAATGGTGGGACAGCAGCAAAGTCCCGACACGTCGGATCTGCGTCAGCGAAGTGTGACCACACGAGCCTGCTTATTCTACTGTTGCCCACACGCGTCAATATAACGGTGCGCGGTGATCACCTGGTACAGTTCACAAGTAAAAATGCTAACACATATGGAAAAAGAACAGCGTTGAAAGATTACTAAACTATAATGAACAAGAGCTCCGGGTTAAAGCCCGCGGCCCAAATTGCGGGCCGCGCGGGTCAAGTTTTTAAAACTTGATGAAGTGCCCTGTTCAAGCTTTGAAAGGTACCGCAGGTGCAATTTGGGACTTTCTAAGTCCAACACACCCACCAGGAGAAATCGAGGGGCCTTTTGGGTTTGGCGAAAAAAAAACGAATTTGACGAAATGAAAAACACTCGCCAAAACCCAAACCTCAAAAACTCCTTCTCGTAATCTTTTTAAAACTTGTGCAATTTGGGCTGCCGGCTTTAACAAAAATATTAGTGAACCCATATAATCCAACTCATAAGAGCACATCACCAAAAGAAAGGCCATTCATCCTCGAAATTTCTTTTCAGCCATGCGTCTCTGGAGCTCCTTCCGAAGACTGCAAGCAAGAGAAGGTAAGGAAACAGTAAACCCCATACTTGCCATCCTCTAGTCAGTACAGAAAAAGACATAATCGAGACGGAAGATCAACAGAACAGAAAAGCCTGTACAAAACTGAAAAAAACATCAACTGCAGGTACACCGATAAGTACAGTAAGGTTTGCACATACCCTTGCTCGCGCTCTATTCGACGAATCTCCTTCAGCTCCTTCTCCTCCTGCTGCTGCTTCTGCTCCCTCTCGCCTCGTCCTCGTCTCCTCCCATTCCTCTCCTCTCCACTCTCACTACTCGCCTCACTTCCACTCCCAGTTTCACTCCCACTCTCTTTCTTTCCCACGCGCCCATGCCCACTCTCACCACCCTCCCTGTCCCCATTCCACCTCTCATCCTCACCCCCATCTCTTCTCTCACCAACACCCCCCACCAACCCCTCATCACCTCTCTGAACCCCCACCAAACCACCTCCCACACCACCCTCCCCCTCATCCATCTCATCAGACCCACGCCTGGCCCTCTTCCTCTCCCTTCCTCTCTCCTCCCCTCGATCCCCCTCAACCCCCTCTCCCTGCCTATCAGACCCTTCCGAATCAGAATAATCTGACCGCTCTCTGCCCCTTCCAACACCTTCCTCAATCCCCTCTCCCTCAACCCTCCCCTTCCCCTCAGCCCTCCTCTCGGCCCCACGCCTCCCCTCCACTCTGCCAGGGCTGGGGCTGTGTTTCCCTCCTCCTCTCCCTCCTCCTCTCCCTCTGGGGCCAGGGCTAACGCTGCTTCTTCCTCCTCTCCCTGCGCGCTCCCGAGGGCTAGAACTGCTACTGCGTCTCCCTCCTCTCCCCTTCAAATCAGGACTACGGCTGCCTCTCCCTCCTGCCCCTCCTCTCCCTCCGTGCCCCCGGGGGCTAGGGCTAGGGCTGCGCCGGTGGCCCATGTGTTTGGGGGAGGGACTGCGGCCACGTGGCCGGGGGCTGATGCCCCTTCCCCGCGGACTCACCCCTCTCCGCCTTCCCCCATCCCTTCCGCCCTCCCTCGGACTCCTGTCCCTTGCACCCCTCGCATCCCTCGCATCTCTCCCCCTAGGGCTGCTTCCCCTAGGGCCGCCGCCCCTAGGGCTTGCACTGCTGCTTCTGCCCCTCCTGCTGCCCGCTGCCCTCCCTCTGGGACTGGGACTCGGGCTTCTGTGGGCCCTGCGGTGATCTACCCCTCTCCGCTCAGGGCTCCTTCGGAAACTACCCCGGAACGGGCTCCGCTCCCTCCCTCTCTCGCTGCCGCCCCGGCCCCTATACGGACTCCCCCCATCCCTGGCCCTGTACGGGCTCCTTGGCCCATCCCTGCCTCTGAAAGGGCTGCCCCTCCTGTCTCTGCCACTGTCGTACGGCCGAGCCCGAGGGCTGGGGCTAGGGCTGCGGTGCCGCCTCCTCACCCCATGCCTGGGACTCGGACTGCGCTGCTGCCTTCGCACCCTGGGACTTGGGCTGCGTCGGCGGCCAGGGCTGCGACTCATGCTTCTGCCCTCGTGTCTGCCCCTCCTATCCAGGTCCCTCCTCTCCTCGTCCCGTCTGTGCTCCCGGCCTCCGGCCGCACGCGCTGCAGCAGAACGCCCTCTCTGCTTTTGGGACACCGGAGAGGATGACAGCAAGAGGAGACGGATGGGTGCGAAGGGAATAGTAATGCGAGAACAGCAGCAGTGGCCTGACCCACCACACCTGTGTCGGTTCACCTGCACCGCTTAGCCTAGTCTCCAGCTGCCCCTTTAACGATCTCCTCCGAAGAGAGCTCACCCCAAGAGAGCTGGCCTCAGGCCAATTCACCTTACACAAGCCATCTCACCTCATCCACACCTCGCCCCATCCACGGCTCACCTCGTCCAGGAGCATTTGCCGCAGCCTCTGTGCTTCTGCTGCCACCTCGTCCCCTCGCCTCCTCTCCTCTTCCACTCTCCTTCTCTCCTCCTCCTCCCTTCTCCTCTCCTCCTCTTCCTCCTCTATTCGCATCCTCTCCATCCTCTCCTCCTCCTCTATTCTCTCCCTCTCCCTCCGCTCCTCCTCCTCCTGCATCCTCCTCTCCTCCTCCTCCTCCTAAATCACACAGAAAGAGAGACAAACAGTAAGGGACGGAATGAAACGAAATGACTGGGACGGAATCAAGCTACATTCAGACACAAACGATGAACCTCAGCTGGTCAAGATTCCGAAAGTAGGAGTAAGTACGCTGCTCCAAAGAGAGGGCAACAATCATTCTAGAGACAGCAGCCTCACAATCATTCTAAGTCTTTCCGCCTCCTCATAATACACCTCGCAAGTGGTTCTTATCTGAGGTGCGTATACATTATTTGAAGGATAGCATTCTTTTTAAATTTCCAAAAGTCTACGCTAAGGTGCGTGATACGTTGCTTTGAGACTAGAAAGGCCTCACCTCCTGCCGCCGTCTCTCCTCCTCTTCCTCCAATAGCCTGAGCCGTTCCGCTTCCTCCTCCTCTTCCCGTCGCCGCTGCTCCTCCTCCTCCCTGCAAAGGGGAGAGACATGAAAAAGAGGCGTTGGGTAGCATGGCAAAGCAGAGAAAGGAAGGTTACCGAGGGGTTTGGCAGCGTCTCAAAACTCAGAACGCGAGAGGAGGCATGCATTGATTCTGCGAATCTGTAAGCCTCACCGTCGCACCCTCTCTTCCTCCTCCCGCGCCTTCCGCTCCTCCTCCTCCTTCCTCTCCCTCTCCGCCCTCTCTCTCTCCGCCCTCCTCCGCTCCTCCCGCTCCCGCTGCTGCCTCTCCTCCTCTGCTCGCTGCTCCCTCGTAAATCGCCTCCTCCGCACGTTCCGCTCGTCAAAGTAATCCCCACCGTCGATCATCAGCTGCACTCTTGCAAGCGATGACGACCCTTCCTGCAAGGTTGGCAGGGAAAAGAGGGGAGAAGAGGGGAGAAAAGAGCAATGGACAGGAGCCGCTGCTGCCTCTCCTCCTCGGCTCGCTGCTCCCTCGTAAATCGCTTCCTTCGCACGTTCCTCTCGTCAAAGTAATCCCCACCGTCGATCACCAGCTGCACCCTCGCCAGGGACGATGACCCTTCCTGGAAGGAACAGTTCAAGTGAAAATTGAAGGGGAGGGGGACATGAAGCGGAGCTGCACATTCCTCTCATCAAAGTAATCCCCATCGTCGATCACCAGCTGAACTCTCGCCAGAGATGACGATCCTTCCTGCAAGAAGGGGTTTTAGAGGAGATTGAGAAGGAGAGGGAGGGGTATGGGGGGGAAGGGAGGGACGAGGGGGAACGGAGCAATGAAAAGGAGCCACAATCGTTTCTGCTGTCTAGAACCTCACCGTAAAACGCAAGCTGCACTCTCATTAGGGACGTGTGCGTGAGTGTGTGCTGTGCATGTGTGTGTGCTGTGCGTGTGTGCGTGCTGTGCATGTGTGTGTGCTGTGCGTGTGTGCGTGCTGTGCATGTGTGTGTGCTGTGCGTGTGTGCGTGTACATATTGTTCCCTCTCACCTTCTTCACAGCATGTCGAGCCAGCGCCTTCACAGCATCACAGAACGTGCTGTGGCTCGTTTGAAACAGTGCAAAACAAACCACTTATGACATCGTACCCTCTCACCTTCTTCGCCGCGTGTCGAGCCAGCGCCTTCACAGCGTCACAGAACTTGCTGTGGCCATTTTGAGGCATCTTATAACAAATTCAATCACATCACATCACATCACATCACATCGCATCACATCACACCACTCCCTCTCACCTTCTTCACCGCGTGTCGCGCCAGCGCCTTCACAGCGTCACAGAACGTGCTGTGGCTGCCGAACCTCACCATCACGTCCGTCTCCAGCTTCAGCGCCAAACCTGCTCCCAAACCTAATCCCAAACCAGCCCTTCCCAATGCTGCTGGACCAGCAACTCCCAGGGTTCGTCCTTGTGTGACTTTAGCGGAGGGGAGCTCCTCGTTGGGGTCTAGAAGCTCGATGTTCCTGTAACGAGGGGGGGGGGAGGGAGGGGGGAAGGGGGGAGGGTATGAAGGAGCAGGGAGGCAAGGACCAGCCGCTCTATATAACCGCTTTGCTCCAGTAGCAGGGGGAGGAGGAAAGGGGGGCTTCAGTGACGAGCACAATTATGAAAGCGATCTTTGAGATAGCTAGAAGTGCTGTTGTTCCTGTAACGAGAGACACAATTCAGGACGAACGTGAACCAAGAGGGTCAGGGAACACGTGAACGAGACAGGTAACACTTTAGCAGTATGCGTGGTAATCCAGATCCAATCAGCTGTCCTGAAAATCCTACCTGGCTATGCATCTGATGAGCCGACCTGATTCTGCAACTGATGATCCCACGTACAGCTGGTGCCCCCACCTGATGTATAACCTGACGATCTCACCTAATGATCTCATGTGATGTTCTCACTTGATGTAGCACCAAATGATTTCACCTGATTTTCCACCTGGTGGCTCTACCTGACGGGACCAAACGAGGAGAAGACGGTGTGAGCGATCAGCAGCGAAGGCTTCGTGGAAACCCGCTCTTCCGCCAACCAACGGCACGGAATGCCGCATACCCTCAGCGTATCCGGGCGCTTTTCCGAACCACCCTTTCTTCCGGACTCGTCTGCCAGCCAATCGCGCATCAGCTCGCCATAAGACGGCGAATCTGCTGACTCAGCATGACAGGTAATTCGAGCCGCGGAAACCCTAGTTTCCCAATTTCTGAAGTTAGAGACCACAGAAAATGCTACGGATTCTCCTGAGGGTCCCCATAATAGGAGCGTCGCCACGGCGATCGGCTCGCCACGTGTGATCTTATCGAGGTTCTTCGTCCAGGAAATCGTGAGATCTTTCTCGTTAAAGGCCGGCCAATTGGAAGCCGACGCGTGGGATCTGTACTTCGCCTCGATCGCCTCGCGCAGCTCCCATTGGTTGACAAGCTTCGGTAACCCGTCTTCCCGCACGAACGAGAGCGAGATCGCACGGTACGGCACAAGCGAGAGGCCATGCCCGACACGCAAGTCTGAGATATCTTCCTTCTCTTTCTGAACTAACACAGGAACTAGGCTCGTCGCCATAGCTCCTCCGTCTCGCGAAGCACGATATTAGGTCAGAAAACTAACTCCCATACAAGATACTAGCATCTGAATATGATGAGATTCCCAGCCGAGCCGATTCCTGCTGCTGTGATAATGGAGTCAACAAATTTGGAGGAGAGCAGGAAAGTCGATAATCGTTTTGAGTACACCGCAATACACCGCGCCAGAATTATCTGGCATATAAGTCTTGCTGTTAAATACCGATACTATCTTAGAACAGCAGTGATAAATGCGTCCTGGTCAGGTCAGATCAGTTCGCGCACCATAACCCCTCATACCTAACGAATCCCTAGAAACTGCTGGTAAATTCTTCGACATGAAAGGACAACATCAGCTAGGAGAGGAAGAAACCCGAAAGATCACCATCAGCCATAAAAGTTGCAACTTGGGTGTAATCATGAAATGGGAATTTTCACTATGGAGGAGGGAGCAATAAAGGTGCAAGGGTGTTCTTCTGTCATACAAGAGGGCTTGATCAAGGCAGATGGAAGCCTCACTGAGGCCTAAGGGGGCCATGCAAGTGTGCAGTATCAAATCAAGGGAGAAGAAAAGAGCATTCAATCGAGGTAGAAGAGGGTGACAATCTTGCCCATATCCTTGGCCTCCTGACACGTCTCCATGAGCAGCCGGCTGTCATGGAAGGCAAAGCAGATCACATGCTCCACCTCCGATAGAATGTCCATGTTGCACAGCCTGCATGGTGGTGTCACAGGGTTTCAAAGGAGGTTCAGGGCTTTAGGGTTAAGGGGTTCTAGTTGTCATGGAAGGCAAAGCAGATCACATGCTCCACCTCCGATAGAATGTCCATGTTGCACAGCCTGCATGGTGGTGTCACAGGGTCTCAAAGGAGGTTCAGGGCTTTTAGGGTTAAGGGGTTCTAGTTGTCATGGAAGGCAAAGCAGATCACATGCTCCACCTCTAATAGAATGTCCATGTTGCACAGCCTGCGTGGCAGAAAGGGGTAGACAGGGTGGGGAGCGAGAGGAGAGGGGTGAGGGGTGAGCCTGGAAACAAGTCCCATGCTCCAACTCCGATAGGATGTCCATGTTGCACAGCCTGTGAGGTAGGGGGTTGTCATGGGGCTTTAAGGAGGTTCAGGCGTGAAGGGACAGAAGGGAGCCGCCTGTCGTGGAAAGCGAAACAGTTTGCATGCTCCACCTTTGATCCGATGTCCATGCTGCACAGCCTGTGGGCACACGAGGATAGGTGTTCCAGTTGCCATATAGAATGTCCATGTCGCACATGGGGCAGAGGGGGGCGAGGAGAGCATGGAGCAGGAGAGGGAGCCAGGGACGAAGAGCTTAAGGAGTCAGGGGACTTCAGGATCTGGGGGAGCCGGCCATCACGGAGTGCTGGCTGTCGTGGAAGGCAAAGGAGATCACTTCTGGATGCGCCTATAAAAAGACGCGCAACAGGATGTTCACGTTGCGCATCCCGTGTGGGAGAGGTGGAAGGGAGGGGGGAGCAAAGGCCAAGGCCAGTGAAGGGCTGCCAAGGCCAGAACGAGCATCGAGGGCCGCAAGACTGATAAGGGTATGGATATCTGTGCTGCATAAAGCCTCCACTGCATGGGCAAGGGAGTGTTGGTTCAGGGAACGGCGGAAAGGGAAGAGGGAAGCGGGAATGGGGAAGGAAAAGGTTGCCTCAACTTTTGCGAAGTTTCAAAACATGAAATAATGTCTCCTAGTTATCCAGGCCTGCTGGGGGTGTCTTTTGCAGGAAAGGCAGCACCTTACCTGCTTGCTTCGAGCAGGGGAAGATGGTCGTTGTGTGGCTTCTCCACCAGATTCTCCACCTGGCAATACATGCACAGCACATGACGAGGGGGGGAGAAAGGGAGGAGGGAGGATAGGTCCACGGTAACGAGATGCAGAGGGGCTGAACACGGTGCAGATAGTCGTTGTGTGGCTTCTCCACCAGATTCTCCACCTGGCAATACATGCACAGCACATGACGAGGGGGGGAGAAAGGGAGGAGGGAGGATAGGTCCACGGTAACGAGATGCAGAGGGGCTGAACACGGTGCAGATAGTCGTTGTGTGGCTTCTCCTCCAGATTTTCCACCTGGTAATACATGCACACCACATGATGAGGGGAAGGGAGGCAGATCGGGAAAGAGGATGGGTATAGGCCAAAGTGATGGGGAAGGGGTTGAACACAGGTAAAATATAGAAGTAACGGTTGCAAGGAGAGTGGGCACAGAAAGTGACGATCCCTCATGCCCCTACAGCAACCTCTACTCTCACCTTCTCACCAACTCACTATCTCATTGTTCACGATCGCCACAGCACCCACCCTCTATCCAGCACCTGTTTGCCCCAATCATGTCCGCAACAACAGGCTGCCAAGGAAAGAGACTGCTGCCAGTAAGAGAGGCCTCTTCCCGAGATGCTGCCTTCACAAACCTTCTCAATCGCCCTCCTTCCCCCCCATCTCCTCTCTCCTCTCCACCCCCTTTGCACCATTTTTAGCAGCTCCTGGCTTTCAGGCGGCTGCTTCCCCAGCGGCTGTGGCAGGATGACGGTCAGCCGATCTGAGCTATCACATTCGTCCCCCTTTTCCCTCTTACCTTCTTGACTCACCTTCTTGATTCCATCCCCCCCCTCTCCCACACCCTCCTTCCCCCCTTTATTGAGCTGCTTCTGGCTACTACCTTGGTCGTCCCCCCTCCTCTCACCTTCTCACTGTCGTGGTTCACCTTTCTTCACCACCTCCTCCGTTTGTTCGCACCTTTTTGAGCAGCTCCTGGCTCTCAGGAGGCTGCTTGCCCAGCGACTGGGGGAGAATGACGGTCAGCAGCTCCGCCTTCTCCGCCCTCAGCGCTCCGCGGATCACTGCTGCGTTTGTGCCTGCAGCTCCCGACGTGTAAATGTGGTTGTTCTGCAGGGAGGGGGGGTGGAGGGAAGGGGAAGGGGAGATGCTCCGCATGTGAGGCGACTGTGTGCCTCAACGCCCCGCGGATCACTGGCGCGTTTGTGCCCGCCGCCCCCGACGTGTAGATGTGGTTGTTCTGCAGGGAGGGGGGTTGGGGAGAGGGGGAGGGGGGTTGGGGAGAGAGGGAAAGGGGGAGGGGGGGAGGGGGGCGGTGGAGGGGGAAGGAACGGGAGAGGGGAGAGGGGGAAGCGGGTAAGAAGAGGAGGAGGGAAAGGGGGAAGGGGGGGTTAATCGAGGGGGGGAAGTTGGAGGAGGGGACAGGGTTTATCGAAAGAGGGGGAGTGGTGAGGAGAGGGGAGAAGGGACGAAGGAGATTGAGGAGAGGAAGTGTAGAAAGCGAGTTATTCAACTATTGTGGCTCCAGCGAGTTTTTCAACTAATAAGTTATCAGCTGATTCCAACTATTGTGGTTTGTTTGGTTGAAAAGGGAGAAGAGGAAAGACGGCACAGCATACAACAATCAACTCACAGTGATAATCATGGCATAGCTGAGGATCTCGATGAGCTGCTGGTGTGCTGCGTATGCTGGAAAGAACCACCCAATACAGCCCCACCCACAGTGATGAGTACAGCCTACCTGAACACCTCAGGTGGTCATACCGTAATAATCATAGCATAGCTGAGGATCTCGATGAGCTGTTGGTGCATGAAGCCCATGTTGCGCGTGCCAAAGAACCCAATGTTCCGCGGCCCCGACTGCTGGATCGCCAGCAGCTCCTGCAAATAGTCCACGTCAGGGGGGCTCCTCTTCACCTCCGTCACCAGCGTCGTCGCCCCTGTCGTGATCGCCTCCATCTGCGTGGGTAGATCCTCTGTGAACATTCGCACTTCCATTCCCTTATCCATGCTCCCCCCTTGCCTTGCCTCGTGCCTTGCCTCCTGCTTCCCTGCTAGCCTCCACGCTAGCCTCCCCTCCAGAGCCCCTCCTTTAGATGCTACCTTATCCGAATTTGGGCTTTCTTTCTGTCCTGCAGTGGCAGCTCGCGGTCTCACGGGCCGGGCATGACGTGTGCCATGTGTGTTGCGGGTGGAGTCAAAGGAACGGCCATGCTGCGCCTGCTGGCAGTGCAGCGGCGGTGAGCGGAGAGATAAGGAACGCCTTGGGAATGCCGAGCTGCTCCAGCTGACAAGGTTCGCTCGGTGGTGATTGGTGACGGGTTTGAGCGGTGCCACGTGTCGGCGTAGGTGTGACGTGCACCTGGGGAAGGAAGAGGGATTGGACAACTGGTGAGTGGCCTGATTGTTGCGGGCTCGTGTAATGAGTAATGAGACACCTTATCTTGTAAGTAGCGAGTTAAGTGGTTCTTGGGATGGCTTCTGAAAAGTGCCAAAATGCGTGGCTATGAGGTCGCGAGGGGGACTGAAGATCTGGATTCGGACGGTGAATGATCTGGCTGACTGGCATTGTGATTCTTTACTGCAGAGGGTAAAACGAGGAGCGGAGTTTCACTGTCCCAAGGTTATATGTAGACTTGTGCGTTGTTTCGTGGGGAATATGTACCGCTAGCACTGTGTTACTGGCCTGTTTGTTTCATGCAACGCAGTACGGACGATCATGGCAGGTGAAAGAGAAAGTGCGGGTGAATGAGATGCGATGACGATGGGGAAACAAAAGCGGCGGGTAAAGCAGAACGAGGGACGCAAAGAATTCGACCGAATGAAGCGACATGGATACATCTATCCACTTATCCATCATAAGTGACGCTAAATATTCCCTTTTTGAGAAAACCCAGAAGTGGTAAATGGCAACATGGATCCATCTATCGTCACGAGTGACGCTAAGGATCATAATGGTAAGATGCTCTGCCATGACAGAAAGCGGAGCCGCGGATTGCGAGCTGCTTCTTTTCTTAGTCGAGGTAAAATCAGCCCAGCACGTACCCGACGCTGTGCAGCTGCGTCGGCGAAGCGATCGCGGATGGTCGAACAGCCAACATCAGATCGCCGTGAAGCGCCGGTAAGGATAAAAAAACTTATCTTACTTCCAAATAAGTCTCCAGAATGTGTTTCGAATCCCTGAAATAATCAATGGCTCGCGTGAACCACGGGTGTTCAAGCTCAAGATGGGGATTCAAGCCAGGTCGACTGTACGAATCAATGTTCGCTGACAAGCCTTCAACCATTCAGACAGCCAAAGCTCAAGCTCCAAGCTTAGGCAACCAGCGTCACGAATCGCTAGGACGCCATGGAACTACAATCGGACCAGGAATATGAGAGCTAAAATCAAGGCTGGTCCAAAAATACGAGATACTATGTTTGGCTGAAGAAATGCGTCTGCGGAATGTTTGGCTGCGCGGAATAATCGGCGCGAATGATGGGAGCAACCTCGAAGTTCCTGATCCGGGCAGCCGAAATGGCGGAGTCGAAATTTTTTATTGGCGAATGAAAACACGGCTTGGGGGTGAGAGCTGGAGCGATGATTGGGTCACGTGGTGACGAAAACAACTTCGATTGGTCGGTATTCGATTTTGTCCACGACGAAAGGGTACCTTCCGCCTCAGCCACTGTCCTTTCCGCGTCAGCGCGGATACGGCAACGGCGTCTGGGGCTTTGGCGAAATAATCGTCTGAATAACTACATATAGCAGGTTACGGTTGTAATATATTTCACTAAATCCTTACACTGACAAGCAAATGCATTCTTGCTCATTCTGCACCTATTGCCAACAGATGCATATGCGTGGCAAAGAAGAACTGAATAAAGGCTGGGAACTCCAAGAACTCAATGTGAGCCGCTCTTCCCAGCAGACGGTTCAGATTACGTTGCTGTTGTGGCAACTCAAAGTTAACGTCACATCGGGTGAACGATCGATCCCCAGACGTCCACGAAGGATGGGAGAGGAATGGCGCAAGGCAGCCTTCCACCATAGACGTGTACACGCCACCAAGACGAGCATCCCTCAGCACCGCACCGAAGACCTCAAGACGCGCGGAATGATATGGCACATATTCATCCTGAGATGGTTCGGGGGTGGGTGGACAAATGGGTGGCAGGTGAGAATGGTAAGCAGAAGAACAAGGGAGGGTAAGAGGAGTGGAGAAGGGGGAGGGTGTTCAGGAAATAACCTAACGAGCGAACGGGAATATGCGTCTAGTGTATGGACTATGAGAAAACAGGCATTGCCAAGGAGGCAGAATGAGGTGAGGCAAGGGGAGGAAAGCACCTGGGGCGAGGCAAAGAGGACAATGTGCTTGAAGTTGACCCACTCCTGGCGCTGCAGCCATGAAGGGAAATGTAAAATTGAAAAAGAACACAGCGGGCTCAGCAACGCGTGGATTAGTCATTCATCCAGGGGACGAAGTTGAGATTGAGGCACACGGATAATGGCACACTGCAAGTCAGAAAGCAAGTCAGGGATTTTCGAGTTTTTCTGCAGAGAAACACTGGCGGGCTTACCTGAGAGAGGCGGTAGATGCAGGAGTCGCGGACGTTGAGCGAATCGGAGAAGGACAGCTGGCGCATGAGGGAGGAGGGGTCGAGGCGCTTGAGCAGCCACATGCCGCTGGTGACGAGGGAGTTGGAGTGGTACATGTAGCCCAGGTGGGGCCCGCAGAAGGACAGGTAGAGGTGCAGGTAGGGCAGGTAGGGACGCATGCTGTCGTCTGGAAAAGATCGAGGAAAAGTGGGGTGTGGATGGAATAATTAGGACAGCACAAAACGAACTGCTGTCGTCTGTAAGGGAGCGAGGGAAGGAGGGTTGTATGAAAGCGTGAGTACAAACGGAAGAAAAAGGTGCAGCCCACAGTAAGGACAGGTAGAAATGCAGGTAGGGCAGGCACGGGTGCATGCTGTCATGTGGCACCAGGTGCAGGGCATGGGGTTGAGGGCATGGGGTTGAGGGCATGGGGTTGAGGGCATGGGGTTGAGGGCATGGGGTAGGTAGGGGAGTTCATGGAAGGCGAATGGCAGAATCATTACCCGCCAGTGCCGCCCATTATCTCCCAGTGCAGCCCATTACCCCCCAGTTCCATCATTACAAGCCAATGCCGCACATTACCCCTCAGTGCCGCCCATTACCCCTCAGTGCCGCCCATTACCCCTCAGTGCCGCACATTAGCCCTCAGTGCCGCCCATTACCCCTCAGTGCCGCCCATTACCCCTCACTGCGGCCCAATACCTGCTAGTGCCGCCCGCACGACAAGGTTGCCAATGGAGTAACCCACAAAGGACAACCGCTGCAACACATTCTTCCTATTGGGCCGGTCGATCGGCCCAAACATGCTGCGTAACGCGGTTACCACCTCGTGCGCCAGCCGAGCTCCCATCGCCTCCACCCCACTCAGGTCGGGCGCGCGGGCGGGCGAGTGCGACGAGGAGGACGGGGAGGGCGAGTGCGGGGCGCCGGAGTTTGTCTCGTTGCTCTCGGCCATGAGGCACTCTATGTCCGGGTCTAGCAGGCGCCAGCTGTCGCGCACGAGCCTTAGGTCCATGCGGTGACCCTGATCGGGGGTAGGGGGGGGGTATAAGGGAGGAGGGAAAAACGGAAAGAAAAATGTTTGAAGTGAGTGGAGATGGAAGGGAGAAGGTAGTACACAGCAGGTGTGTATTGTAAATAAAGTCACACCACGCTCACCTGATAGCCATGCACAAACACCACCACATGCTTCCCCCGTGTCGCCTTCCTTCCACCCTCCACTCCTGTCGAACCTGCACCAGATACACCTGGGGATTCCGTGCTGCTGCTGCTGCTGCTGCTGCTGGGCTGAGAGACGGGAGGTGGTTGAGATGGGTGGGGATGGGTGGACGGTGGGGCGAGGAAAGGCAGAAGGGGATGGAGGTGGGTGGGTAGGAGTGTAGGGAGGAGAGGAGGGAGTCGAGAGAGGTGGAGATGGTGGGGAGGAGGGAGGGGGACATGGGGAGGGGAGGGCTGGGGAAGGAGGATGTGGGACGACTGGCGTCGATGGCAGCAGCAGCAGCAAAGCTGGCAGAGGAAGCAGGAGTGGTGGGAGTGGAGGGAGTGGTGGGGGTGGTGGGGGTGTGGGGAGTCGGAGTGAGAGGAGGGGAGGATATGGAGGAGGGGGCAGTGAGGAGGAGGGGAAGCAGCGAGTGGCAGAAGAGCAGAGGCTGCATGAGTGGGCGGGAGTAGAGACGCATGTCCTGCAGGCAGGCCGGCACACAGGGCAGCGTGCGCTGGAGGGAAGCAGAGGCAAACAGGCAGCACGGGGAAGAGGGGTGGGGCGGAGGAAGAGTGGGAGGGCACAAGTGCATGAATGGGCGAGGAGGCAAAGAAAGCAAATATGGAAGAGCAGAGAAATTGAGAAACGGAAGGGGTAGAAGATTATGACAGCGGTGGGAATATGGCGTCATGAGAAGGGAACGGTACCAGGTTGAGAGTGGTGGTGAGGGCGGGTCGAGGCAGCAGCTGGGGCCGGCAGGGAGGGAGGGAGAGCACGGAGGAGGGTACTGCAGGCATGGCCGCCCGCACCTGACGAGCTACGGCTGCTGACAGGACGGCCAGCTGAGAGGGGTGTGGGGGGTGAGAGGCGTGGCGGAGGGAGGAGGAGGGATTGGGAATGCAGTTATGGCAGCAGTGGGTTGGCTGGGAGATTATAGAGGAGGGCACTGCTGTCATGGCCGCCCGCACCAAGGCTGCTGACAGGAGCGCGAGCTGAGAGGGGGGGGGGGGGGAGAGGGTGTTGTGAGGGGTATGGGATAGGGACGCGGCAGTCAGATGAGGACGGGGGTGGGTTGGCAGGGAGAGCGTGGCGGAGGCACGCTTTTGAGTCGACTCAAACACGCAGAGCATGGCGGGGGCACTGAAGGCGTTGCGGGGGCACTGAAGGCGTTGCGGGGGCACTGAAGGCGTTGCGGGGGCACTGAAGGCGTTGCCGGCTGCACCTGGGGAGCCAGGGCTGCTGACAGGAACGCCAGGTGAGAGGGGTGTGGAGGGAGAGAGAGAGAGAAGCGACTGACATCGAGGCACGAACTGCCTGGCTGTGGTGACATCGGGCCAGCGATCGAGACCAAAGAGCTGCTCTGTCTGCATGGGCGAGGACGATGCATGCACCCATGCCACGGCTTTATGTGCCTGTTTTCACTTGGATGATCTCAAACAGTCAGACTCACGTCGCTCTGCTTGTCCGGTGGCACGAATTGCCTGGCTGTGGTGACATCGGGCCAGCGGTCGAGGCCGAATAGCTGCTCCGTCTGCATGGGCGAGGAGGATGCATACACCCACGGCGCTGCCTCCCGTGCCTGGTTTGCCACCCACTTCTGCCGCAGCAAGGCACACAACTCCACGTGGCACAGCCTGGTTGGACAGGAGGAGGAGCGTGGACAAGTGGGATGTATGGAGGAGGGATCAGCTTTGAAAATTCTCAAGAGAAGTAGAGGTGGGCTTGGGAGGCGCAGGCAGAGGTTGTGTGCAAGTCAGGAACCTCCTATAGCAAGCCTTTTGGCTTCACAGCTTAGGAGGGGTGATGAGGAAGGAAGAAGGGACCTAAGTGAGCAAATACACATTTGCAGGCAAGCAAAATCCTTGTGGTGCATATGCATTACATGTGTGCAAAAGCTCATGTATAGTCTACCTATACACTTGTGCATGCTGAGGAAAGACATCCAATGCGCAGTCACAAAACCCTTGGAAAAAGAACGCCGAGCGATGTGGGATTTTAACGTGAACAACAAAGGCTCACTAACTTGCACATGCTGTGGAAGGATGTTTAATAGGCAGTCACACGAGAGCGTTTGTCAAGTGTCTGGACAGACGGTCAGTGCCTGTGAGGTGTCCCAAGAATGGACAAATGGTCAGCGCAGCAGCAGCCACTCACTTGTGCATGCTGAGGAAGGACGTCCAGTACGCAGTCACAAGTCCCTTCGCCGCAACCTTCACTGCTTCCACTTCCTCCTCCGTTAGATTCACACTCCCATCAGTCGCAGTCACTCCAGTGGTGGTGGTGGTGGTGGTGGTATCCCTCTTCCCCACCTGACTGCCCGCCCCATCCTCTGCACCCAACTCCCCCTTCCCACCCTGTTCCCTGCTTCCACCCCCACCATCATCACCCCCATCACCCACACCATCACCACCATCACCACCGCTCGTCACCGTTCCCGACCCACCACCACCCTGGTCCCCTCCCCAATCATCCCCGACAGCCACACCTTCTCCCTCCCCCTCCTGTGCTCTCCCCTTCAATCCATTGTCACCTCTGTTACAGTCACCACCACCCCCTTCACTGCTCTGTGCAGCCTCACCACTCCCTCTCGGCCCTCTCTCTGCTGCTGCACCTGGCCCCTCACTTCTGCTCGCCTCCACTTCACGGGGTTTCGCCCCTGCCCTGTCAGCATTTGCCCTGTCAGCATCTGCCCCGTCAGCATCTGCCACGTCAGCACGTTCCCTGTCAGCGTCTGCCCTGTCAGCATCTTCTCTGTCACACTGACCCATCAGCTTGCGCAGCGCACTGGCGAGCATAGGAGAGCAGAGTGACTGGAGAAAGGGGCAAGGAGAAGGGACGAAGGAGGGGAGCGAGAGAGTAAACAATATTTTGAATATGTGCAGGTGTAAAACAAAGACCTTCACCCGTAAATGGTTATGTGACTAGACCATGAATGGAAATCATACACCCCACACACACACACCCAAACCCACCCACACCCACACCCACACACACCTGCTCTGCCATGGCGTCTGGGGGAGGCAGCAGGTGGTGCAGGTTGTATGTGGCGGCGAGGGCAGCGCTGAGCGAGCGCAGGAGGAGAGAGGACTCGAGCAGCAGACACGCCATGGTCCTTGTTGATGGGTCTGCCAGCTGAAGCGGGGAAGGAGAGAGCGGGTATGTCAAGGTAGTAACTGGCATGAACATACAGAGAGAGAGGACTCGAGCGGCAGACACGACATGGTCCTTGTTGCGGGGTCCGCGAGCTGCAGAGGAGGAGGGAGTGGGTGTGTGAAGGTGAGCAGCAAATGAGTTTGGCAGGGGAGGAGGGAGTGAGTGTGTGAAAGGAAGAACTCGAGTGAGCACATGGAACAGCAGACACGCCATGTCCTTGTCGCTGGGTCTGCGACCGGCTCTTGGCATGGCAGTGGTTGGTACAGAAACCCGAGTAGGGGAGCAGAGTGGCAGACGAGAATGGGTGCGAAAGGAGGAATTAGTGTAAATGCATAGGGGGAGGACTTGAGTAGCAGGCATGCCACGATCCTTGCTGAAGGGTCTGCGAGCTGCTCTAGGCCGTGATTGGCAGAGAGAGGGAAAGGGGAGGAGGGAGTGGGAATGAACGGAGCAACTAGTGCGCGCACACAGAAAGAGGAGGACTGGAGCAGCAAACACGCGATGGTCCTTCTTCTGTCATGAACGGTCGCAGCTAGACACGCGCTCGCTCTTCATATTCCCACTCACCTTAACCTTGACATTCCTCTCCTGCTCCCAGTTAATTAGTCGACTCAAAAGCCCTCTCTAAATTCTCACCTTGCCCCTGCTATTCTTCTCCTGCTCCCCCCCTCCAGAATCCCCTCTGCTCCTCTGCCCGCCCGCCACAGACCCCTCTCTATCCCCCCCATCGCCCACACCACTGGTGCTTTCAGTTCCCCCTCCGGCCACACCGCCAGCAGCCTCCGCACCTCCAATGGGAATGCTGTCTAGCATCTCATCAGGAGTTGACTTGTCAGCCCATCATTACCCGCCACCACGCCGCCACCTACCACACCACCGTCCTCCCCCTGTGCCCCACCAAAGCTACCCTCCGCCTCATGGAACTCCTCGCTGCCCTCCTCCACATGGCCTCCTGTCCCTGCCCCTGCTGCTGCCCCTGCTGCTGCCCCTGCTGCTGCCCCTGCTGCTGCCCCTGCTGCTGCCCCTGCTGCTGCTCCTGCTGCTGTTGCTGCGTCACTCCCTGCCCCTGCTGCATCTGCTGCTGCTGCTGCACCTGCAGCTACAGCAGAGTCGTCTGCAGCTGCACCCCGGTCAGCACCGCCTTCACCATCCAAGCTGCCGGCACCAGTAGCCATGGGGGCATCAGTAGCAGTCCCAGCAGCGGTGCTGTCAGCCTGAGGTGTAGAGGCAGGGGCGCTGTCGGCTTGAGACGCGGCAGCAAGGGGGGGCTGCTGGGTGAGCGGTTGTGAGGAGTTGTCAGTGGTGTAGAAGGTGATTGGAGGGAGGTCTGCCGGTGGAGGGAGTGTGGCAGGAGTTGGTTTTACTGGACGCACAACCCTGGGAGTGGCACGGGGGGAAGAAGGGTGTAGAGAGTGCTGGGTGAGGGGTATGGAGAAGGGAAATGTGGATAGGGTGCAGAGATGCTTGTGTGTGGGGATCAAGGGAGGTTATGAGAGAGCGGAGGGAAAGGTGGAGAGGAAGGGATAGGACAGCGGGAGGGAAGGAGGGAGGGAGGAACAAAGGGGAGAAAGAGAGAATACATAAAGGAATTTTTATAACTTGATTATTCCACATGCCACCCAAGTAGTAACACTATACTACACCTAATGGGCTAACACCTACTGACCTGGGTCGATGCGCGGAGTGCAGGGGCGGGTTGGAGAAGTGCAGCATGGCGGCATGCACCGTAACATCCAGCTGAGCGAAGTGCATGGTGTCGAATGTGGCGGGCGTGTACTCGTGCACGTGGTGCCACATGCCCCCCGGAATGCGCACTATCTGCCGCGCCACCGGGTCGAGATCGTCCGGAGGCACATTGCCCCGGCCCGCTGTGAATGGCGCGTGGAGTAGCTCGAAACGCAGCGAGACAGGCTCGTCGAAGGGTCTCTGGGGGACAGGGAAGAGGGACAAGGGTGCACGCATACAAGCAGATACAAGCACATGCAAGCACACAGGAGTGAATACAAGTGGGGGGAAAGACGCAAGGATTTGAGCAGCGAACATGAGAGGTGTGCCACCGGGTCGAGATCGTCCGGAGGCACGCTGCTCTGGCCCGCTGTGAAGGGCGCGTGGAGAAGCTCAAAACGGAGAGAGACAGGCTCGTCGAATGGCCTCTGGAGGGGAGAAGGGGCACGAGAGATGAGAGGCAGGCCACACACATGCCAGTGGGCTGCCAGAGGGCACTTCCCCCCCGACCCGCTGTGAACGGCGCGTGGAGCAGCTCAAAGCGGAGAGAGACAGGCTCGTCGAATGGCCTCTGTGGGGAGGGGGAGAAGGGCGCACACATGCATGCAAGTACACACACGTGCATGCAAATGGGAGAAGAGACACAGAACATGAGACGCATGCTGCACGCATGTGAGTAGGTTCCGGGTCGTCAGGGGACACATTCCCCCAGCCCGCTGTGAAGGGAACATGGAAGAGCTTATGAGTCATGACATGGAAGCATCCGCACACACCTTCTGGCGCACAGGCAGGTGGAAGCAGGCGACCTCGCGGAGCCCCACGTCCTGGCGGGCGAAGCGGATGCGGAAGTAGCGCGAGTGGTAGCTGCTGTCGCTGTCGTCCACCCGCCATGACGTCAGCGCCTCGCCCTTGTGCGTCTCTGGGACTGTGGTTGGTTTGGAGAGATGAGGATGGATGGAAGCAATGAGGGTTGAGAGAGACTTCTGAGATGACTCAAAGAGTTGGAACTTGGAAGGCTCAAAAGTGACTTGTGGGAAGGTAAGTAGCGCGAGTGGTAGCTGCTGTCGCTGTCGCTGTCGTCTACCTGCCATGACGTCAGCGCTTCTCCCTTGTGCGTCTCTGGGACTGGAGTTGGGAAGGGATGCTATTGAAATGTCAGGTTTCGATAATATGTCATGAAGTGTCTGGGATTGATGGGATGGCATCATGGCACTGAAAGTCAGGTTTTAATAAGACGTCATTGAAATGTCTGGGATTGATGGGATGCCAATGAAATCTAAGGAATTGATGCTATGTCACTGAAATGCCAGACATCGTTTATGGGCTGATATTAAAATGTCAAAGATTTGTGAGATGTCCCTGAAATGTCTCATTGAAAGGATCACTGCTCACATGCGTATTGCAGAACGCGTGAAGGAGACGCGAGTCGCCCCGAGCTATCCCACAGGCACTGCACCTTCACGCCGTACCACCTGCGATTGCATGATGCCACGTCAGCACGTACTGAAACACGGAAAGCCATCATAGTCATAGTCTTAAAACACAGACACACAGCACGAAAACTAGCATTTCGGCTAGTGCTTCCTTGTATACTTGTATCGTACTTCTTTTCAAATGCGTACCCTTGTTTTAGCAGGTCGAGGTTGTGGAAATTGTGGAGGTACACCGCTACCTCCAGCTCTGGCTGGTTTGCCATTCTTGACCGTTGATTCGCCTCAATTAACGGCGTCGATCAGCAGGTGGAGAAATTCGGCACAAGAGAATCAGAAAAAATGGCAGCTCTGGCTTTTTCCTCATTCATTATCCAGTCTGGTCCGAAATGCGGTATCAGGGTTGCGAAAAACGGCGGTGATTCGGGTGCTGCGAAGGAGGTTAGAGAGCAGCAAGAAACCTCTTACATTGCACACGTCTAGGACGAACGAGAGAGCGAAATCGGCGCGTTAGCCATGGCGAACGGAATCATTTACACCAGGCATACCAACGCGACATGGGACAACTCCATTGTCATCAAGAGTTTTGCAAAACAGTGGCGTGGCGAGTGAATGCCCCAAAACCAATTCCAGTGCCCTCCCAACCCAACCCAAACCAAGGCATCTGCGGGACCTCATTTGGAGAAATAGGAACTTGGCACAGAATAAACTGCTTGCTAACTTTGAATATAATTTCCAGTTGTTGGAAAACACTGATTGTTTACCTATTTGTTGTCATTTCGTAGCTTGCTTGAACCACTGAACCCCCTCGGATTTGAATTCTGCGTCACACAATTAGCTCTTGGGCTGCGCACAATTGGGATATGATGCTTGCTAGGAATAAAACCTGGCTACTTGAATCACATTAGCTTCGCATGGCTGCATGCAACTATGTTGGCTTTTCGTACGTGTTGGTATCCATCCAATCACGACACATCTTCTGCACCATGTCTGCTGCATCCGCAACTATCAACAGATGAGTGTCATCTAGAACCTGCAAAATAGGCAGAGGCAACAATAACCGAAATTATAAGGACTTCCATGCCTGCTTCAGGAACATGCTGTTAAGATACGGTACATGTACCGTGGCCACTGCCGAAATTTCACAAAAAAGTGAGCCACATGATAAACAGTGAGTTATTTGCAAAAGACCATAGCACCTGAAGAATAAACTTCTCAGCGCCTCCCCTCTTGCTGTCCAAAAAGATAATATACTGCGCCATGGGGATATCGCTGGACGAAAGAGAGCGGGGGAAGGGGGGGGGGGGGGAGGGGAGGGGATTGGAGGAAGGGGGGTTTGAGCGCCTCCCCTCTTGCTGTCCAGAAAGATAATATACTGCGCCATGGGGATGTCGCTGGAAGCAACGGATAGCGGGAGAGAGAAAGAGGGCGGGAAGGCGGAGACGGGGGGATATGGGGAGAGGGGCGAGTGGGGGGTGCCTCCCCATTTGCTGTCCAGAAAGATAATATACTGCGCCATGGGGATGTCGCTGGAAGCAACGGAGCGCGAGAGAAACAGATGGAGGGAGAGGGGGGGGAGGGGGAGAGAGTGGGGGAGCGGGAGAGAGTGGGGGACGGGAGCGGAGGAGGGGGGAAGGTGAGAGGGGGGAGGTGGGGGTAGAGAGATGGTGGTAGCGAAAGGCAATGGCGGAAGAGAAAGAACCGCAGGAGAGGCTGCACTGAGCCGTGCCGGAGATCCCAAGGAGAATGCGGACAAGAATGCAACGGTTACTCGAACAGCTGAACCGCCAGTGATTGCACGAATCGGTGCTGCGGAGACCGACGCGACAGGCGAAAAAACAGCCAATGAATGGAAGAACGGAAGAACGGACAAGCTGAAACACCGCGAACTAACCATTCAATCAGAACTCCCTTCTGCGCGTTCACCATCCTGCGCGCATCGCTGTTCACAGCCGCAATTCACGCTACTGCGTCGTTGGGTTACGCATACTACGATCAAATCAAGTGCGCTGCTAACGGCCTGCCTTGTTCTAGGCAAAGCTTTTCATGGTTGGCAAACAAGCCTGCCACGAAATTTGTGGGAGAAGATAAGAATGCGGATCGTTGCAGTCGTACCCGCTACCAAATAGACTCAGCATGGCCTTAAAAAGTACTTCCATCATAGCAATTCCAGGCTTGCTCTAGAAGTAATGAATTCTGGAGCTAACGTATTGCTTATACGGTACTCACATTCATTAATGCTTTTGCAGCTCATCACAATCCCAGCAGCACATGAAATTCCCCACACGCCTCAATCAAGACTGCGAGTGGGTAGTGCTGGCTGAACCTGGCCTGCGGTCAAAATTGAGCGACGCCTTATCAAAGATGTACCCAAAGGTCCAATCGTACGATGCCACGTCAACACATGAGGCCAGTGTGGGATTCCTGCGCATGGCAAGCTTCCGTGCCATGGTGATCCGTGCCGGCAAGGGCAGCTGGTTGAGAGCCCACTCCAAAAGACCGGCATCTGAATCCGCGAAGTCAGAGGCGTGCCTGGAGGGAAAGGAGATAAGAATACAGAAAGCTTTTTTGAGGTGCCGGTGTAGGCAGGGGCAGCTGCCTCAGAAGTCAGAGGCATGCTTGGAGGGAAGCAAGCTGGGGGGAGGGGGGGGAAGGGGGTATGGACTTGTCACCAAATCACCCCCGGATTGCAGGCAAAGGGTCTCTAAGCCCCCCTCAGCAGCACAGCAGCGTTCCCACTAGCACTGACCATTTGAGGAGGCGGGGCAGGCACACGCGGTTGTCAGCAGTCATGCCAATGCAGCTGGCAAGATAGAGGTCCCTCGCATGCTCCAGCTGCGAGTGCAGGGAGTGTGGCAGGTAGGCTCGCAGCACAGGCGCGCTCAGCGACCCCGGAGAGAGAGCAAACGACACCAGCGGCTCCGCCTCCCCCACCACCCACTGCTGCCTCGGGTCATCCAGTGGGAAGGGCGTCGCATTCAGTGCCTTGGCCTGGGAGACGGGAGGGGGGCGACAGGAGAGACAAGAGGCACGCTCAGCGACCCCGGCGAGCGAGCAAACGACACCAGCGGCTCCGCCTCCCGCACTACCCACTACTGCCTCTGGTTGAGAGGGCGTTCAGTGCATTGGCCTGGGAGACGGGACGAGGGAGGCAGGAGTGACATGGGGGAACAAAGGGATGGAAGGGGAGATGGGGATGTGTGTAAATGGAAAAGCTTGGCCTTTGCACCTTGGCCTGGCACGGGAAGGAGGAGTTGGGAGGACATGGTGGGAGGAAAGGCAGGAGAAACGTGGGGGAGAAATGCACAGAGATTTTGAGACCTCTTGAATGTCTCCACTCCAGACTCTGCAACCTCAGCTGCTTCCGGACGCTCCCAAGGATTGCTTTCAAGGAAGGATATGCGTTCAGTGCTTTGGCCTGGGACGGGAGGGGGAAGGCAGAAGGGACATGGTGGGGAACGAGCAGCTGAGTGCGAGGGAGGAAGCAAGGGCTTGTGCTCTCAGAACTGGGAGCGTGTGGAACTGGGGAGAAGGAGAAAGAGAGTTAAAAAAGAGTGCACAATATTGCACTGTAAGTGGGTAGTGTAGTGGTATTTAGAAGATTTAGAAGTACTCACCAGAGGCGAGGGTTTGGCAGCAGGGGCTCTGAGAATAGAGAACTCGATGTCTGTTGCTGACACTGCATGGCCGCCTATGGTGTATGACGCCTGGAATGTGGCGGAGAGGGAGGGGCGAAAGGGGAGCAACGGGATTACATGGAATGGGACGGGATGAGACGGTTCATGGGGTGCATGGAAAGAGGGCAGAGTCAAGTGAAGTGAAGTGAAGTGTGAAGTGGGAGGGACTGTGGTGTGGTGGCGTGTAGAGCAGGAGCAAGTGAGATGGGGTGGAAGGGGCACCTGCAGACTGTCAAGTGGGGGCGGGTACTCACGGTTTGCAGCAGGGCAATGCGGCGCAGATGTGTGTCGGGACAGCCGTTGGTGATGTAGGTCTGGCCAAGTGCAAGGATGGGAGGGGAGAGGGGATGAAACGGGAGGGAGTCCGTCAGGGGACTAATTCTAAGGCGCCTTAAAAGTAGGGTAATGCAGCGGAGGTGAGTGTCAGGACAGCCGTTGGTGATGTAGGTCTGGCCACGGATGGGATGGGACAGAGGGAATGAAATCGGGGGATGCAGGAAACAGCAAAGTTGAGCGAGAACTGTAAGATCAAATCGACAAGGGCAGTGGAAGAGGCATGGGCATGGGAGAAGCACCCCAAAGAGGGTATTGAGAACTCCAGAGAATGACTTGAACATACCGAGAGCAGCAGCGCATTGTACACGTTGATCCAAAAGACAAGCCTCTCTGTGTGTGAGAGAGAGGCGGGGTCCACGAGACGCAACTGATCCACGTAATGCCTGATGGGGGTGTGGGGAGAAGAGGGGGGGGGACATGGGCAGAGGGGATGTGTGCTTTAAGTTGATTCAAGACAATCCGTGTATCCCTTTCCGTGTATCCGTGGCGGGGTCTACGAGACGTAACCGATCCATGTAGTGCCTGATACAGGGAATAGGGCAGGAAACAGGAGAGAAATGGGAAAAAAGGAGATTGATGGTGAGACTAGCGGGAGAGCCTTATATGTAAGCTTAATACCGGGAGCGCTTTGTCAAAGATTTGACTATTTTGGGCATATCATACCGGTGTCTCTTAAGTGCCGCCACGTCAGCATGCACATATGCGCCTTCCTCAGGTACTGCCTCTGCCACCACCAGCTCCCACCCTGCCCCTGATGCCCCTTCCCCTCCCCTCCCACTTCCCCCCATCTCCGCCCTCCCACTCCCCATCCCTGGCCCCATTCCCCCTTCCGCCAGCACCATTCCTCCCTCTCCTTCCCCCCCTCCGCCTCCCCCTGCTCCCCCCCCTGCTCCTCCCCCAGCTCCCCCCCAGGATCCTCTCCAAGCCTCTGCTCCATCCGAGTCTGAGGTTAGGACCCGCCGCCGGGGCCGAGGGGCAGCTTCAGCAGCAGCGGCAGCAGCAGCAAGGGCGGCAGCGGTGGTGGCAGCTGCAGCAGCAGTGGTGGCGGGGGAGAGACGAGTGTTGATGGGCGGGTGGGGAGGCTGGTTCTCCCCTACTCCCCCTGCTCCTCCTCCTGCTCCTGCTCCTGCACCTCCTATCGCTCCACCTCCTCTCACTGCTGCTCCTCTCCCCCTTCCACCACCACTGCCACCACCACTGCCCCCACCACCACTGCCACCACCACCACTGCTGCTGCCGCCAGCACGCTTGGGGCCCAAGGGGGAGAAGGAGGGAGACGCAGCCGAGGGGGAAACCGAGGGACCACCACCTTCAGAGGGCGAGAGGCACGAGGCGGCATGGGGAGTAGGGCTCCTGGGGGGCCGGCCAGAGTAAGCGCCTTCAGAAGGGGAGAGGCAGGAAGCGGCAAGAGGGGTGGGGCTCTTAGGGGGGCGGCCGCTTTCAGAGGGGCTTTTGGGGAGGAGCAGACGCATGCGGATTGGGTTGCCTGCAGTTGTTGAGCCGCCCGGGTTGGTTGTGATTGGGCCCCCTAGGTTGGCAGAGCCGCCCGGGTTGGCTGTGATTGGGCCCCCTAAGTTGGCTGAGTTGCCCGGGTTGCTTGTGGCGTCTGCAGCTAGTGGCAACATTGCATGCTGTCTACCCGAGGGATACCTTTTGGACGCTCTGGGAAAGAGGGGCCCCGATTGGGACTTCCGAGCACGAGAGGGGTCAGGTTGAGAGGGCTGAGAGGGCTGTGAGGGATGAGAGGGCTGAGAGGGTTGGGAGGATTGAGAGGGCTGGGGGCGGGAGGGGCCGGAATGGAAGGTGTGGGAGCGGGGAAAGTCAGCACCGGAGAGAGGCAGATGTGTTTGGAGAGCGTTGCTGGCAGGCAGAAGAGGATCAGAGCCCTCCCCGCCCCTCCACCCCCTGCCGTAAGCACCACCCATGCGCCCAGCCATAGGCATGTTACCTGGGGCGGGTGTTGAGGGGTGCACAGAGGAGGAGAGGCGCGCTGAAGGCGGGTGCAAGGGCAGGAGGTGCAGGGGAGGGGGGTACCTGCCGGGGACACCGTCAGGTGCTGCTGATGCGAGCTTCCAGGGTGTGCCTATGGCACTCAGCTCTGCTGCGCTACTGCTCTGTGCACGCTGCATCTTCCGTCCTCCTCCTCCTCCTCTACCTCCTCCTCCTCTTCCTGTACTGGTACCAACAAGACTGCTGCCCCCACCAGCACCAGCGGCACCACCAGAACCAGCAGCAGAAGCGCCCTGTCCACTGGCCGTCCTTTCTCCTCGCCCTGCTGTGGCACCCACCAATAGAGCCCTCCCTCCCTGCGCCTGACCCTGCTGCCCCTGCCAACTTTTCTGCCCCGGTTGCCCCTGCCTCTCCTGCTGTTGTATCTGCCCCTGCAGCCTTTGCTGCTGCTTCTGGTGCTCTCGAAACGCAAAGGAGGACGTCTCTAACGCGGACTGAGAGTGTGGAATCATCATCCTCCCATTCTCCACTTTCACACCGCTCCCACCGCCACTCCCACCGTCCCGCTTGCCACCACTATTCCCACCGCCACTCCCGCCGTCGCTGTTGCCTCCCACACTGTCAGAGTCCGTTTCCTGGCTCCTATCCTCAAGGGAATTACTGCGCTGTGGGGTGCTGTCTGCTCGTCTGAGCACCCCCCGCTGTCTCAGCTGCTTCGGGGGCAGCTGCAGTGGCTTCCCTGGGCTCCGCTGCTCTTGCTGCTTCTTCTGATCCCGTTGCTTCTGACCCCCTTGCTGCTGCTGCTGCTGCTGCTGCTTCTGCTGCTGTCGTGGCTTTTCGTCTCCTGCTTTTTCACCCACGCCCACACTGTTCACTCTCGCCCCTTCTTTCACCTCACCCCCATCACCAGTGGGGGGAAAAGGGGAGGTGAGGGGGGAGAGCGAGTCAGAATCCGACAGAAGCGAGGCAGTATCCAGAGGGGTCACAGCAGGTGGGCGCCGCAGGGAGGATGGCGTTGCAGGGGGTAGCGTTGCAGGGGGTAGCGTTGAGGAGGGCGGCTTCACACTGGAAGAGGAAGGGTTACACAGATTCTGATGCCGTGGGCTGATTTTAGGGGAATTACCCTCTGAAAGAGGCTCACGCACGGATTCTACCCCAGACTTCAGCCCGCCCTCGTCTAAATCACCCTCAGCTCCACCACCTTCCGACTTGCCCCCTGCTGTCCCCTCGTGCCCCTTCTCCCTGCCCCGCGTTCCCCCCTGGAACAGCCTCAGCAGCCCGCCCCGTACGCCCTCCTTACCAGCATCTCCGTTATGAGAGCCCAGGGACATTGACAGAGGAAATCTGGCTTTGGCCGACACTCTAAGATGAGGAGAGGAAGGATTGGACCCCTTTGGATCATCCTGTTGCCCTCGTACCCTGCTTCCTTCTCTCCCTCCTGCATTTCCCCTCCCTCCTGCCCCTCCTGACCCTACTGCCCTGTCTTGCTCCCCTGCTCCTCCCCCCGCTGCCCCTTCACCATCCGTTCTCGCCTTCCTTCCCAGGGACGACTTGTGAGGGGGGCGGGATTGAGGGAGGGGGAGGGGGAGGGCAAGAGAGGACCAGGCGGAAGAGGAGGAGGAGGAGGAAGTGGTCGATGAGGGGGGGAGGCGAGGCGAGAGGGACGAGGACACAGAGGTCGATGTAGACTCACTAGCAGAGAAAGCAGCAGCCACCACGTCCCAAGGATTCTCGTTTTTCACTGAAATCGCCAGCAGCTCAAGAGACCTCGGGTCAAGAATACGAGCCACGTCCTCCCCCCCACCCCCGCCTCCGCCACCCCCGCCCGCTCCCCCTCCGCTTCCTCTTCCTCCTCTCCTGCTGCCGCTGACGCTGCTACTCCTACTGCTGCTCTTCACAAGCCGGCTCCCCTGCATGCTCCCGCTCCTCCCAGCTACATCCCCTCCAAACGCTGAAACCGATCCGTTCAAACCAAAGCCTGGCCCGGGCAGCATTTGCTGGCTGCGTCTGCCACTGAGCGCACTGTTCACGGAGCCCTGGCGGGGGAAGGCGGCAGCCATATCTGCCATAACCCCAAGCCCCCCACTCAATCCCCCCAAGCTCCCTCCCATTCCTCCTAGCCCTCCCAAGCTTCGCCTCCAGCTGCTTCTCCTCTCCCCTCCCTGCTCCGACGCCTGGCGAAACAGCTTCGGGCTGGCCGCCTGCTGGGCTTTCTCCTGAGCTTTCTCCTGGGGATTCCCCTGCCCCCCCTCAGCACTTATCACCGAAAGCTGAGGTTTGCCAGCTGTAGAATCTTGGAGGGCCGTGCAGCCTGGGGGTTGGTCAGGACCAAAAGCCTCCTCACCGTCTGCCTTGCCGCTGCTGTTAGGAGCTCCCAACGCATCCTCCGACCCAGCCAAATCACCAGCAGCAGCTGCAGCAGCAGCAGCAGCAGCAGCAGCAGCAGCTGCAGCACCAGGGTCCTGAACCCCATCCAATGGAGAGGCGCGGGATTTGAGCCCCTGGTGGAGGCCTGAGACGTTCACGCCCCTCTCGTCCCAGAAGGCGGGGGGGAGGGGCACGTGCGTGCCGTGCCTCATGTATACAGACGCCACAGTGCGAAGCAGAGCCACTGAGAGGTCACATGGACGCGAGGACAGGTCCCTCACTGGGATACCAACCGCTGCTCCTCCTCCTCCTGCTGCTGCTGCTCCTGCTCCTGCTGCTGCTCCTGCTGCTCCTGCTGCCCCTGCTGCTCCTGTTGCTCCTCCTGCAGTGCTGCTGGTTGACAGGTCGCCTGCAGCAGAGGAGTGCTTCGTGTGGTTCCGGCCTCTGGGCGTCCTACCCTTCTCGTCAGCAGAGGAGTCGCGGGAGGAGGGCGCAGGGACAGTCTCAGAGCGCGCAAACGCAGGCGAGCGGGCGGGAGCAGGTGAGCGGGCAGAAGCAGGCGATTGAGCAGAAGGAGGAGATTGAGCAGAAGCATGGGAGCGGACAGAAGGAGGAGAGCGGGCAGAAGGAGGAGAGCAGGCAGAAGCAGGCTTGAACCCACCGCTTTCTCCTCCCTCAGCTCCCTGATTCTCTTCCACTCCACTGATGCTCTCCCCTTCCGTTTTTCTTCCACTCACATCCCCTCCTTGCACACTCGCAGCAGCAAAGTCCAGAGAACCCTGCCTCTCAGGAGACTCCGCGTCAGGGTCATGCCCCCCCCGCTGAGACTCTCCTAATCCTGCTGTCCCTGCTACCCCTGCTGGCCCTCCTAACCTCCCTGCCCATGCTCCCCTTGCTGCTGCCCCGTGTGCAGGTGGGGAATCCAGGAAGTCACGGAAGCTTCCGGTGGCGGCTCGTTGCCGAGAGGGGGAAGGGGAACAGGGCGCACCACTTGCAGTCTCTGCTTCGTCACCTGCCTCTGCTTCTCCCTCTGTATCTGCATCTGATTGTGCCTCTGCTTCCCCTCCTGCATCACTGTCTGCTGCAGATTCTTCTGCTCCTGCCTTGGATTCATCTGCTGAGCCTTCTCCACCCGCGTCTACCCCTCCTGCACCGCCCACCACAACCACGCCTGTCCCAGTCGTCTGCTCTGTTTCTGCTTCCTTTCCCTCTGGTGTTAGAAACGCTTTTCTGCCTGCAGCACTAGCTGCTGCATCGTCTGCTGCTCGCCCCACTGCACTTTCTGCTGCTTCGGTTTCGGCACCTTCTGCTCCCTCCTCCGCCTTTGCCTTTGCATGCGTCGCTGCTGCCCTATCTGCCCCACCACCACCGTCCCCCAAACCCCCAGCAGAAGCCGGATCTGTTTCATCAGCAGCCCAACTATTCAGTAACTCCCCGTTACAATCACCTTCGATTCCAGGCCCCTGTCTTGTGTCACTGCAAGTAACGTCTTCTCTGCCTCCATTCACATCCCTATCCCCATCCCCTTCTCCCTCTCCACCTCCCTCATTGCGCCTCCCTCTCTCTCTGCCTCCATCCACGCCCTTCCCTCCACCTCTCTGTTCTCGCTCATCCACGTCTGAGTATCCATTCTGAACCGACTCCACGCTTGCAGCTCTCACCACATCATCATCACATCCAGGTGACCCCCTCCCGACCCGCCCCAGCGGTTGCTGCGTTCCCCAGCGCTCAGACCCGTTGTAACGAGGAGACTTATGAGCTGACTCAAAAGACACCTCAGACTCCCCATTGCCAGCCCCATCCACCTGCCGAGTCCACCCTCCTTCTGCTAGAGCATTCAGCTCGCATGCCTGTTCCCTCGGCTCAGCCACTCTGTCACTCACCTCAGCTACCTGCCTACTCCGCCCGTCTTGTTCCCTCAGCCCAGCCACTCGGTCACTCATCTCACCTACCTGCCCAATCCGCCCGGCCTGTTCCCTCGGCTGAGCCCCTCGGTCACTCACCAAAGCTACCTGCCTACTCTGCCAGTCTTCTTGCCCCGTCTGCCTCTCTCCTCGGCCAATCAGCTTGCCCACCCGCTGGTTCAGCTCATGTGCACCACCATTCAGCTCACCTAAACTACGATTCAGCACATCCCCCCTGCCGGCCAATACAGCATCTGACGCCTCTTCAGCTGCGAAAGTTGCTGATTCTTCTCCTGGTGTGACCACTCCTGATTCCCCTCCAGCTGCAGCAGCTGCTGAACCCTCTACAACCATCGCTCCCGCTACTTCTGCTGCTTCGCTATTTTTCATTTTGCCGCTTTTTCCCTCTTTAGTTTCCCGGCTCGTTTTTGCCTCCTTCTGACCAGCCTTCACTCCCTTACGCCCAACCGTCTTCTCCGTGCCGCTGCCTCTCTTCCCTTCAAGCTTCTTCTCTTCATGTTTACTCTCTTCATGGTTCTTCTCTCCCTGCTTCTTCACTTTTTGCTTCCTCTTAACAGATCTCGACAGAACCTGTTCCTTGCTGGTGGCACCCTCTTTCTCCCCCCATTCCGCTCCTTTCTCCTCATTAAAGCCATCAATGAAGAACCCGTTGCCGTTGCATTTATCCCCGCTATAGTGTATCCCGTTTCCCACAGGCTGATCGATTGTAATAACAGGAACCTCTGTAGAGTTCCGCGTTCCAGGAGTATCGTTGGTCGTGAGCATGTGCATGCTGACTCGGCGTGCTCTGTGGTGTGGTGGGAAGTGAAGTGACATACGGGACACAGGAGGAAGCTTTTGAGACGTCAAAAAGTGGTGAGCATGTGCATGCTGACTCGGCGTGCTCTGTGGTGTGGTGGGAAGTGAAGTGACATACGGGACACAGGGGGAAGCTTTTGAGACGTCTCAAAAAGTGGTGAGCATGTGCATGCTGACTCGGCGTGCTCTGTGGTGTGGTGGGAAGTGAAGTGACATACGGGACACAGGGGGAAGCTTTTGAGACGTCTCAAAAAGTGGTGAGCATGTGCATGCTGACTCGGCGTGCTCTGTGGTGTGGTGGGAAGTGAAGTGACATGCGGGACAGACGGGACACAGGGGGAAGCAGGGCACGGAGGGGAAGATTGAACGAGGTGCCAAGAGAATTCCTAGGACGGGAAAAGGGGCAACCTCTCTGATCTTAAGTAATCAGCACACGGATGGAACAGTGGTAAGGAGCCGGGATGTCTGTAACAAGGTTATCTGTCACGAGGCCGCTTGTAATGAGGATAGATCAGCACACTCACAGCTGACTCGTTAGAACATTCAGTCGCTGCTGCAGCTGAAGCAGCAGCTGCAAATTTTCCGTCTCCCCTCCCCCACCCTTCTCCAACTCCCCAACTTCTGCCCGTCTCTCTGCTTCCAACCCTACTTCCCCTGCATCTACCTCTACCCCTACTCCCGCGATCTCGCCCCTCTCAACCGCACCTAGCTGCACAGAACCAGCTCCAACACTTCCAGGCTCCACCTTCCCTTGCTGCGCCAGTCGCTGCAAGGCCTGCAATTCTCCCGCCACCCACGCTACATCAGCGCGGGCACTAGCACCGCCACCAGCACCACCAGCACCCCCACCAACAGCACCACCGCCACCACCGCCACCAACCCACCCAGCAACAGCACCATCGCGGCCTTGCACTGCGCCCCAGGGCCAGTCGTCGTTCGCTCTGAGACCGTCCCGTTCGTCGCCCCCATCCACGCTCTCCACCTTCCGCTTCACACACCTCCGCCAAGAGCCCTCCACATGCGGCTCTTGAAGCCCCGCCTCCTTCTGCTGCAGTAACTGCTGCTGCTGCTGCTGCTGTTGCTGCTGTTGCTGCTGTTGCTGCTGCTGCACGGGCAGCTGAACATGCTTCTGACGGACAAACGATGAGGAAGGACCCGTCACAAGGTTAGAGGCGGCGGGCAAAGGGGGCTCGGCGAGCTGCGACGGAGTGACAGGAGCCAGCGGCCTTCGCTCGTCAGTAGGAACCCTAGGAACCGCAGCGTCAGAGGCAGTCAGTGCCTGATGCTTGTCAGGAGGAACCTGAAAATCCTCAGCCTCAGCGACAGCAGTCAGTGCCTGCCGCTCGTCAGGCCCTGATGGCAGCCCTGCTGGCAGGCCCGCACGACCAGATTCAGACAATGTGGTGGTGGACTGTAGAGTCGCAGATTCTCTGCATCTGGACGTATGTGAAGAGCGTACTGTCCTGCTCTGTTCTTTGCTAGGTACAGACGACATGCCACCGCCCTTGTGCCTATTTAAGGACTTCTTTTTCAGGCCGCCACGTGCGCTGGAGTTTCGTTTCTCGTCATCAGTCACTGCTGCCTGATACATGTTTTCGCCTGGTGTAGACGACGGGTCATCACTGGAGCGTGTTCTTGGTACATGGTCACCAGAAGAATGTAACAATCTGCGAGAGCGAGCTGCAGACTTTTGAGTCGACTCAGAAGTCACCTCGCCTGGTGTAAACGACGGGTCATCACTGGAGCGTGTTCTTGGTACTTGGTCACCAGAAGAGTGTAACAATCTGCGGGAGCGAGCACCAGATCCTGGTAATTGGTTACTAGAAGATTCTGAGCTGCTGGCAGGTCGGAAGGAGCCGCTTTTGTGGGAAGGAGCTGCCGGTGCTGGTAACTGGTTAGACAATTTTGAGCTCTCGTTGGAAGGAGCTGCTGGGGGCTCGGGAGAACTTAGTCGCGCTTGAAGAGAATGTTGCAGTGACTTAGCTGGTGTTTTGCGTGAATCAGTTGTGGGACCCAGTGAGTCGGCGTGTACCGAGGTGGTGTTGTTCTCGGGGACTCCGCGATCAGGGTGACTCGAATGCTGGACGTCACGCCACGGTTTGTGATGGCTGGCGGAAGTGACTGACGGCGATTTGGTCTTCTTTTTGGCCGACTTTCTGAAAACAACGAAATGGAGGTCCGGGAAACGCAGGAGGAAGAAATCGTAACGCAGCTTAATAAACATTTACGATAGTAATTTCTTGAAAGAGACGCATGGACGTGACAAGCAGCTGGAAACACCTTCCAGGAGCCAATTTTACTAACAAGACAGACAGGGAACGTGGCGTGGCCAGTGCGACGGCATGAACGCCACGCTGGGACAACAATGCGACGATAAGACGCTGACGACATGAAACGCGACAACACGACGAAATGACAACGAAACGCGACAGGATGATGCGACGACATGAAACGCGACAACACGACGAGATGACAATGCGATACAGACGAGTCAGAAACTAACGGACCTCTGCTTGGTTTCGCCTGCCTTGAGCTCCATGGTGACTGGAGCGACACCGTCCATTGTATAGCTCGCCGTCGAAGCTATTGTGAAGTCGTGACGATCTGGTCTAAATAAATAGGTACATTGCAGGGCTTACTGCTTGCTTTTGCTGACATATTTCATAATCTGTATCTGACTCATGAAAAATATACGTGCGCGCTTTGATGCGCGACACTATTGACTCGAACTAGGTCTGTTCAGCGACATACGGCTCCCTTCTACACTGTTAGCGGTTAAGGCCTGCCTTACGAGACAACATATGTACAAGGAAAACACGGCTCGAACCAACGCATAACATTTTCCCACGAAGACCTACCTCGACGCGAAACCTAGCAGATGGTCTAATGATGGATATTTTAGAAATGATGAAACTGGTAAGGCAAGAAGGCCAGATACGCAGTAGGAGAGGGAGGAGGCACGATAGCTGGCGAAGCGACAGTCAGCCAGTGACCGACATATCTCCCCCTAGCCATCCCCCTGACCACCCATGGAAACTTTCCTTGAGAACTTCCCGGGCAACGTAAGTGACAGTCGAGAATTTCGGCTGCCCAATAAGGGCGCGTGTCCTTGAGGTCGAACTTTTGCCAAAGTTCGAACTTCTAGAAAGGCTGTACACGGTAAGATACAGTTTAGAAACGTCTTGTCACGGTAAAAAGCGGTACTAGGCTCGAACTTTGACAATCTACACCAAAAGACACGCGCCCTAAGGGTGCGTTCCTGGCCAGTGTCAAACTTCCGGTGTTCCCGGGATGACACGAAGCTCGCCCCACAGCTCGCCCCACTTCGGGTCTTCCCTAAAAAAATTGCCCCTGGCTCGGAAAACACGAAGTTTGGCCGGAAGTTTGACACGCGCCAGGAATGCGCCCTAAGCTCTCTAGGTTTTGGGCTGTCAGGGACGTGATTGGAGGACGGTGAACCTTGGGAACTCCTCATTTGCTCAACTTTAGGTGCCCTGCTTTATTATGGATTAAGTTTGAAAGGTAGAAATGGTGGAAAAAGGAAAAGGTGATAAAAGGTAAGGGCTGGAGGGGAAGGACTCCACAAAATTCTTATCGGTAGGCTTGTGCTGCACACCCATCAACAGCTTCCCAGGGAAATATTCGTTATAAGGCGAAATCAAGTTTAGATTGTGAACAGAAATTCGCGCTGTAATATATCAAGTGCAGCTGACAAGGCTCTTGCAGGTTTTTTCCCTTCCCCGTGTCTCTTTTCTCTCCTTTCTCTTGTCCGCTTGGACCAGAAGCCTAGCGCGAGTTAGTCGCGCGTCCTTGACCTGTCGTCGCTCGTCACGCTCCCACCTCGCTTCACTTCTTCCCGTCCTTTTGTTTCAAAACCTTAGAATAATGGGCGCTCGCAGGGAGACGTTCCGTTGGGGAGATGCGGAGGAGGAAGAGGAGGGATTAGATTCCGTCCTCCCGCCGACGCAGGTGATCGGACCCGACGAGAAGGGAATAAAGATCGTTATCGAGTGGCGTCTTAACGAGGAGGGTCAGCGCGTTAAGGTGACGAAGAAAATCCGCGTTAAGAAGCAACTCAAGAAGCTAAAGCCCGAGGTTATTCGTCGCCGCAGCCTCAAGAAATTCGGCGATGCGGTCGGGCAGGTAAGCGCCCTTTATCTTCATTTTCTTATATCGCACTACTATTGCACTTCAGTCTACTGGTGTCGCTTTCGCTGACAGCTCTCTGCTACTTCAGCCAGTCCGGTGATAGCGTCAGGGTTTAAGCAGCCTGACTCCTTGTGCGATCTGTGCAACTCAATTGTTCCTTTCTTTCCCCCTTTCGTTTTCCCTCCCCTTACCTAGATTTCCACCATCTCTTTCCTCCAAGTTCCCTCCTTCCCTCCCTCCCCGCTCCTCTCTATCCCTTTCCACCCCTAACCGCTCTTCTCCGCTGCTCTCCACCCCTGCCCATCCCGCCGCAGGTGGCTCCGACAACTTCACCATGGTCTGCACGGAGGATATTTTCCTCGAGCGCCGCAAGGTGGCTCAAGCGCCTCTCCCTCACGCCTTCTCACCCTTCCCACCCCTTACCACCCGTCCGCGCCCCTCTCCACCTTTTTCCATCCCTCCGCAGGTCGGCTCCGACAACTTCACCATGGTCTCCACAGAGGAGATTTTCCTCGAGCGACCGAACCAGGCGCAGGCGAAGCAGGACGAGCAGGCGAAGCCCTCGGGCGACCTGGCGGCGATCGGCAGCGCGTCGCTCATGGTGTGTCGCATCTGCGGCAAGAAAGGCGATCACTGGACCTCCAAGTGCCCCTTCAAAGACCTTGCCGCGGCCCGCGGGCTCGCCGTCGGGGAGAAGTTCGACGAGGACGGCGCCGCGCCAGCGGCGGCCGCGCCGTCGGGGAAGACGTCCTACGTCCCGCCGTCGCTGCGCGCGGGCGGCGCGGCGTCGCGCGCGGGCGAGGACAGCGGCGGGAGGCGCGGAGGCGGCAGGGATGATAGCAACTCGGTGCGCGTTACGAATCTGTCGGAGGACACGCGCGAGCAGGACCTGCAGGAGCTGTTCGGGCCGTTCGGACCCATCTCGCGCATCTACGTGGCGTTCGACCGCGAGACGGGGCTCAGCAGGGGGTTCGCGTTCATCAACTTCATCAACAGGTGCGTGCGCTGGGAACGAGCGCCAACTAGGGGATCGCCAACACGAAGGAGGAAGGGGAAGAGGGAAGGGGCGAAGGGGGGATGGTTTTCGGAGGGAAGGGAAGAGCTCCAAGGGTGGGAGGAGGGTGGGAAGGGGAGGAAGGGGGTTTATGGTTCGTTATGCATTATGTGGCGCTTCACCTTGGGGTCAGCAGGGGGTTTTGATTGGTCAATTGCATAGAGAATTATTTTCATATTCCCTTCCCCCCACCACCCGCGCTTGTTATCACATTATCCCCCCTCACTCATGCTTGTTTCATCGTAATCCTGCCTCAGCCATCCCTGTTTTCCCCCTATCCCCCTCACCCTCACTCTGCATGCTTAGGGAAGCTGCTGTTTGTACAATCATCAGGGTGTCTCTTCAGTTTACTAGAAAATCACCCCTTTTGAGTCCCCCACATTTTGACTCTTATGTCCCCCACATTTTTCTTGTTTGTGCAGGGAAGATGCTGTGCGGGCAATCAACAAGCTCGATGGTTACGGTTACGACAATCTCATCTTGCGTGTAGAGTGGGCCACACCACGAGCAGATCGCGGCTAGTAGAGTCCTCTCTTAGTACGCCTCTTTGCATCTCAGTCATGCTTTTTGTGTCATTTTTCCGGCTCGTGAATTCAAGCTGTAGCTGTCTTTTAGGATGAGTGAGCGGCTACATGGAATCCAGCCAGAAGCTGTAGCTTGTGCTGCTGTGGTACCGTATGTGTATATCAAAATGAAGTTGACAATTTTGACCAATACCGAAATCTATGCTTGTCGCTATGCAACAGGTGAACGGTAGAGTGGCAGTTCTGATTTGATTGCAGGATTAGCAGAGCAGACTGAGTTAACATTGTATAGGTGCGTTCACAAATTTCCAAACGATATCTCCCAAGCGGGTTCGTTAAAACGTGGTGATGCGTGCATTGGGACTCTGCCCAACTCCCCCCCCCCACCCCACCCTGACATCGGTACAGTACCGTAGATGTGCCAGCTTCCTCCCTGACATTGGTCTCGCAGCCACGTGGCATTGACGACACTATTTGTCTTTATGTGATTAGGCCTGCTGTCAGTCATATGCATGGATACGGGGTCAGATGGGTTGAGAAAACAGGTTTGATTCAGTTGAGGCGAGGTGTCAGATTTGTGCCAGACGAATTCGCAGGTAGACTCAAAGCTGGACATGAGAAGGAGGTTGCCGGCCAAATTTCTTGAGAACTACTTGAGTGTTCACAAGAGGGTGACAGTTTACAGTACAAGTGTATTTCTGACCGGTGAGAAACTTTGAAGCAGATGTGTACTTTCTGAACAGCTGGGCACATGGGAAGTACTGTGCAGGTGGTATTATCTGGCACCTTGTCAGGAGTTCGTGTGCTGTCGTTTTGCAACGAATATCGTCACCATGCGCCCCTTCATTGGTTGGACAACGCGACTCAGAACATATCGAACATGCGGCTCGAGGCAAAACCATATTCGTGGGTCCGTTCGTGACATCTGGCCAACAACACGGCAAAACCCATCCACAACCACCTGCTCCCTTCACCAGGCCAACCAGACTCGAAAAGCATCCACCCCCTTCATATTCTCTCTCTGTTCCAGTTATCAATGAGTTATCAGCTCAATTTCAACTAAGCACTCATTCACCAGCAGCAGTAAACTTACTAGACACGCCTCACAACTAGCAGTCTCGCTCAATGGCTCGCGCAATCGTCCTGGCCCTCTTCGGGCTTCTCCTTATAGCTTCAGGCGCCGATGCGTTCGCACGCAAGGGCGGCGCGAAGGGGAGCTCGAAAGGAAGCTCCAACACACTGTCGCTCTCTGACGCGGTAAAAGCCTCAGAAAAGGCTAAGGGCGCCGTCTCATACAGCCAGGACCTCGTGACGCAGCTCACGTCCAAGGCCACTGACGCGATTGCCGCCTCCGCAGCCAAGGAAACCGAGGAGGACACTGCTCTTGCCAATTACGACACCGCTGCCGACACCTTCGCAACGTCCGTCTCGGACCTTCCCAAGGCCAACTTCCAGGCCGATCGTAAGAAGGCCCTTCAGGCGCGCCTCGCGGAGAAGCTCAAGGCCGCGAGTGCACGGACGGTGACTGCGAACAAATACAAGGACGCGGTGGTCGCATTGGATGCCCAAGTTATCGCTGCTGCTGGCGCTGCTAGCACGGGCTCCACCGCCGCCGCTGACGCTCTCACCGCCGCTCTTGACGCCGTCGATGCCGCGAATGCTGCGGCTAAGAGTGACCCCAGCCAGGCGACTCGCGCGGCAGCCGCAGAGAAGGCCGTCGCAGTGGCCGTCGCACAGAAGGTCGCGAGCGGGTGGGAAGTGCACATGGCGACGCTGACGAGCCTCCAGACGGCGTCCGCCGATCTTAACACCGCAGCGACGACGGCTGCCGACGATGCGGCGACGGAGGAAGGCAACATCAAGACGGCAAAGGAGACGGCCGACGCGGATCTCGCGACTGCCGTTTCGGATGCAGCGACGGCGCAGCAGGCGTACGACGCGGCGAAGCAAGCGCTCGACGCGGCGGGCGCCGCCCTGGCTCAGGTTCGCGCGGCAGTGAACAAGGCGCGCGCGACTCAGGTGGACAAGGTCAAGGCGATGAGGGACGCCGTGACGGGACTGTACACGAAAATCCTCGCGAACATCGATGCGTCGAAAACGTGGGTGGATGTTACCACCGCGGCGACGCTCGCCGGGCAGAAGGACTGGGAGAACCGCGCGTCTGGCAAGGCTGCCCAAGATCCCAAGGCTCTCAGCAACATGGACAGCATCGTCAAGGGCTCTGAGAAGGGCCCCAGTGCCGGTGACTCCAGCAGTGGAGCTGTGTAAGCCGCGTGTGGAATATTCACTTAAGCGGGATTCAGTGGTAAATTCTCTTCGTAACTTCTTTCTGCTGGGGTGTGGCTGGCCGGCCGACCGGGCGCATGACACGGTGTTTGAATAAGACGTGATCCGCCATGGTCTGGCTGTGCTAAGTGCCGCTGTGTTTGTACCAATTTTTGTAATGTATTAACCATTTTATTCAATGATAGCCAACTCTAACCGTCTGGTTCCGTACGTGCCATGAACTACGGCCTCATAGTTCCCTCGGTTTGCATCTGCCTGAATTTGTTATTCTCCACTTGCTATCACGAGAAATTATACATGCCCGGCATCTCAATCTGGGCATGAAAACCCTGCGCTGAAAGCAGGTACTGTACGGAGTGTGGACAGGGATAGGGGACCTGATTATGGCGTTCCACCCTGATTGCAAGGCTTCCGCCCCAGCCCGAACTTTGACTTCGAATAATCAACCTGAATTTGCATCTGGATTTGCATCTCGGGAATTCGATACACCTAGCCCTCGCCAATTTCACGCCCGGTCAGCTATTCCTTAAAGCCAAACTGACCTTTTTTGGCTATAGGGATCAGACACCCATGAACTAGAGTCTATCCGAGGCATTGTAAAGTTTCGATGTTGCCCCATCTGACGTCGAGACCGCAACGCAAAGACTGAATCTTTCGCTGCGACCATGTTTTATGGCAACCTCGAGCTCGCCGCCATGGCTGCAATCAGTTTGCCTGGAACTCACATTACGTGAAGCATGTTTATCAGCTGGCTTTAATTTTACCGGCTTTGGATTCGCTACACCTTTACGAAGAAGACTATACTCTTTATGTGTTCATCAGGCGAACATTGTTCGGTCTTCTCAAGGGTGTCTTACGCTGGTTCAAGCTTATAAGCCCGATGCTAACACGTGGCCTCCTAGGTTCTGGTTGATTGTCAAGGAACAACCTAAGTTAACTACCATTGGTTACACAGATGCTACGCAACGGGATGATCCCGAAGTGCTATCCTCAACAATGCAACACCTATGTCCAGAGCAATGGTCGACATCAGGAGACTTCAAACTATTTAACATTGATGTGCTCAGACGACCGGCTTATCAGTTCAATCACCACTCTCAGCTTTTGCTGCAAGGGCTTCTGCCTGGTCTTTGTCATCATCGCACGATGCCTCCGAAGAACTCGCGCTCTAAGCCGGTCGTTGACGCTCCTGCTGGTGGGAGTGATTCTGCAGGGAAGACTTCGCCAGGCACGGGAAAGGAGGTTATTGATAATCTTCCGTCGGAAGCGGAAGTGACAGCTGGCAGCTCTGGACTCACCCTTGAGGAGAAGTTGAAGGCGCTGGCTTCGGTGGCCTCAGACGACTCTTTCATTGAGGATGACTCGGACGAGGAGCTCGACATTGACGTGACGAAGAGCTCCTACCCGCATTTGCGCTACACGGCGATCCTGCTCTTCCCGGTCATCCCTTCCCGCGAAGTTGCTTCGGTCATCCTGACTGTGAAAACGCTGATGAAGCGTGTCTGGTCTAACCTGCTCACTGACGATGTTCTCGCTTCGGTGAAGTTTCAGGAGCTGCTTCTTGCCTTCGTCGCAAAGACACGCTATAGTCGACTTCAGGTCTCCTTCCTGCATGAATCTGACGCGGTGAAAATCAAGCAGACCGCGGTGGAACACAAGCGTCAAAACGGCACGACGATTCACTGCTTCTGGCTGCATCAGGAGGACGCGGCTTACCTTCGTAAGAAGGCTTCGGGCCCGCAGCTTCTGGAAGTTTTCTTCAAGAACGTCCCTGCTGACATCCCGCCGGAGTTGGTTAAGGAGATCATGGTGACTCACCCGCTCAAGATCCGGAAGCAGTCCGCTTTCGCCGAAGGCCACTGCTTTCACCGTGTGCTGCACCCGGTCACTGGAGCTGATACGGATAAGGTCAAGGGTTTGGTGACTCCGCACGCCGGCGACAAGCACCGCTGGCGCCATGAGTTCCGCCATCAGTCGCTGGGAGGAACGACCCTGTTGGCCCACTACCCGTTGCTATCCTGTGCGCTCTGTGGTGGACATCATTATGACAAATTTCATAATGCTTTCATCACGGAGCGTCAGAGTAACATAAAGAAGTGGAGTTTAACTGTGGGACGGGTTCATAGGATCAATGGTAACTGCATCTGACCTTTTTCGGGTTGTCGTTTTGCCTTACCTGCCTTAACGGCGGCTGCCTTTTTCGGGTTGTCGTTTTTCGGGTTCATAGGATCAATGGTGACTGACGTGCCGCTTGCCTCTCGCAGCTGCCTCTCTCCGCGCTTCCCCGCTTATCACCCCGCTACTGTTGGATGCGGCTTTTGTGCTGATCTCTACTGGGAGCAACCGCGAGGAATGGCTGTGCACCCTCGAGAGCTGCGGGAAGGCCCACGGCAAGTCCTTCATGGCTGCAGCCGATCATATCACGGCGGCGAGTCACTTGCTGGGCCTGGAGAAGCTGGGTGCTGCCACCCGCTGTTCCCTGGAGAAGCTGGGTCTGCATATCATCCGCAAGGAGTACCGGATCTGAGATCATCACCCGCGTACCTGATGCAGTATAGAGTTGTTGTGGAGCTGATGCTTGTTGGTGTAGTCGTAGCCGGTTGTACCCGCCCGTGGATGCGATGGGGCTTGTCATCAGTGATTAAATGAGTACGAAGAGTCTGTTATCATTTGCAGGCCTGAATGTCAACGGCCTGGGGGACGGGAACAAGCAACAACGCACGAAATCATGGATCAGACAAGCAGCAGATGTCATTGTGCTAGCTGACGTTAGGCTCTCGGACGATCACACCTTCTGGAAGTCTCTTAACCAACCCAACATCTTAGTCGCCTCTCCTACCTCCAAAGCCGGGGGTGTGGCTCTTATCTGCCGCAGGCCTGGCCTCTCCCTCCATAACACGCTCGTTCACCCGTCAGGCAGACTTGTCGCGGCGGAGGTTCGCCTTGACTCCTTCAGTATCACCCTGCTGGCTGTCTATCTCCCGGCGGATAAAGTCGAAAGAAAGGTTTTCGTCCGTAGGACGCTGGGCCCAGTGGTTGAGTCGGTGCAGCCGGGGTCGCACCTGCTTATCCTGGGGGATTTCAACCTGGTAGAGGACCCGCTGCTGGACAGAACGTCGAAGAAAGGGTCAGCAAAAGAGAACGAGGAGCTGTATCAGCGATGAAGTGCTTTCAATGTTTCAGACGCTTTCAGGGTGCTGCATCCTTACAAGCGCGAGTTCACCTTTTACTCGTGCGCTAACCAGTCCAGCTTGCGGATTGACAGGGCGCTTATTTCGCAGTCGCTGCTGTCGCACGTGGAGTTCGCCACGCACATCATGCCGGCAGACTCGATCTCGGACCACAGCTTCGCGGTGAAGGCTGCTTTCAGGATGGACACACGGGTGAAGCTGGGTCCCGGGCTTTGGAGGTTGCCTGCATACATGGTCGGTCGGCCGGGGGTCAGAAAGATTATTGAAGCAGTGGAAAGGCAGGTGGCGTCAAACGGAGAGAACTTTGAGCTGCTGATCTCGAGGCTTAACGCCGGCCTTAAATCTTACGTAAAGGAGGAGCGCAAGCGGGTTAAAGCCACAATGACCCACCTTCAGGATGCGGTAGAGGCACTGAAACAAGCGTGGTTAGGTGATCCGGGGGACGACCGGCTGAAGGCTCTGCTGGTTGAGAAGGAGTCGCAGCTTCGCGGTTACCAACTGGCGAGGCAGGAAAGGCTGCATGAGATGGCTAGCATGAACGAGGCGGTGGCTGGGGAGGTCGCGACCCCGTTCCTGTCAGGGAAGATTAAGGTAGGGCGGGAGAAAATGCAGATCAAGGAGCTGAGTGCTGGAGGTGTGACGGTCACTGACAATAAAGCGATTTTGGGGGTTGCGTCGCAGTTCTACAGAAACCTCTTCGGGCACGACAGGCAGCAGATTGAGTCGGGCTGGGTTCCTGCCGCTGGCAGAACGCTGTCGCCGATAGCTAGGAATAGGCTGATGGCGGCTTGGTCGGAGAAGGAGGTGAAGAGCGCTTTTCATGCGATGGCGAAGAATAAGGCTCCAGGGTATGATGGGTTGCCGAAGGAGCTGTTTGAGGAGCATTGGGATGTGCTGGGTAAGCACTTCATGGCGCTGGTGGAGAGTTTCACCGAGACGGCGGTGCTCCCTGCAAGTACAAAGAGTGCTGTCACTATTCTGTTACACAAAAAAGGCGGAAGAGATGCGGTGGAGAACTATCGCCCAATCACGCTTCTGAGCTTCACTTACAAGGTGCTTGCGCAGGTGGTCGCAGACAGAATGAAAAGGGTCTTGAACGAAGTGATCTCGCCGGAGCAGTACGGGTTCCTGCCGGGCCGGAGGCTCTCGGACGCGGTGGGGTTGGTCGCGGATGTGATTGACGCTGCAAAAAACGAGCAGGCAGACTGGTACCTCCTGCTGGTGGATTTCCAGAAGGCCTTTGATTCAGTCTCGAGGAATTATCTGTTTCTGGTGCTGGAAAAGATGGGCTTTCCCAGCAGGTTTGTCGGCTGGATCAAGGGCCTGCACGAGGAAACACAGTCACGGCTGTTAGTCAACGGCTGGATGGGGGAAGTGGTTGAGGTGGTATCGGGGGTGCGGCAAGGCTGCCCTCTAGCGCCGTACCTTTTTCTGTGTGCTGTTGAGCCGTTGGCGCAGGAAGCCATGAACCGCAGCCTGGGTCTCACAGGGGGTGCTCAGCGGCTGGCTTACCTGGGATACGCGGACGACACGACGTTGCTCCTGCAAGGGGAGGCTCAGATAGCAGAGGCTGAAAAGCTGCTTGACGACTTCGAAAAGGAGTCGGGGTTGGCGACCAACAAATCGAAGTCTGACGTCTTACCTTTGGGCTGTAATCTGAATAAGCAGGCCAGCAAGACGGACGGCTTCAAATGGGTGAAGGCCGATGAGGCGGAGCGTCTGTTGGGGGTCTGGGTGACGGCGGCCGGCTGCTGCGCGCCTACCTGGGAGAAGGCTTTCGCAAGGATAAAGGAGAAGCTGAGACAGTGGGAGGTGCAACACCTGACAACCAGGGCAAGGGCAGCGGTTATTAACTGCTACATCTCGCCCATCATCTTCTTCCAGGCGCAGGTGTATCCGCCTCCGGTTGACATCTGGGGGAGGGTTCTAAAGCTGACTCACAATTTCATGTCGGGGAATCGGGCCACAACAGACAAGGCTTTCATTCTGTGGAGCAAGGAACTGCTCTACATGGCTAGAGAGGACGGGGGTGTGGGGGTGACCGACCCGGAGATAGCCCTCACCTGTCTCACGGCGAGGCGTATTGGCCTACTCCTCACCGAGACAAACGAGCTGAAGCGTGACATCATGCTCAAGGCTGCTGACTTGCCGCTGGGGCTGGACACCTTCGTCTCTCATGTCAAGCTCCTGAAGTGCTGGAGTGGGAAGAGTGAGCGATGGAAGTTGGCCTGCGGGGATTTCATGCAGTCGCCGCTGGCTGACACATCACCGGTGCTATCGCGGGAGGAGGCAGAGATGGAGAGAATTGTATTTAACCGCCATATTCTGCTTAACGGAAGGACTCCGGTGGGAGGGCAAAAGGCTGCGGGGAAACTCTGGGAGGTCCGGCTTGGTGATTTACTATGCCCGGACGGCGCGGGGGGCCGGCGGCCCAAAGATGTAAGGCTCCTGGCGAAGGAACTAGGCGGCACCAAACAAGCAAAGCTGGCGTTGCGGGCTTGGGACGCAGTGCCGCAGAGCTGGAAGCTGCTCCTACTGCCTGCCGAGCAACAGGTGGGGGATTGTTCGGCTCGGAGGGCTCCCCTCCAGAGAACCCTGGTGCTCAGCGGTGGGTAGCTGACGTCGTTGAAGGAGCTGAAAGGAAGCTGGCAGCAGAAGAAGCATCAGTCCGCGAAGAGGGAGCTGTGGGCGGGCAGATGGGGAGGTGAAATTAACTGGAAGGAAGTCATCAAAATTCGGGACTCGTTGGTGACCCCTAACAGGCCGCAGGACGTGCTGCTAAGGATTCACAGCCTGAATCTGCAGGTGGGGGAACGGCTCTCTTTCCTAAGTGGCAAGCCGGTCTGCCCGCACTGTGGGGATTTCGAGACCCTGGAGCATTGCCTCTTCACTTGCCCGCGCATTCAGCTGGTGGTGGGGGCGGTCAGACGGGCCATGCGCTTGCTTCACCCAGCGAGGCAAGTGGAGTGCTTGGGGGATTTACTGTTCGGCAAGGCAGCATCCACCTCAGCTTTCCCCGAAGCCTCGCTGGCAGCAATTGCGATGCACCAGATTTGGGCAGAGCGGTGTGATTGTGTGTTCCGGGAGAAGCGCTTCCGGGCTCGGCTCGTCCTCAGGCGCATTGAGGCAGCTTTTCGGCTGCATGTGAAGGTGTACACCCGCGCACTGGGGAGGAAGCTGGGGAAGGGCGGTGGTTCGAAGCAACAAGGGAGGATGCTGGCACTGGCGGGATTGGAGAATGACTTGCTTGGACGTATCCGATGCATGGGCGAGAAGGGCTGGAAGTGGACCCGTAATTTCGGGGCACTGTGGAACCTCGCGCGAGGCGCTCTACATCCGCCTTAGACACTGCCTCTGGGGCCGTTTCTAGCTTTCGGCCTCTCATGCTCAGTTATGACTGACATATGTTTTCGTATACGCATGTATCACCCGTGTATAGTTAACATATAAAAAAAAAATGTTTTATTTTTTTACCCGCTGACTCATGTGTTTTTTTTTTTTTTCCTGCTGTGTCCCAGTCGTTGATTTCCTTAAAGCCAAACTGTTTGAAACAACCCTCATATTCGGGTGAATTAGAAAAGAATACACAGGGGGGTGAAATTGGCCATAGTGAAGTTGGCGAGGACTATGTGTAATCCTCTCGGTTTCGCGCCGCACTGTTGCACACATTTTCGCCAAGTTCGTCGCATGTCGTCCAGGTATTTTTTCCGAAAGAATGTACGCGTCGCCCGGGTGTGCTGCAGGCCGCCCCTTGGCCACGTCACCGGGTGGGATGAGTTAGCATAATAATCTGTTAATGTTCGTTACAGGAGCTTCAGCTGCAAGTGACAATCAGGACAATATCACCCATAATCTCACGTAGCATTTAGAGTGAGAAAGACAGAGCAGCAAGTTCATTCTCGGCTATAACATTGCTGAAGACGAAACCTGACATTGACATTGTGTTGCGGCCAGCGTAGTGGAGGAAATTTTGTTTGACGTTGAATATGGTACAATAGGACATGGTTTCTTGCATGGTGTCAGATAGGTATGAGACGGACAGGAAGTGTGAGGTATGGAATGGCTAGAAACAAATATGGCTCAGCTGGATTGGGTATATTTGATCTCAACCTAGGATTTTTCCTACCTTTAATAGAGTCTAATATTGCTTATATAACAGTCTGGCACGCCGAGCGGGCCGAGCCGGGGCCCGTCCACTGCACCGGTCACGGCCTGCAAATATCGCCTGCTAAATCGCCTTCAAGTTCATCGTCGAGAAGAACCTCAACAAGCGGCATTCATCGTCGCCTTCCGTCGGCATCCAATCCAGCGGGTGACCTGCAGGCCTGTCTGATTTATGGACATCTGTCAGGTTTCCCCGAGAATTCAGGGCTAGGTTCAGCTCAGCTCGGAGATTTTCAGGGTTGTTCCAGCCTTGACCCAGAAAAATACTAACGGAGGGGTCTGGGGCCTTCCCCGGATTTCCTGGCCCCTTCCCCCCTTCCTACCCTTAGACCGTAAGCGTGCCCCTCTCCCCTCCCCTAACAACAACACCACTCCCCCTTTCCCCTATAGTGCTATGTTCTGTACATGAGGTATAGCTCGATAACTTGATTTTTCACGCATTTGCTCAGAGAAGGAATTAGAAATGGCCTGAATTCTAAGGGATGGATTCGGTCCCTTCCCGGATATTTCAGGGCTGATGTAGGACCAGCTCAGCCTCGTAAGGGCTGGGCTCACCTGCTGAGAGCAAGCGATAGCCTTGGTCACCTGCTTCTCTGACCCCACCCAACCATGTCATGTGACGACAGTCTTCTTCCAGTCACTCACTTTCCCCCCTTGCCTGAAAAGGTCTCCAAGGTTCTTCAGGTGGTGTGGGTGGGAGGCACGTGATACAGAGGCAGTGCTATTTGTCGACTCAAAACATACCTGCTCCGAGCTCACATTTCCCCCCCTTGCCTGAAAAGGTCTCCAAGGTACTTGAGGTGGTGTGGGAGGCACGTGATACACCTAGCCCGCGCCAAATTCACTAGGGCCATTTTCACCCCCCTGTGTAATTATTTCTGATTTACCCGATATTAAAGGGCTGTTTTGAATGCTTTCGTTTTAAAGAGGGTACGTTTCAGACATCTCTGACGAGTTAGAGGGGATTAAAAACGGGTCACAATAAACTATGGTCGAGTCGCCGTGGTAAGAGTGCGGTTTTTTTTTTATATATCGACACTTGGCTGAGTGGGTTGTAGCCTTCAAATTCTGGGAGTTTACTGGTAAAAGCCAAAATCGGGTTCAGGGTGCTTGCCGAAACAAGTTGCAGGGCGTGAAAATAGCGCGGGCTAGGTGTACAGAGGCAGTGCTATGAGTCAACTTCAAAATCACCTGCTTCCGAGCTCTCATATTCCCCCCTCATCTAGAATGATCTCCAAGGTTTGTTAGGTGGTGTGGGAGGCGCGTGACTTGATACCGAGGCAGTGCGATGCAGCCTGTACCACGGGAAGCTTCATCGAGTGAAGTTACATCTGCAGTCCTCGGGGAACCCAACGCGGTCCCGGGTGACACCATTACCATTACGAAAGACATCCTAAGGAGGCACGCTATCGCCATTATTTCTCCTGAAGACGCTTCGTCGGTTCGTTCGTCACGCGAACTCCACGCCGCGAGGGCACGCCGCGGCTGTAAGTGAGCCGAAAGGTCAAGCGAGTTCACGAAAGGACGTACGGCCGAGGCAGCCGAGGCACCATCAACTCCGCGTTGTGACTCCGACTCGTCGCGTGGTTGGTCTCTTGGTACGCACGACGGGACGGAAGAGCCGATGGCAGGATTCTCGAAACGGTGGAGGCAAATCGACACTGCTTCCTAGACGGTCCGACCGACGTAGTGGGGTAGCGTGAACTGGCAATTCACTAGCAAGCAGGAAGGCCTGCGCTCATGAGAAGGGGCGAGGATCTGGCACGACATCGACTGTGGATCGTCCATGGCGGTAAAAGTGATGCGTCCAATGTTGACAGTCGAATCTATGAGAGGACGCTGTCATCCCTGGGTGTTACGATGATCTACTCGCTGCGACCGCATGGGACGCTGGGGATTCGGGTGAACCTGACAGACTTTTCTTGGAAAAGGGTGGAAACAGGGGGCCAGGTCGCCCTCGGACTACCCAAACTGCGGCTAGTCCAACGCGAAGCAGAGTTGTGTGGGAGGATTGGTTTGGAAAGGATTCGACGGAGGATTGGTTTGGAAAGGATTCGACGGAGCTTGAGAAAGCACAAAAAAAAATTCAGGAGAGAGAAACCGTTTTCAAAGCAGGCTAACGCGGTCGATAAGGTTACTGCGCGATAAGGGTACTTCACAGCGTGGTGAAAATCAAGGTAGGAGCCCGTCATACTGTTAGCTAGTTATCTTTCGGAAGTGAACCAGCTAACTAGCTGGGCCACTTCAGGATTGGCATTGGATATGGGGGAGGTGCCTGCAGTAAATTGAATTTCGCGAAAGAAACCCACTTCCAGCTGGCTTTTCACGTCCGTCTTCACGTCGGCAAACCCGAGGAGGTATTTCGCGTAGATTAGGAACTGCTGCCCTCTTCAAACAGGAACAGCCAGGGACCACGTCCGTCATGTGGGGTCAAATCCACAGCGTATCACGCGCATTTCCTCCAAGAATGGGACCACGCGACAAATCATGACGCCGTGGTGCGACAACAGACTCCATCCTGTCCACAAGTCATCGGACGCACCAAAGCTTCTAGCATGGACGCTTGAGCGGCGAACTTACAGTCATGCCTTCGCCGACCATTTTATTTGACAGGCAGATCTTAAAGCCAGGGTCTCAAGTAAGCAAAGCAGCCATCAACTGCAAAGCAGTTGAAGATAGGTTACCTTGTTAGTGCAGGCGAATTTCTCTTTGGTTGGGTTGGAAACCTTCTCCCGTCAGTGCCTCAAAAGCAATTGCACAACAAGTTTTGAGTACGTGAGACTTCGACGAGTCTGGGGCATTTTAGGTTTGGTTCCGAACCAAATTTACAAACCTAGGAGGTTCGGCTACACCTAGCGATTTGGATTCGTTTCGTACCCCTCGCTTCACCCCTCTTCAAACTTCACAACTCGCCAACCAATCACACACAAACTTGCACTGTCGACTGCAAAACACTTGTAGTACATAAGACCCTGGCTTTAATTGATATGCACTGCAGCGGCTGCAGTGGCTTTTGCTTCCGTCGAAAGCAAAGAGTCATGAAGCATTCTGAGTCAGCAAGAAGATGATCCAGCCTGGATCATGCACAGCAAAGCAAATGACTCAATGTTTGTTTTCTGCTTTAGGGAAACTCGACACTGCGACCTGCTTTCATGTCATGCGAAGCACGCTACGCTATTCAAGTGGATCCATCCCAGGTGGCTCTCCCTGGTCGGGTCCCCGCACCGCGTTGTGCTCCCCGAGAACTATCCAGGACGCAGAAATCACGTGGTCCACACGCTAGAAAGTTCTCAGGAAAGAGGAAATGCCAGCCCGCATCCCGAGTCGCCAGTCAGACGAGGATTTCTGGTGGGCTGATCTCATTTGATCCCGCCTCTTGCGGACAAACCAACCCTCACCAGCTGGACAAACAAACGGTCTGGTACCCCCGACCGGGGGAGAGACCGCTGACGGTTCGGAGCGACTCTAGCGAATCCATTCGATGCTTTTGTGGCCACGACGGCCTCGGATAAGAAGCTTTAGAACCTGAATTGTGGCCGGAAATCGAGAGGGATACTGCCTTTCTCCGCCTGCTGCCTCGCGGTTTTCGATTGCCCCGTGGTTTCCCAGACAAGCTGATTCTGAAGAAGCTGAGGTTTTATCATAAACTGAGGGGATTCCAAGACGAGTTAGTATTTTCTCTCGATTCAAGTCTCAGACAGGCTTATTTCTGAGGCTCAGAGTTACTCGAACAAGTACTCATAGATTTTGCAAGCAACCTGCCACAAGTTCTGAACTGTAGCCTTCTTTCGTGGTGTTGCTGGTACCGCATGCTAAGCCCTGTTGATCTCTCCAATCTAGTTTCTGAACTATGGTCACGCGTTTCCGTCAGCCGTTGAGTCCTCACGTTACAATGGTAGGAGGCGATACATCCATGGAAGCGGCAATTGCGGATTTGGAGGTTTGCCACGCGTCGCTGAAGCACCAGATGACTAAGATTCAGCTGGTGAAAGAGCAGTTGCGCGAAAAATGGAAGCAGACTAACGAGGTATAACGCTCACTCAACTGATACAATCCTTAAAAACATCATGTTCGCGTATACTTGATAAAATACCTGATCATTTCTTGACACCTGTTTCACGCGATACTGCGCACTTGCAGGACGCGGACAGTCCCAAGAATTTGGCTCATCCCATCCGTTGGTCAAGCCCGGACAGATCAGGCTCTTTCTCAGCCTCCCAGAGCCAATCTACGGTCGTCTCTCCACCTTCCAGAAACCTGCTTCCGCTCAACCTTGCCAGTCACTCGGATGGCTCATCAGAGAGCGACGCTCACTCATCCCTCAGGCGATTCCCCTCGGGAATCCACGGTTGGGATTCTGAGGACCAAGCCATCTACGTCTTCAGGCCTGATGGCACCATCGTCATGTGGTATGTGACTGTCGTACGAGATTTGATTGGATTTGTTTCTTTTTGCATGTCCGCATCGAACATTTTTCAGTCAGATTTTAAACTGATGTGAGTATTCTATTCTAGTGCTCCTTGCTTCACCGTGGTTTGAGTTACTGACCTCCCTTAACTCCTCTGTCTTTCATGCCTGGTGTCTGCAGGAATTCAGGGTCCGAGATTTTGTTTGGGTACACAGAGGATCGGACGGCCTCTGGATGGGACTTAAAATACATTAGACTCCCCTTCGTCCCAACCCCTTCATTTTCTGTTATTGCTGTCTACAGGAACTTGGGGTCGGAGAAATTGTTTGGCTACACAGAAAAGGAGGCAGTCGGGCGGAAGATTGGGGAGCTGCTGTGCTGCCAGCAGTCGAACCAGGCCGCCTCGCAAATCATTGCCCTCCTGCTGGTCAGTCAGTCGAACTACACCCCTTGTTGACCATTTTGTCGTGGGTCACTCCTGCCTTGTCTCATTGATATGGGGCCGTCCCATGATTGTCTGGCCTGTGTGTCGTCTGCGGTGGGGCAGTGCTTGAGGCGATGATAATCCACTGGCCCATTACTGAGGCAAGAGCACCGTGATAACGTTTGTTCCTGTCACCTCCTCCCTTCTTTATCTTTGCAGGGGGGACAGTGCTGGGCGGGCAACTCTCCACTTACCAAGAAGTCAGGAGAGGTGATTGATGCCATGATTACCGATCGGCCTGTAATTGACGGCAAGGGCAACGTGAGCTTGATCGTGGGAGTGGCAAGTGACAGCCAGTCGTTCAAGGAGCAGGTCCAAGCTCTTCTCAGCAGCTGCAGCAGCAGCATGCACGTCAGCACGTCCCTTGGCCCTGTCTCCACTGCCTCTCCTGGTGCTGCCGCTGCTTTTCATTCTGTGGCTTCTGCTGTGCCTGCTGCTGCTGCTACTGCTGCTGCCTCCCTTCGGCCTGCTGCCTCCTTTGGCGCTGCCACAGAGGACAAGGCAGAGCGACAGCAAGTAGCAGCAGGCCTCAGACAGGTAGCAGCAGGCCTCAAGCCCCTCCGTTGGTCAAGCCCGGACAGATCAAGCTCGCTCTCGGCCTCCCAGAGCCACTCCGGGGTCGTCTCAGAAGCTTCCACAAACTTGCTTCAGCTCAACCTTCCCGGTCACTTGGATGGTTCATCAGAGGGCGACGCTCACTCACACTCGCCTCTCAGGCGGTTCCCGTCGGGACTCCATGGGTTGGAATCTGAGGAGCAAGCCATCTACTGCTTTCTGGGAGATGGAACCATAACCATGTGGTACGTGAAGGGTTCAGTGGGGTTGTAACGTTGTTTTCGCTCATTGCCTTGTCCAAATCTTCAGGCAGATTCATGCCCGTGTTTGGCATTATCATAAGTTCTTATTTATCGTAAGTCCTCCTTGATTTACTGTCGTTAATTATTAGATTTCCTTGATTCCAACCTGCTTTGTTCTTTCCTTCTTTCTTGCTGTCAACAGGAACGCAGGGTCGGAGAAATTGTTTGGGTATACAGCAGAGGAGGCCATGGGGCGCAACATAGTGGAGCTGCTGTGCTGCCAGCAGACAAGCCACGCCGCCTCGCAAATCATTGCCCGCCTGCAGGTCAGTCATTCAGATCAGACCACCAAATCAGCCACACTCCTTGTCTCATTTTGTCCGCTTGAGTTACTCCGGCCATAGCAGTAGTTTACCTTGCTGCGGCCAGCCCATTTTTCCCGTCGCCTGCAGGTGGGACTGTGCTGGACAGGCAACTTCAACCTTGCCTCTCGCCAAGATTAACTGTTGTGCCTGCCTGCAACATCCCCTTGTCCTTTTTTTTTTTTGCAGGTGGGGCAGTGCTGGACGGGCAATTTCTCCCTCATAAAAAAGTCAGGCGAAGTTTTTGACGCGATGATCACAGACCGGCCTATATTTGACGGCAAGGGCAACGTGAGCATGATCGTGGGGGTGGCGAGTGACAGCCGGCCGTTCAAGGAGCAGATTCGAGCGCTTATCGGCAGCTGCAGCAGCAGCATGCACATCAGCACGTCCGTTGGGCCAGTCTCTACTGCCTCTCCTGGTGCTGCCGCCGCTGCGGCTGCTTTTCATTCTGTTACTCCTGCTCTGCCTGATGCTACTGCGGCTGCATCCCTTGGTGCAGCAGCAGCATCCTTTGGCGCTGCTGCTTCCACTCCTGATGGCTTCCCATCGCCAGCCACGCCACTTGTTAGCATCCCATCGCCCACTGCAGCAGAGGACGATCAAGAGCAACAACAGTTAACAGCAATCTTAAAGCCGCTGCAACTGAACATGACTACAACAACACCACTGCGGCCTGTCCGGACTGCTGAGATTGCAGCAGGGAACACGCCTTCCCTCCTGGCTCCTGTAACTTCTCGCCCTGCCACTGCTCGTCTGCTTGCTCGCTCTCAGTCCCGCACTGCTCCTCTGCGTGTCCCCTCTGTGCCATGCACTGATGAGGTTGACAATATGACCGTGCCGCTTGCAGACCTCGTTGCTCGCGGCACTAGAGGCCTCGATTCGCACGGAGGGACTGAGGACGGAGGAGACGCAGCAGCGATGGCGTTTGATTTCCCGAAAGGAGAAGCAGCAGTGCCATTTGATTTCAGCGCAGAGGGTGGGCCAGGAGAAGGGGAAGCCGCATTACCATTTGAGTTTGAGGCAGAGGGCGAGGGTGCTGCTCACGCGGAGTTGCAGCACCCTTGGCAGATCCCCTTCGCTTCCACTGTCCTGTCCCTGGTAAGCTTTGAACTCCTTTGTTTCCCTACCCTCTGCTTCCTAGTACCCCGATGCCTCCCGGGAAATCTATTGTGCATGTGCAAGCAGCTGTCTGTGGTTGCTCGTGGAAACATACTGCCGTGTTTCTCTGCTCATTCCGTGCTTGTACGTATCCCCATCCGCCTCTCTCCCCTTCCCAGGCTGGCAGGGTGGCACAGTCAATCGGGCAGGTGCGCAAGCGCCTCTCCCCCACCAGCTCCACCGTCTCCTCTCAAATTCACCTTGCAGAGCCCATGCTACAGCAGCATCTCCCACTGCCATTACCAGCAGCAGCACCAGCAGCACCAGCTGCATCTGGTGCTGTAGCTGATGCCTCCCTGTCAGAAGCTCGTTTGCCTCAGGCGTCTGTAGCAGCGTCTCGTTTGGGTGGGGGCGTGCAGAGGAGGGGTGTGCAAGGGGGGAGGAGTCCCAAGGCTAGCAGGCTAAGTCCTGAAGGGGGCAGGCTCAGCCGTCACAACAGTGGCTCTGGCAGCTCCTGTAGTAGCTCTAGTACTGCTGGTGCTGCTGCTGCTGCTGCTGCTGCTGCTGCTGGCGCTGCTGCTGCTGGGGCTGGTGGTGGTATTTGGAATGGTGGCGGGAGTGACAGTGCTGATATCAGCAAAGGTTTCAGAATTCCGGCTGCCAGGCCTCGCCTGGAGCCTGAAAGCATGGCTCTGGATGCTTCTACAGTCGGTGCTGCTGCTTCTGCTGTCAGTGCTGCCACTGCTGCAACTGCTGCTGCCGCTGCAGCTGCCGCCGCTGCGGCTGCCGCGGCTGCTCATGGCGCTATCTCTGCTCCCACTCCTGAATCCGCTGCTTCTCCACTGCTCACTCTCGCTCCTCCAACGTTCCGCCCAGTTCACTCTCCGCCTGCTCCACCTGCTGCTGCTGCTGCTGCTGCTCCACCTGCTTTCGCTAGTTCTGCTGCAGATCCTTCTCTTTCAGAAGCTCTTCCAGAGGCTCCTGTCTTGGCGCTTACGTCCGCCTCCTTCCTCCCCTCTTCCTCCTCGCTCCTCCCCCTCTCTCCCTGCCGTCACCCCACTGTTGCTCCTGCGGCATATGTGACTCAACTGGCTCCCTTGCAGCCTGAAACGTCTCCTGCTGCTGCTGCTGCTGCTGATGATGATGCTGCTCCTCCTGCTGCTTTTCCTTGGCACGGCTTTGGCTTTAATTCTGGTGTTGCTGGTGATGCAAGTGCTGACAGTGGTGTTGGTGTTGGTGCTATTTCGCAAAGGGGAGCTCGTGCTTCTGCTGCTCTGGCGGCTGCTGCTGCAGCCACAGCGTGCCATGCACACATGGAGGATCTGATTCTGGCGGATACTCCCAAGGACCAGGGCGGCGTGGGCAGCGTCGGCAACGTGGGTGGCATGGGCGGCATGGGCGGCATGGGCGGCATAGGAGACATGGGTGACATTGGAATGGATGTTGTGAACGGGACGGATAGACGGGGAGGGGATGTGAATTTACTGGAGAGGCAGCAGAGCGACGTGAGGATGGGAGGGCAGGAACAGAGGGGGGAACTCTTTGAGCCGCCTCTCAGGAGGTTGCTGGAGAGGCAGCAGGGCGACGTGAGCATGGGGGAAGGAGGAGAGGAGCAGAGAGACGCTCTGGCACAGTGGCAGTGTGTTGCACAGAGGGGAGGCGATGGGCAGGGCGGTGGGGTTGCTGGGAGGGAATTGAGGGTGGAGCGGGAGCAGGGCAACAGGGAGAGGCAGGAGAGGGAGCGGTTTTGGGAGGATGGGGTAGCGCGGTGGGAGATACGGTGGGAGGATATTCAGCTGGGCCAGGAGGTGGGGCACGGTGAGTTCTTCTGATATTTGCATAGCTTCGTTATAATAGCATGTGCACCTGACCCCATCTGGGGCTATGCGCGCCTATCCCGTCATCAACATACACATTTCACATCCTGTCATCCATGCATGCCACTGTCTCTCCCATCTCGCTCCTCTCACTGCATTCTCCTCTCGCCTTTTATGCGCTGCTGGTGACGATGTTTGTTTGTTTGTTTGTCTTGTACCTATCTAATACTGCAGGTGCATGTGGCACAGTCTATCACGGCACCTGGAATGGCTCCGTAAGTGCTCTTTTGACATTTCTCCTTTGCCTCTTTCCCTTCTTTTCTTTTCTTTTCTTTCTGAAGCTTATTGCGGCACCTCGCTTGGCTCCATGACTGCTTCACCGTATTCGGTTTTAGAGCCTCTATCCACCTTACAGCCGCTCGTCTCTCCTTCCCATCGTATTCGTTTCTCTTGGTCCGACCATCGTTCTATTCCCTGTTTGCCTTCTCCGTATGGCAGGACGTGGCAGTGAAGGTGTTTGCACGGCATGACATTAGCGCTGACTTCATGCGGGACTTTAAGAAAGAGGTATGCGGGACATTTGCCTTGCATGAAGTTAGCGCTAAAAGAGGGACTCTTGCATGAAGAGGCAAGCAAACATTTGCCACCTTGTCATTGCCACTGAATTCCGGAGGAGATTACCCACCTGCAGGGAGTTCTCGAGGAAATCAGTGGCTTCTTGCTGTCGATGGGAGCGACTCAGCCACCTTACCATTGCCACTGAATTCCTCCTTTCTAACATTTTCCCATCCTCTCATCTCCCCCCCACCCCTTCTTTTTCCTCTCAGATCCGCATAATGGAGAAGCTGCGTCATCCCAACATCCTGCTATTCATGACCTTCCTCACGCAGCTTCCTCACCCCAGTGAGGCTTCACCGCCTCTCATGTTCCCTCGCCCTCTCATGCTCACTCTTTACCAGATCCGCATAATGGAGAAGCTGCGTCATCCCAACACCCTGCTATTCATGACCTTCCTCACGCAGCTTCCTCACCCCAGTGAGGCTTCACCGCCTCTCATGTTCCCTCGCCCTCTCATGCTCACTCCTTACCAGATCCGCATAATGGAGAAGCTGCGTCATCCCAACATCCTTCTCTTCATGGGAGCAGTGGCCTCCTTGGATCACCTCGCCATCGTCACCGAGTTCCTCCCCCGTGGCAGCCTCTTTCGCCTGCTGCACCGCCGCACTGCAGGGCTCACACGTTTACGGCTTCTGCGAATGGCTCTTGATGTGGTGAGTGGCGTGCGTTGACTTCACCAGGGCGTGGTGAGTGGCGTGCTTTGTCTTGACTTGCTGTTTGTCCTCCCCACCTGCCATGTGTCTCCTCCACTTCTACAACTTGCCATAACTATACCCGCACCACTTCCCCCATCCCTCCCCACATCCTCTTTCCTCCCCCTCAGGCGCGGGGAGTGAACTACCTGCACAAGTGCTCGCCCCCCGTGGTGCATCATGATCTCAAGTCAGCAAACCTACTCGTGGACAGGAACTGGACTGTTAAGGTATGCTCGTAGGAGGGAATGACAGAGAAGCACGTATTCTCTGGTTTATCAAATCACAAGTAGGCTGGCAGGTGGCTGATCCGTCTTTCGAGTTGCAACCACTGTCACTGCTTCTCTGTCATTCTCTCCCTGCGTACAGCCATGCCATTCATTCCCATGCTGTGCCCGCATGTCCTCCCTATACCTGACTATGCTGGAATACATCATGTATCTCGCCTCTGTTCTGCCGGTATGCTTCGTTGCCTGCCTGCATGACTTTGTGCCTGCCTGCGTGTCTGTCTGTGTGTCCATCTGTCTGCAGGTGGGCGACTTTGGGCTGAGCAAGATGAAATTTGCCACGTACCTCTCTGCTCGCTCGGGTCGTGGCACGGTGCGTTTCTCCTGCATGCTCTCTCCTGCCTTCCCCACTCCTGCGTTTCCTTTGCTGCTTTAGTGTTGCTCTGTCTCCTTTTCATGCAACACCTACAGCTTGAAGAGCTGTTTTTTTCCTTTGCATTCGCTCTGTCAATGTCTCTGTTTTAAGCACCCAAAGCCTTTTTCTCCACCTGCTTTGGCTTTCTTGAAACTTCTCGCTTCCTACTCTCTTATAAGCCTTGTCCCGCTCCTCATTTGTCCCGCCCCTCGTCCCGTTCCCTTCCTTCGTCTTGCCTACACCAGCCCCAGTGGATGGACCCAGAGGTGCTACATGCCTCTCCATGCTCCTCCCTCACCTCTCCCTACTATCTCCCCCTCTCTACTATCACCCTCTCTCCCGCTCTCCATCTTACACCCCACCAGCCCCAGTGGATGGCCCCAGAAGTGCTTCGCAATGAACCCTCTAACGAGAAGTGAGTTGCTTACTGATCAAGCAATGTATCGGTCACTTCTCCCTGCAATCGTGCGTCTTGACATTGGATTCCTTTCCTCCGTGTTACGTGCTCTCTGACATAACTTGCGCCCTCGCTGGGAGATGGTTTGGTTTGGTGTGCACCCTCTGACATGATCTGTGCTCATTCATCCCCCCCATGTGCTGCGCTTACACATGCTATCCCCTTCCACGCAGATCGGATGTGTACAGCTTCGGAGTGGTGTTGTGGGAGATGGCACAGATGGCAACACAGCATGAACCCCATGCAGGTGGTCGGGTGGTGGTTTTTTTTTACTCATCGTCTTCCATTCCCCATCCCATGCTATCCTCTTCCACGCAGATCTGATGTGTACAGCTTCGGAGTGGTGCTGTGGGAGATGGCAACACGCCAGGTGCCATGGGACGGAATGAACCCCATGCAGGTGGTGGGGGCCGTGGGATTCCTGGAGCAGCAGCTGCCTCTGCCGCCCTCCATCGACCCAGCCATGCGGCTTCTCATCTCCGATTGCTGGCGCAGGTACGGTTGGGGTAGGTGTGACTGGGACAGGTGGTGAGTGCGTGATATGGATTCTAAAGACAGGCTCATACAGCTGCCTCTGCCGCCCTCCATCGACCCAGCCATGAGGCTTCTCATCTTCGACTGCTGGCGCAGGTACAAATGGTGCAGGTGTGATTGGGGCGGGTGCGATGGGTTAGATGCGACGGGACAGGTGAGGTACCCTGCCTCTGCCTCCCTCCATCGACCCAGCCATGAGGCTTCTCATCTCCGACTGCTGGCGCAGGTATGACTGGGGTAGTGCAACTGGGCTGGGTGTGACTGCAGCCGGTGCGACCTTTGGGTCTGCAGTAGGTATTATTTGGGAGAGAATTGAAGAAAAAAAACCATAGCTGGGGCACCCATGACCACGGTCGGTGCCAAATATGGTGGGATTCGAAGTATCATGTTGAGTCGCTTTTTGAGTCGACTAAAAGGAATGGAACTATTTGAAGTATTATGGTGTGGTCTCCAGGCTAACGCTTCCAGGTTTGGAGCAGTGATAAAAGAGAGTTCAGCACCCTTCAAGCTATCCCAAGTTGGGGTAGCTTGCGCTTATCTAACCTCAAATATTTGTCCCTTCGGCCCCTACTCTCTCACCTTGCCTCAGCCCTATGGAGAGGCCATCATTTGATGAGATCACATCAAGACTGAAAATCATGGTGCAGGAGCAAGAGCAGCAGCAGGTGGATGGGAGACACGTGTAATCAACTACTGCAACGCTTAAATAATCAGGAGCAGGGATACTGTCAGGCCATTGGTTGCTGAGATCACTTCAAGACTGACGAGCATGGTGCAGGAGCAGCTGGCGGATGGAAGATGGGTGTGTGTATATTGATTTTCTCCCTCGCTGTCGGGTATATACCGTAATAGGAACACACCTGGTATTTAGTGTACATAAGTAGTGCGTGGGTTGTTATGAGTTGGTAGTGCTTCCAGAGGCTTCCTGGACGCAAAAACTAGTTGTGTACGCTTTGCTTAGCTTATGTGCACTGCTTTTAACGCGCCAATTGTGCACAGGATGTGTGTCGATAATGTACACGATACATAAGCTAATATTGTCAATGATAAATATTTTGTTGACGTGTCCGAGCATGTATGGTTGTGACATGAATACACTTCATTTGCACTGCGCACGGTACGACTCAGCTGTGCAAATCCATTGTCCTGCTCTAGATTCTCAGTTCTGGGCACAGACTGGCAACTGTACAGGTCTCATAATATACATTCAGAACAAGCCCACTTGCTAGAAAGAGTGAAAACCAAGCCAAATCTGTACAGGTCTTATAATATACATTCAGAACAAGCCCACTTGCTAGAAAGAGTGAAAACCAAACCAAGTGCAAATATTCTTAAATCAGTTTCGCAATTGACCTCCCCCCCCCCCCCCCCCCCCCCCTCTGCACCTGATGCTGTCACTCTGCTCCACGCTTCACGGTGTAGCAGTATCTCCAGCCAACACATTTGTGTGACTTTTGAGAATTCTAAAAAGTCACGGTGTAGCAGTATCTCCAGCCAACACATTACTATGCCATGGCAACCTTCCGTTTCCCATTCCTCCGAACCACCCAAGCATCTGCTATCACTCTGCTCCACGCTTCAAGGTGTAGCAGCAACTGCGGCCTACCGGGCAAAACGAAACATTACTATGCCACGGCAACCCTCTGTTTTCACTTTCCTTCGAACCACCCAAGTAGCACCCACCCACCTTCTGTCTGGTCCTTCACTGATATCAAACCTGTTTCTCCTGCCCCCACCCACCTGTACACAAAGCACCCCCCGACACACGCCCCTCCACACTCATCCCTCCAGACAGACTCCTTCAAAACAGGGACCACCCCTCTATTGTGCCACCACAACCTTTCGTTTCACCTTCCTCTTGACCACCCTTTCAGCCCCCACCTTCTCCCCTCCACCCTCTCCACCCCTTCCTTCCCCTTCGCCTCGCCCTGCCACTTTCCTCACACCACGTCGCTTCATCCCCCCCACTGTGCCTTTGACTCTCCTCTTGCTGCCCTCAAACCCAAGGAACTGAAGCAGGGATGAGAATGTGGGCCTGGTGCCGAGACTCTTCCCCGAGCCTGCGAGCAAGGGTCGGTGGTAGGCTCGGTGCTCTGCCTGTGCCTGCTGCACGGATTCGCTGTCCAGCCCGAGCCAGGAGAGCCGTGATGGCTCGCCCAGCAGTATGTTGCCGACCCTGGGGAAGAGGTTCGGGGAAGACAGAGGTGCATTGGGAAATTAGGAACGGCGCCAGTGGTGCTGAGAAGGGCTACAACGATAACCTTTAAGTGATACCAATTGTCAATTCACAAGTCAAATTGCCGGAGATACTCGGAAGGGGGGGTAACATTCAAATCGCACGGGAAAAGGACATACGGATGATACTCCCCCTTCTCAAGAGCAGTCGCATCAAATGAAAAATGGATTCAGAAGGCTGCCACCACACGGACTCACCTCAGGGCAGTGGTGCCGAGGATGGCCACAGGGATGTGTGTGAAATGCTCCTGCAACACCCTGTCCGCCCCATACAGAAGCTGATACCGAAGGCTTCCGGAGAGACCTGTGAAGGCACCGAATGCTACAGCCGATTTTGCCGGCGATGGCACTGCAACAGATGGCTGATACTGATCCTCCTCCCCACTCCCTCCAGATCCAGATGGTATCCCCCCTTCCTCTTGTGACGCCCCTGCTGCTGCTTTCTTTTTTCCTTGCATCACTTTTAATACAGCATTTGAAGCTGCCCCACCAGCAGCACCCACAGCTGAGCCAATCAAGCTCAGCCGGGCAGCGTTGAAGAAGAAACTGCCCACCCGCTCGGGCAGCTTGAATTCCCGGAGCGCGTAGCTGCGATCGAAAACATTATTGGGCAGTTTTTGCAGCGCCATCTGCCACTCGCTAGTGGCGGTAGAGCCGTAGGACCGAGAGGGGAAGAGGCACCATATTAGCGCCAGGTTACAGAGGGAGAGAGTGAGAACGTTGGTAAGGACAAACGGCCATTCGCGGATGAGTTTCGACTTTCTGTCCTGCCCGTTCTGCTGCCCGTTTCGCTGCCCGATCCGCTGTTGCACCTCCCAGCGCACTGCAGTGGCGACGGTGGCTGCTTGCTCGAGAGCAAGCTTGAAGAGGAAGGCTGGGTCTGCCATCATTCTGAGCGGTTGAGTGGGGTCGTGGGGAGTGAGAGGGGAGAGACGGATGGTGAGAGCGGGGTGGCGACAGTGGCAGCTTGCTCGAGAGCGAGCTTGAAGAGGAACGCTGGGTCTGCCATCATTCTGAGGAGTGTGGAAGGGTGTGGGAGGGATGAGGGAAGTGGGGTGACTTGCGCAAAAATAATAATAATAAAAAAGAGCAACTTTATTGGAGATACCCAGCACACCCAGCACACCCATCACACCCATCACACCCAGCACACCCAGCACACCCAGCCAGGCCTCTCGATGTGTTTTTGGGCACCCTGCCAGAAACAATTCGTGGCCGACCTTCACCCTGCCACTGCAGTGTGCCAATCGCGGCATACTCAGGAAATGGCAGGGTGTTTATATTTTCTTGTCGGAACTGGCAGGGTAGAAATCTCGCTAACACTGCTGAGCTCTGTACACCCGCATTGAGCAGGACTTCGTCAAATTACAGCCTGTTCCGTCACTGAGCGAGCTTAGCGTGTTAAAGGGACTTAACTAAGTTTCCAGCTTGTCCCAGCGACCAAGACAAAATTCCAGTGTGATTCTGTGACTTCGCCGAATTTCGGAAAGCGTAAGTGACTTAGCCGAATTTCCAGTATGTTTCAGACTTCGCTGAATGACCAGTGTGCTCCAGTCACTTGCGCGATTCTCTGAGTGCTTCAGTGACTTAGGCGATTTCCAGTGTTTCAGTGACTTAGGCGATTTCCAGTGTTTCAGTGACTTCGCTGAATGTCGAGTGTGTTCTAGTGACTTGGGCGGTTTTCCAGAGTGCTTCAGTGACTTAGCCAAATTTCCAGTGTGTTTCAAAGACTTGGCAGCATTTCCAGAGTTTCAGTGTCTTAGCCAGATTCACTGACTTAGCTGAAATTGGGGGGCACGAGAGTTCGACTGTTAAGGAGTCCTTAGCAGGGTTAAAATGACTTCGACTCGGAAAAGGCAGGGCTGACAGGATGCTCTCACCTGATATTGAAGGGTACGGTTTTACTCATGTCAAGGAGCGTCAGGGCGGTACAAGCGTCGAAGTCAATTTCAGCAGGGTGACCTGAAAAACTCACTCTGAAAAACAGGCTAATCAGGGTAAAACACCCTGACTTCCTGGGGCCTGCACCCAGCACACCCAGCACACCCAGCACACCCAGCACACCCATCACACCCAGCACACCCAGCACACCCAGCACACCCAGCACACCCATCACACCCACCTGCCAATGAAGGCGCGGGAAATGTCAGGCGGGGCGATTCGAGAGATGAGTCTCGCAACGGTGGGTCGCGCGTCAATGCTCATCAGCCGCGCCACCTGCGCTGAGCTCACCACGCCCTGGGGGAGATTAGCCAGGGAGGAGAGGTGGAGCAGAGAAGGGGGAAGGCAGAACGCACAAGACAAAGGAACGGCAGAGGGCCTTTCATCTCTTCGTGGGTTGTGCCTTTTGATTGGGCAGCGGGGCGTGCGTGAATGCCTTGTGTGGTGAGCAGTGCTCATGATGCATGTCACCCGTGCTCAACTCACCGCCACGTGTATAAAGAAGTGTTTTGAGACGTCTCCAACCCAACCACTCACCAGCTCCACGGCTCGCCGAATCCCAGCAGGAAGGTCCGCCATGGTTTGAAACCACTCTTCAAACACCGACTGCACAAACGCGCGGTCAAACGCCTTCACGTTCTTCCATCACCCCACCACCATTCACAACCGCAATCAACCACTCACTAGCTCCACAGCCCGTCGTATCCCAGCAGGCAGGTTCGCCATGGTTCGAAACCACTCTTCCAGCACCGCCTGCACCGACGCGCGGTCAAACACTTCCTCCACCGCTCATTACCACTCCCCATCACTCACCACCACCCACTCACCAGCTCCACAGCCCGTCGTATCCCAGCAGGCAAATCCGCCATGGTTCGAAACCACTCCTCCAGCACCGCCTGAATGGACGCGCGGTCAAACACCTCCCCGTTCCTCCACCGCTCTCCACCACCGTTCACCATCACTCGTCACCACTCACCAGCTCTACGGCTCGCCGAATCCCAGCGGGTAAATCCGCCATGGTTCGAAACCACTCTTCCAACACCGCCTGAATGGACGCGCGGTCGAACACCTCCCCGACGACCGTGCGACGGATGAACCCGTCGTCGTCGCCGTCGTCGCCGTCGTCCTCGCCGAAATAGTCGTCGTCGTCGCCCCCGTCGTCGCCGCCGTCGCCGCCCCCGTGCCCGATTCCCTTCCCGATGTTGCCGCCGCCTCCTCCCAAATCCACCTTTCAAAGAGAGTTCATAAACGCACAAATGGTGATGATTTTCTTTAGAACGTCGCGTGGGAATGCGTTTTCAAACGACTTCGCGTGGTGAAGGGATGGGAAAATGCGGGCCCGGGATAATCGACTTATCTGGGTGTTTCACCTGCGCGCGGCCTAGCGACATTGACGGTGGGAAAGGAAGGCTCTAGAAACGACTCTCCACACCCAAATATGCGGCGCCTCACCTGCGCGCCGGTTTTGGCGGTGGAGTAGGAGAGGTCGAGCTTCGACTTCTCCAGAGTGGCCCCGCCAAACGCGCCGTAGCCTTTCTTCATCACGGGAACCATCATCCTCCCCGCCGGCACCGGAGGAAAATCGGACGGCCCCCCTTCGCCCTTCTCCTGACCCTGCCCCTGCTCCCCCGTCAAACCCGCTCCTCCTCTCGCCGCCGCGACCGATACCCTTCTCCTCTGACCATAAAGACCGCGCTTGTGGAGTTTGCGTGGGATTCTAGGAGGATGTTTTGGGACAATACTTTGTGACAGGAGAGTCGGGCTGGACGCGAAAGACAGGGATGGGATTCGAGAAGGCGGGAGAAAAGACGAGTGCAGAGCGGAAAGAGGTGAGGACGACGTGTGGATTTTGGGATACTTTGCGTGCTGAGCGAACGGGGTATTTGGTTGGAGTAGCATGGCTGATCCTAGGGGACGCGCCGCCATGCTCGTACCGGCGGTAAGTACCGTATGAAGGAATATTATGGAGAGCACTACGACGGCGAGAGAGATTCTGCTTATGGGAATGATGTTGCGCTAGGAATTCGGTAGCGTTTCGGTAGAGCTTGTCTCAAATGGCTAAGTGAGAAGTTGAGTAGAGATTGTAATATTACTATGAATACAAAAGCAAACACACAAGATAGATATAGGCTACGGGGAAGTTGCACAAAGTTGGCGTGGCGCTGCGGAGTAACCCAACCCCACGAAACTGTCGTGTGGATGGGTGAACCGCGCCTCGGCCAATCCCAACCTGACTCAGCAGGGAAGTCAATGCCGGGCTCGCCAATTCTCCCAACACACCTAGAAATGGCGAGACTCACAGGGAATCACCCACAACTACCAAGACCATCCAAGAAGCACGCTCACGACTCCCTAAGCTAGCACCACCCCAGCAGTGACTTCATTAGCGCCATCATAGTCACACGACGTCATAAGGTCGGTGCAGGGCCGCGTACAGTCTTGGTCGTTCATCGACCTGCCAAGTTAACACACATCATCGAGGGCCCTTGCTGTCGTAGGGCCCTCTAACACTCCCCTGCCATACTACAGCAAGGCCCTTTATAATCACAGGGCATGCATACACACATACACACCAAAATAAAGGGAGACACACACAAACGAAGCACTCTCAAAGTGCAAACACGCACCGCACCAGCCATGGATAGGCCATGGCACCAACCACATCAAGGAGTGTCTAGGTCTCACTCCCCTCGCTCGAGAGCCTCACCTGCCCCACAGCCTCGAAGCAACGACTGAAGGCGGGGAAATGCAATGCCTTCGTGAGGTAGTCAGCTGGCTGCTCGCTCGTAGGGATGTACTGCAACTGCAGCTTCCTGCGCTTGACCATGTGCTGCAGCCACATATGACGACGCTCCATGTGCTTGAGGCTCCCCTTGAGCCCCATGCCACCTGCCACTGAAATGGCGGAGGAGTTGTCCACAAAGAGGGTTGTGGGCTCCTCACTCCTCAGCAGTTGAAGTTCTGCCAGCAGGAAGCGCAGCCTGCGCGCCTCCTTCCCAGCCTCCACAGCAGCAACGTACTCAGACTCAGTGGAGGAGAGCGTGGCGCAACGAATCCTCTGGCTCGCCCAAGAGACAGCAGCACCCCCGAGCACGAAGATGTAGCCACCAGTGCTGGTCCTGTTCTGCTTGTCTCCTGCATCATCAGCATCGGCGTAGCCCACCAGCTCCAAGGACTCCGGCCCGCCACCAAACTCCAGCGCCACATCCCTGCTCCCCACCAGGTACGCCAAGCACCGGTCCAACTCCTTCCAGTGCTGGTCACTCCGCACTGTCTGGCCCGACCCCAGCTTGCTGCAGGCGAAGGAAATGTCGGGACGGGTGGTACAGGCCGCGAACTGCAAGGATCCCACCTTCTGTCTGTACTCCTCCTCCTGACGAGACTGCCATCCCACGTCCCCGAAGGTCTGCACACTGAAAGGGTCAGAGGAAAGGGGGGTGCGAGGCACTCGCAGCGGCTGCTCCCCGTCGAAGAAGCGCCTATGGACCTTGTCCACATAGGCCCCCTGGTGCAGCCACAGCCTCCTCGTAGGCCTGTCCCGAATCAGCTGCAACCCCAAGTACTTCTCCACAGGGCTAATCTCCCGCAGCTGAAACGCACTCTGCAGCAGCTCACGCAGCTCCCCCAGCATGCTCTGACTGCGGCTGGCAGCAAGCAAGTCATCCACATACACCAGCAGCCAGCACATCTCCCCCTCAGCATCACTCTTGAAGTACAGAGCCTCATCCACCTGGCTCTTCTTCCATCCAGCCCCAAGCAGCACCCCATCCAAGGCCTCATACCACAGCATCGGGCTCTGCTTGAGCCCATACAAACTCTTCAGCAACTTACAGACACGAGGGGTCCCATCCTCGTAGTAGCTCGGCTGCTCCATGTAAAGGTCACGGTCCAGCACGCCATGGAGGAACGCGTTCTTCACATCCAGCTGCATCAGCTCCAAATCGAGTGCAGCTGCAATCGCTAGAAGCACACGCGCCGTCACATAGCTTCCCACAGGGGCGTACGTCTCCTCATAGTCCACCCCTGCCACCTGCGTGAACCCCTTCACCACCAGCCGCGCCTTCTCACGCTCTACTACCCCATCAGGTCGGAACTTGGTGTTCAGGATCCAGCGGTTCTTCATCACATTCACCCCTGGCGGACGCGGAACCAACTCCCACGTCCCCTGCTCAATCAAGCTCCGCATCTCCTCATCCATCGCCTCCTTCACCTTGTCGCCCTTCCAGCAGCCCAAGGCCTCCTTCACTGTCATCTTCGCTATATCCCACTGCCTCTCAGGGTCGGCCACCACATCAGGATCCAGGTCCGTCCACTCCTCGTCCTCCTCCTCGTCATCCAATCCCGCTGGCTCAATCACCAAAGCCCAAGCATACTTAAGAGGCGGGATACCACGAGTGATGCGAGTGGAGCGACGCAGCGGTGCAGTGATCGTCCCAGAAGCCAACACACGACCACTATCCCTGATTCCCCACATCTCCTGCTCCCCTGTCTGCGGCTCCCCTGTCTGCGGCTCCCCTGTCTGCTGCTCCTCTAGCTGCTGATCCACCATCTGCTGCTCCTCAATCTGCTCCTCCCCTATCTGCTGCTCCCCACTCTGCTGCTCCCCTAACTGCTGCTCCCCTATCTCCTGCCCCCCACTCTGCTGTACTCCATCCATACTGCTCTCGTCCTGCAGCTGCTCAGTCTCAAGGCGCTGCCCGTCGGTGATCTCCACAGACGGTGGCACCACTATCCCCCCCTCACCAACGGGCGGCGCCGTGGAAGACGAAGAGGAGGGTGGAGCAGGTGCAAGAGGGATGGAGGGGGGAAGGGAAGAGGGTATAACAGGAGGAGGAGGGGAAGCCAAGGGGGGTGAGGAGGAAGAAGGTGGGACAGGGGGAACCACACGAGGGTAAACTGAAGGCGGAGGTGGGGTGGGGACCGAGGTAGGGACATAGGGCATAGCAGGAGGTGCGACCACCTCCTCCTCCTCCACCGCCTCCTCAAGAGTGATCGGGAAGAGGGAGGGAAGGGGCTCATAGGGCATCGGACGCCCCGCATGCTCCTGCTGGTGCCAAGCCTTCCATCCTGCCAGGGACATGGTCTCATAGAAAACAGCTTCCACAGTGGTGATGAGGCGGTTGGACTCCAAGTCCAGCACAGTCCAGCCCTTGCTCGCTGCGGACACCCCCAAGTGCAACCCCCAGCGAGCCTTTGGTGCCAGCTTCCCCCCACGCTGCGACTGAGGCACCATGTACTGCACCATGCAGCCCCATACCCGCACCATACTGACATCGGGTTTGTGTCGAAAGGCGAGCTCGTACGGCGTCACACCAGAGGGCAGCGAGGCGTGCTCCACGCGGTTGCGCACCCAGACGGCCTGCGCCAACGCCAGGTGCCACCAATGATGCTGTACACCCATGTGCAGTAGCATCGTCCGCACCGCCTCCACAATGCTGCGCATCTCCCTCTCGGCCATCCCGTTCTGCTCCGGCGTGTACGGGCACGTGAGGTCATGGATGATGCCTTTGCCGTCGAGGAAGAGCGTGAAGTCATGCCCCAAGAACTCGCCACCCCGATCAGTGCGCAGCGCCTGCACCGTGGTTTTGCACTGCCGCTCTGCCATCGGGAGCCACTTCTGGAACGCCGCCAGCGCATCACTCTTCTGAGCCAAGGGGTAGGCCCAGACGTACCGCGACTTGCGATCCTTCAGCACCAGGAAGTAGCGGCTGCCGTCCTTAGCTGTTTCACGGAAAGGGCCACACAGGTCAGCATGCACCACTCCAAGCAACTCATCCTCCTCCGCACCCACTGACGGGAAGGTATGACGAGTGATCTTCCCCCCAACACAGGAGACACACGGTATGCCTGACTTGCCCCCCTTCTCCAGGTCCAAGCCCTTCACTGACCCGTGAGACGCAGTGCGCTCGATGGCATCAATACCAACGTGTGCCATACGCGCATGCCACATGTCCACCTTAGACCGCACGCCCGTCGTCAAGGTACGAAGTGCCACCGTTTCGCCTTCCTGCTGCTGCGACAAACACGGTTGGAAGTTCGTGCAGAGAACACGCCCCTTGAACTCTGCACGCCCAAGAAGCGACCCATCTGGTGCCCGCAGCAGAGTCACGTCGCCTGCATCCAGCAGCTGCACGCCACTATCACGCAGCTGCCCAGCAGAAAGAAGACTCGCCTGCACTCCAGGCACGTACAGCACGTCTGACACCAAGACACGCCTGCCCCCTTCTCCAAGAAGAGCGACTGTGCCTCGCCCCTGCACGTCCTGAAGCGCGCCGTTGAAGCCTTTCACTTGTTTGATACTACCGCCGCTGCTCATCTCCACAAAGGCAGAACGATCTCCCATGAGATGGTGGGAGCATCCGCTATCAAGTAGCACGACGCTCGGGTTCGCCTTCACAGCAGCTGCAAGAGCCTGTAAGCCCTCCCCGGCCTCAGGCTCCAGCACGACAAGAGGAGTCTGCTCTACAACGGGCTTCACCATCGCACATGATGACTGCCCGCTCCCCTTAGAGCCATCGCCCCCCTTGCCACTCGCGCCGCTGCCTCCAGAACCCTCTCCACCCGTGTCTGCCTCCTTATCTGCCCGCTGCTGACAGTACTTAGCAACATGCCCTGTCTGTCCACACACGTAGCACTTCCCCTTGAAGCCACCTTTCCCCCCCTTTGGCTGACCATCCTTAGCCCCTTTCCACTTCTCTCCTCCACCTCCAACCCCACCCCCAGTCTTAGGCTGCTGCTGCTGTGCCGTAGTGGGAGGGGAAGGGGATGAAGTCTGCTGGGATTGGGGCTTACCCTTCTTGGTAAAGACCTGGTTGGCCTGGGGAAGAAATTGGTCCTTCCGTCCCTCCGCTGCCAGCGTACACTCCTCCTCGATAATGTAGCTAGCGAGGGTGTCCTCGTCCAACTCCTTGCGTACCTGCGGCAGCTTCAGCATCCTGCGTAAGAGGTTGTACTGCTGCGGCAACCCCTTCACGACGTGAGTAATGTACGACGCCTGCGAGTAATCTACGCCGGCCATCCTCAGGTTCACTAGGATCTGCTGCGCACGGTTGCAATAGGATGTGGCGGACTCGTGCTCTCCCATCTCGAGGTTAGTGAGCGCCTGCTCTAACTGACCTATGTACAGGTCGTCCTTCGCCATATACGTGCGCATGAGAAACTGCCACGCCTGAAAACCGGCATCTACCTTCATGCGACACGCCTTAAGGGCGATCTGTACGGTTGGGGAGCAGCATTGGGAAATTGTGGTGAACGTCAGAACTGCATGGCGCGAAACTGTGTGAGAAGCGCCACTGCATGAGCTGGGGGAACATGTGTGGTACCGTCAATGAATCGCTTTAGCTGAGCGATCTCAAGCTGCGGCTCGATCGATTCTACCCATGTCGACAGGTCGTGGCGTCCTTCGAGTGGCCTAGGCACGACGATTTTGTCTGGAGTGAATTTGAAGAAGCCATAGTTGGGGGCTATTCCCTCGTCCCTCGACATCGATCCAATCGGGGTAATGCCCGGCATAGCTCCACTATCGTACTCCTCCGCATTCCCTCCTCCAGCAACGCTCCGTCGTCCTACGTTCGCACGCTCGTGTGACGCCGCCGCACGATGAACACGCTCCTGTACACCGCCGACGCTAGTCGTACTAAACCGAGTTGGTCCTCGCAGGACCCCACGCGACATCAACCCATCAACCTCCTCGTCATCGTCACCTCCGTCATCGGCAGCCATGTCCCACACCCTAGTGCCTCCCGCAGCTTGCTCTACATGTGGCGAGGGATGATCGCGACGCTGACGAGAGCGTAATCCCTCCAACATGAGCTCGTAATCTCCATTACTAAGCTCACCACGAGAACGACGCGCTACGAGATCCTCCTCTAGTGCGCGAAAATCAACGGCCTCAACGTCCGCCTCCTCCGAACTCATCCTCTACGACGCCTCGATAGGGGGCCACAAATTAAAATAAATTGTTCCTTCCTTAAATCCCTCGTCTCGGGGTCACCTCACAAGGGTCCTCAGACGAGTGGTAATAAATTACCAAACGCCCTATCCTTAAGTCCGAGAACGTAACTGGAGGGAAATTAAGAGAGGTTCAACTTAATTTAATAAGCGCCCTTCACTAACGCCGCACGCCAAGGCGAGTATACGAACGCTAATAAAATCGACGACGGAATTCTATGCGTGTTCGTTCCACGCTCACCGCACCATGAAGGAATATTATGGAGAGCACTACGACGGCGAGAGAGATTCTGCTTATGGGAATGATGTTGCGCTAGGAATTCGGTAGCGTTTCGGTAGAGCTTGTCTCAAATGGCTAAGTGAGAAGTTGAGTAGAGATTGTAATATTACTATGAATACAAAAGCAAACACACAAGATAGATATAGGCTACGGGGAAGTTGCACAAAGTTGGCGTGGCGCTGCGGAGTAACCCAACCCCACGAAACTGTCGTGTGGATGGGTGAACCGCGCCTCGGCCAATCCCAACCTGACTCAGCAGGGAAGTCAATGCCGGGCTCGCCAATTCTCCCAACACACCTAGAAATGGCGAGACTCACAGGGAATCACCCACAACTACCAAGACCATCCAAGAAGCACGCTCACGACTCCCTAAGCTAGCACCACCCCAGCAGTGACTTCATTAGCGCCATCATAGTCACACGACGTCATAAGGTCGGTGCAGGGCCGCGTACAGTCTTGGTCGTTCATCGACCTGCCAAGTCAACACACATCGTCGAGGGCCCTTGCTGTCGTAGGGCCCTCTAACACCGTATTCTAGATTTCTGGCTCTTAAAGGCAGGGTCTCACGTCCTACAAGTGCTTTGCAGTTGACAGTGCTACTTTGTTTGCGATTAGTTGGCGAGTTGTGAAGTTTGAAGAGGGGTGAAGCGAGGGGTACGAAACAAATCCAAATCGCGAGGTGTAGCCGAACCTGTTAGGTTTTGAAATTTGGTTCGGATCCCAACCTAAAATGGCCCAGACTCGTCGAAAGTCTCATGTACCCAAAACTTGTTGTGCAATTGCTTTTGAGGCACTGACGGGGTCCAACCGAACCAAATAGAAATTCGCCTGCACCAACGAGGTAACCTATCTTCAACTGCTTTGCAGTTGATGGCTGCTTTGCTTACTTGAGACCCTGGCTTTAAGCTGTTTCGAAATAGCTCTCTAAAATCTCCCTAGTTGAAGGATGACCCGCTTTGACCGCCGCAGCTAAAGCAGACGCTGTGGACAAAGAACGACTGAACTCAGATTTTCCTTCTCTCGCTCAGCTGAGCTTGCCTTGGCCTTGCTTGCGCCGGAAAATGGTTCTGAGCGAGAATACGGGATGGTAGGAAAGTGAATGTGAATGAACGAAACGAAGCAAATGCACGGGCGTTGAGATTGTGCCCCTGAGGATTTGCGTTACGCGTTGTTTGGCGCTTGGGAATGTCGCAATGAACGAAAACAAGCTCACAAATTGTTCTCACCCGCAGGGTTTGTGAGAGAATATGCAGCAGTGTAGTGAGCTTCCATATGTTTCCGGAATACGGGCAGTTTCGAGCGTTCGTGAAATTTCTGGAATTTGCTTTGGATTTGGAATGCCTGAACATTGGACAACGATCAAGCGCGCCTTCTGACAACTAGGTTCAACCAATCATCGGCTGTAGAAAGCAAAAGGGTGCCACGCGGGCAACCGAGACTCGCTGTAAAAGTGCAAAGCCACGCGGAAAGAGATCTTTCCCGCTATTGACACTGCTCATCAGGGAGAACAGGAATGCATCTCGCTATTCTGGAATGCAGAATACAGAAACTCGTATAAGAAACTGTGAAATAGATCTACCAGCTAAATGAAAGCTTGCTTGACTGCTCGCTGTCCGCTCTGCTCACACTAAGCAACTAAGCCAGCAGGAGACCGAAGCATACAATGGAGCGCAAACGCCACCTCCACTGCTTGCTATATTAGACGATGACCAACTTCTGGTTGGGTTGTGCGGACAGCCCAACATATTTATGGAAGAGGTGAGTGATGGCCGTGACGTAGCGAGCATGAAAATCATCCACCGACTCTCCCTCCTCAGGGAAAAGTGGCTTGCCCACAACCACCAGAAGATCCCTGTTTGGAAAGAAACGGGGGAGAAGAAAGGAGGGGGGAGAGGGTGAGGTGGGGAAAGGGGAAAGGGAGGAGAGGGGGAAAAACAAGCTATTTTCAAGGTGGAATGAGACGAGAAAACTTGAGACAACAAGAAACATATGCTTTGAAAAAAGCCATCCAGTTTACCCAAACGATTCCAGGTTTATTCCTAAGTACCATGCTTACCGTCTGAAGGGCAGGGTGAGGTTCCAGGCCCCGCGCATGAAGGGCACTCCGATGTTGACGTGGCGGTTGACCTTCTCCCAGAACTGAAGGAACCACACTGGGTCATGCTTGAAGAGCTGATGGGGATGCGTATGTAGGACAACAGGGGAATAATGCATGTGAGGGGTAAGAATAAGTGATTGTGATGGTTGACCTCCTTTCAGAACTGGTAGAACCACACAGGGTCATGCTTGAAGAGCTGATGGGGATGCGAGAGGGCAACACCAGGGAAGTGCATTTGGTGGGCGGTGAGAGAAGATTGTTCGCTGCAGTCTGCAATTTCCACATTTTGAAGGAAACATGCAAGGTCATGCTTCAAGAGCTGGCAAGATGCATGTATGATCAGGCACGAGCTCAATAGTGAGGAACTAAGACAAAGCAGAACGGTTATTCCTAAGACTAGTAGAAAAAAGAACCAAAGCCATGGTTGGAAACGGGCAAAGCAGGACAGACAAGGAGAGAACGGAAGGACAGCAGGTGGCGGGGGAGTGTGGAATCTTTGAAAGGGGGTGTGAGGTGGGACTGGGAGGCAGGATTTAGAACAATATTTACACTAAATCCCCCCATCCTTGCTTGTGCATTCCAGGCCGTGTATTGCATGGCCTGTGACGCACAACACACACCTGGTTCTCATTGAAGCAGTAGATGGGGACGACTCCCACCTTCTCCTCCACTGCTATGCGCGCAAACCCCTTCCTGTCAGGCCCAGCGCACCGGCACCATACACAAACAACAGAAACAACCAGGAGGCAAATCTGGATCAAACGTCTGTACACCAGCAAGCAAGAGAACAACAACACGAAGAGGAAAGCCTGGGGCCCGCCCCTCAGGCCACAATCCACAGCATTCTCGTTCAGGCACTTCATGCCTTCCTCTAGAGGAGACTCAAAAAGTGACTTTTGACTCGATTCAGACGACGCCCCCACGCTGAATCCACAGCATTTTCGTCGCACCTTTTCCCGTCCTCCTTCTTTGTCTCCCTCGTTCTCCAACCCTTCTGCCCACGACTACGTCTACAGAAGTGACAGATAACCCATCTGGGGCGCACTCACCAACGTGAATGAATACTGCCCATGTAAACTGTTTCGTACCTCCTCATCAGATAAAGCTTGTCAGTGTGGGAAGTCGTGCCCAGGCAGAGGTGGCTTTTGGGGAATCGAAAATCAGCTCAATTCCCTGTGTTTCATACCTCCTCATCAGATAAAGCTTGTCAGTGTGGGAAGTCGTGCCAAGGCAGACCTCCTTCAGGCCCCCGATCACAATGGCCATCTGCAGGGCATCTCAAAAGGGGGGATTAGTCCAAGGGGGGATTAGTTCAAGAGGGGGATTAGTCCAAGGGGGGATTAGTTCAAGAGGGGGATTAGTCCAAGGGGGGATTAGTTCAAGAGGGGGATTAGTCCAAGGGGGGATTAGTTCAAGAGGGGGATTAGTCCAAGAGGGGGAAGTGGGATTAGTTAGAGAGGGGCATTAGTCGGGGGGGTGTATTGGTCCAAGAGGGGGATTGGTTCAAGAGGGTAATTAGTCCAAGAGGGATCGAATGTGTTTATATGAGGACGCACTTGTAGCAATTACCCATATGAAAGAGCTCCAGCAAGCACACACCGCGTGTCACCAGCACCCCTTGACAACATGTTTCATGACAACTAGTTCCAAGACACTCACGTGGTTCTTCTTCCTCAGCTCCCGCCGGATGTTGGACTCGCTGGCAGGCATGGTTCCGAGCAGGTACAGCAGGTTACGCAGCACAGGCACCGAGTAGAACCCCGCTGCCGCCCCCGCAAAGAAGTCACCTGAGGGATGTAGGGGGTGTGATAACGGGATACAAGGGATTAGCTCCGACTCGGCAGGTTTCGCAGGACAGGCACGAAGTAAAAACCCGCTGCTGCCCCTGCGAAGAAGTCACGTGAGGGACACGGGAAATGAATTTCAAACTTCAAGCAAGCATAAATGGCAGCAGTCTACAGGAACACTTTCTGAGACTGAATGTTGGAGGCACGCACAAGCAACGACCCCCACTAGGGACGGCACTCGAGAATGTACATTCAACACACCTTTGGGGCAAAAGTTTTTTCTCCATTCGTAGTTGGTCTGGATCATCATGGTGTTGGTGTAGAACATGCGGCCGTGTGGATGGAACGCGAAGATGTATGCACTATCGGGGATGAGGTCCTTGGGGGCGATGTAGCGCACCCGCTTCATGTAGTACGCCAGGGCCTCGTACAGGAACTGGTAATGGGTGACAAAAAGGGAACATGAGCTTTATGGTAACGAATACTGAAGTATCGGGGATGAGGTCCGTGGGGACGATTTACTGCGCCCGCTTCATTTAGTACGCCAGGGCCTCGAAAAGACGAAATCAACGGGCGACGAAAGGGACGGTGAGCCGCATAAAAATATTTTAAGTGTTATCAGGGATAAGATTCTTGAGTGCGCCGTAGCGCACTCGCTTCTTGTAACAACAATAGTCTGGTCCCTTGTGAGTCGCTGTCACCATATTAATAACAGCTGACTGATTCCTTCATGTTCCTTGACCCAGACCACTGGTCACAATGAGCGTTACTCGGAACAACCGCTAAACGTCACAGAAAATACTCGAAAGCTGATCGCATGCAACACGCAAGGCTCACTCATACACGGATTGATATTTAAGCCACTATTCGTTTATGTGAAATTCCCATGTTCATTATATTCTTCTCGTGATTCACGCTATGCACTCACGACGAGGCGTCTGCGAATGGAGCGATTGTAGTAGGGCGGGCAGACCGCGAGGAAGAAGAGAACGACCGTTGCTATGAGTGGACCCCACCAGCCGAGCAACCTGAAAGAAGCGTTTCAGTCAACAAGGTTCCAGACTTAAGAAAATGCACGAGATAAATCTACATAAACTCTTAAAGGAAGGAGAAAGCGAAGACGGAAGAAAATGAGAAGCATTAAAATGTGAAGGAAATCATGAGAGCAGCACTAACATAAGGATTTACGAAAAAGTAGTTGAGGACGTCTTGGTGACATAGACAGGATCGAAAATGAAACATGGTACAGCAGTCACTAGAAAACTTACTGGTACACGAGGTAGTAGTTGAAGATAGTGTTGACGATAGGCATGAGTGTGAACGGAATCATGTGGTAACAGTAGACAATGAGGAGATCCGATAGACGCATCGGCCGTGGCTTCACCATATCGCGGATCTCCATGCCATCCTTTTCTAGAAGCTTCGACAGTTCCGCCTCGTCTTTGCCGTCCTCCAGCGTGTATATATGATCGTCTTTATACTCGTCCTGAACGGGCTGAGAAACAGCTCGCCGGACAACATTGCTTTTAGGGTCTGATCCGTCCATGCCGTTTGGAACGCTCGTCTGCATTGCTGTTGCCACGTTGGGGCTCATGGCAATAAGACCCCTGGTCTTACCGTGATACGTCACGGTATGCTGCCTACAGCGAGTATCTTACCCCTTCAGCAGGTAAGATCAGCTCACCCAGCGCTTCACCTAATACAATGAAAGAAGAATGAAGTAAGACGACTCGAGTTTAGCTGCTAGAAAACAGAAGCAGATTGGTTTGGCCCTCACGTTGGCTTGGTCCTTCTGCGGATTGAGCATCTCGAGAATGGTTCCGGATCACAGGAATGTAGGGTGCCTGCTGGTTCAAGCTCTGGTGAGAAAATCGTAACCATTGCTGTTTCTGGAGTGAAAATAGGGGTGCTACAGCTGTACCTCTTCGGGAACATCTAGGGGAACCTAGGATTATGGACGGTGGAGATGAAGTTGCATGTGCTGGGTTGTTGTGTCCAGTCCACCCAAAACCACCTTGCGGTTGCTTCGTTCCCCGCGAAATGACAATCGGAATTTGTGACGTGGACTGGCGGGAAAATTTGAGCTTGTGGATTCCGCTGATCTGGGAAAAATGACAGGGCAAAGACAGCGGACAATGCGCTATTCCACGGAAATAGGAAGCGATCAGGAACGCAGGAACTAATACCGGATACAACCAGTTGTGGTACTCCCAACCCAACAACGGAACCGTGATGTTGTTTTCACTTATGCTTATAACCACACATGTGCTTCCTAAAACACCATGTGAAGCACAATACCACACATATTGCATGTTGAAGAACGAACAACAGTATCTCGAAATCAACATCTTCAAGAAGCTTCTTGTTGCAAGAAAGGATTGGCTATTTCCTCTGTGCCATCCGTTGGAGCTATGAGCATCACCGCTGTTCCTCTACACACCTGCGCGGGTGCCACGACACATAAAACAACAATCAAAAGGAAAACAGGAATGTCGTGCCAAGAGGAGGAAAGTTTAATGAGAGAAAGGTGAAGGATATGATGTGAGGAGGAGACGACGAGGAAGGAAAGGAATGCAGTAGGAACAAAAGGAAAGAAGACAACTCAAGTCACTCTAAAAACGGGGGTGGCATGTCGAAGAGACTGCACAGAGATACAGTACAGACTGCATTGAACCAGGTAGTGCTTACAATGAGCCCTAGTGGTCGTGTCTGCTCAGTCAGACGTAGGGGGTCCTCTGGATCTGTAGCAGGTGATGCAAAAACGAGGACAGCGGTGAAGACCAGAGAGGAGTAACTGTGATATCAAAGAGGGATAAGCAGAATCAGAGGCCAGAACCAAAGAACCACCTTATTGCCTTTACCTGACATTCCCAGCATCAGGAATCCATTAATCATCCGGTTGCTTGCTCACTGCAACTCAAAGCGCAAGCCCTAGCCTTCTCGAGCATCCATCCATCCTCTCACCATCCTCTCACCATTCTCTCACCATCCTCTCACCATTCTGTCACCATCCTCACACCATCCCCGCACCTTTCTTTCACCCTCCGTTTGTCCTGCCCTGTCTTCCATACCTCTTTCACATTGCACTGCTTCACCTAGCACGAGGCCAATCAGCCATCCTTCCTCATAGGTCTACTATCAGGTCAGCTGGTCCGCCCATCCATCCTTTCCAAAAAGTTTTGTGTTACAGCCGAACCTAGCACGCCTCCTCTTTCTCCTCTTCCGAACCTAACAAGCCATGGCACGGCCTCCATATAATCCCCACCCACCTCTTCTAACCCCTCCAAAACACTCAACTGCCACAGTCAGTACCACTTCCACACTTCACCATCCTCCACCCTTCCAAACCCCGCTCAACACATCCCAACCTCTCCTATTGCACCTCTCTCATGCTCCACTGCCCCATCCATGTCAATCAGCCAGCCATGCCCAATCAATTGCAAAACCCTAAACATTCCCTCATCCTCTCCGTCCTTGTTCCCCATCCACTCCACCCTACTCCCAGCACGCAAACCTGAAGGTTACCCAATCGGGCCAGGCCATCTCCCTCCTCCCACCCGCCCTTCTCCTCTTCCCTCAACCCCTCTCCTACCACTCATTTCTCCCACCCGCCCGTCTCCTACCTCGTTCATACTCCACCGCCTCGTCCAACACGAGATTAATCAGCTGGTCGTATCCCTTCAAAGTGCCCATCACTAATTGGAGGGGAAAGGAAAGGGAGGCGAGGAGTGGAGGGGGAAGGTAGGGCGAGGAGAAGGGAAGAGGGGGGGAGGTAAGGGGTGTTAAGGTAATGGGGGCAGTTAAGAGCAGTTGGAAAGCTTTGAGAGGAGGAGAGGAGGAATTGAGCGTTGAGACGATACGAGGATGCAGTAAAGGACTCGATTACTTGCCTGCCTGCTAGCCAGCCAGCCAGCGGTCAGTTCATGTCATCTGGACTCCGCTTATAATCACCCCCTTTTTCACTCACACGAACTCCCGTATAATCACCTTGTCGTCCCCCGTTAAGCTTCACGCACACCCCCTTATCCACCAGCCTTGCCAGGTCCAGCACTGTTTCCTTGCGACCCGACTGCCGCAAACGGGGAGGAGCATAAAGGGTACGACGGGTGGATACCATAAAGGGGAGCAGAAATGCGGAGGATGAATGGGGATGGAAGGGGTAGGAAGGGGGGCAGGTGGAGGAGTGGGGCAGGAAATCCAATGGGAACGATGAGGTGTTGCTACGACATTGTACGAGAGAATCTAGGTTACACTGTCTCGGCCGTCACTACATGCCGCCACGACTTGTCGTTGTCTAGAGAGCGTTTCGTGAAAAGTCGGAGTTGCGGAAAGGAAGGGGAATTGGGCGCACCATGGTTCTTGAAGAGCCGGATGGGAGTTCGCCGGAGGGAAAGGAAGATGAGGCAAAGCTTGACGAGGTGCTGCCAAAAGACCTAGAGAATCTTTCAGATACGCAGACGACTAGGCTGCTGTTCAGTGGAAACAGCTGAAGCGCGGATTCGGAGTCGAGACGGGACACAAGAAATCGAGATGCGCGGACCGCCGATCTTCAACGGGAAAAAAAATGACGTGATGCAACGACGAAAATTTTTTTTTTTGGCGAAAATCCGAGACACCAGCAAATGGGTTGGCTCTCCTATATGTGATTCTATGACTGCGCTTGTATAAAGGAAAAATTGATCAGTAACAGCTACAGACCCAATTTTCCAAAGCTTCATTGGCGAGTCTACATTTGCCTTCTATGTGAAGTTGGAGCGCTGATATCGAGGATGTATTCATCCTACAATGTCGGGTCGCTGATGATCCAGCCCGACGTGGCAGATAAGCAGCATCAAGGCTGGAAGTACACTGAGCCGAGGGCCCATTTTCAAAACCGCTGCAAACACTGATGCACCGGGACGATTTTTCACAACAGGGTCATTTCACCACTCGATCGAGCCTCACGGTCGGAACCCTTTTCCGATCATCTCATCTCGGTTCTGATTCTCAAGCCGAGAGAATGACGACAGTGTCACTTCTGTGACACATTCTCTGAAATAAGAACGCGCCCGCATCTTATTTATCACTTCCCATGCTCGAAGATTTCTAGGAGATTCCGCCCCTCACATCGCTGTCGTGCCATCTCAAGCTACTGCTAACCAGCCAAATAACTAGTATCTTGTTAGTACACCTTGCTGGTGGTTTTCGACAGTCACGCCTTATTGCTTTGACCACCCCGCAAGTCGCGGCGGGCATTGCCGACGTTTTTCGTGCTCTTTCTCGTTACTGTCTCTCGCTCGCGACAGCCATGGCGGCCGTTTCGCTCCCGGTTCGCCTGTGCTCCGTTCCGTCCAGCCCGTCGTTCTCTCCCGGCGTGAGGCGGCAAGGGAGCCTTTCGCGACAGCATTCGCGACACTTTAAGGTACGCCTGGTAGCTTCGCGTCGGCGTGCGAAATGATGTTGCGAATCGCCGTCTTTCTTATTCGGCTGAAAGACGCGCGTGTAGTGTTAGCGTGTGCTGATCGATTCATGTCCAATGCGCGGCGCGATATTAGTTCTTTTTACTATTTTCTTCAGTCACGTTTTGAGAAACCCCAGAACTGACAGAAAATGAACCAGCAGGTATGTCTGATATGTGTGTCCCTGGTGCTATTTTCTGGGCTCGTAGAAGCACCTGTTGTCTCCTTTTTTTTTTTTTTTTTTTTGGTTGGAGATACTACTGCGTTTTGAAACGTATACGAAGAAGTCGTCACAACGCGTATGTATGTGTCAAACCTGCACCGTTGCGCAGGATAACACGTGTCAGCCCTGCGAGAAGCTGCTTCAGGAGCAGCGACGTCAGCAAGAGCTTCATGCGAGACCAAAAAGCCGCGGTCTTCCCGCCGACAAACGCGGCGCCTCCGTCAGCATGGCCGCCGCTGGCGGCAGCAGCAGGAGCAGCAGCTGCAGCAGCGGCAGCGCGAGCAGCAGCAAAACCGCTCCAAACGCGGCGGCTAACACGGCGGCCAACAAGGCGGCCAGCACGGCGGCAAACGCGGCAGCAAATGCCGCCGCCATGGCTCAGAAGTTCGTCAAGTCGGTGGAATCAGCGCCAGTCGTGCGGCGCGTCGACGCGTGGGCGATTAAGAATAAGATCCCTAAAGAGCTCTCACTGGCTTTGCTCTGGTCCGCCGCTGTCCTCTCCCTCGCTGCTGTCACCCTCATTATAAGGTTCGTCTTTGGCCTACTTCGGGTCGTCTTTTCCGCTATTGGAAACGTTTTCCGCAAGACTCCCGCCGGTGCTGCCACTGCTGCTGCTGCTCCTGCTGCTGCTGCTCCCGCTGCCGCTGCTGCCGTTTCCGCCGCGGCCGTGACTCCTGCGGAGGCTGCAACGCTGGTGACGGTGCCTACAGTGGAAGGGGTGCTGGAGGGGAGGGTGGAGGAGGAGGAGGCAGTGAGGCAGCGACTGGTGGAAATGGAGATTAGGGAGAGAGAAGAAGAGAGGAAGAGAGAGGAGGAGAAGGAGAGAGTGGCAGCGGAGTTAAAAAGGAAGGAGGAGGAGGAGGTGAGGAAGAGAGAGGAAGAGAAGAGGAGGGCGGAAGAAGAGGAGAGGAAGGAGGAGGAGGCGGCGAGGGCGCGTGCGGAGACGGAGGAGAAGGAGAAGAGAGAGGAGGAGGAAAAGAGGAAGAGAGAGGAGGAGGAGGTGAGACGGAAGGCAGAAGTTGCGGCAGCAGAGGCTGCAAAGGCGGAGAGGGAAGAGAGGGAGAAAAAGGAGCAGAAGGAGCAAGAGGAGGAAAGAGAGAGGAGAGAGAGGGAGGAGATAGAGGGGAAGGCGAGGCAGTTGGAGGAGGCGTGGCAGGAGGAGCAGCGGCAGCGCGCCGAGCTGGTGGAGCAGGCCGTTGCTGACGTGGCACGCGCGTACGAGCGCAAGCTTGCTGAGCTGGAGGCGGCGCACGAAGCTGAGGTGGCGGCGGTGCGGCAGGCCACAGAGGCGGGCGGCGTGATGGGCGACGGGCAGGTGGAGGAAATGGCACGGCTGAGGGTGAGTGTGGGGTGGGTTGGTGGTTGAAAGGATATATCTGTGGGAAAGTGGGTCAGTGGACGGGTTGGTGGTTGGATGGGTTAGTGAGTGATGGGCGACGGAGTGGAGGAGATGGCTCGACTCCAGGTGAGTAGTGGGGATGGGTGAGTGGGGGCGAGAGTGAGGTGGCGGCGGTGCGGCAGGCCACGGATGCCAGCTGAGTGATGGGCGACGGACAAGTGGAGGAGATGGCTCGCCTCCGGGTGAGTGGGAGGGTTGGTGAAAGAGTGGGTGAGTGGATGCTTTGGTGGTTGGATGGGTGGGAGGGGTGATGGGCGACGGACAGGTGGAGGAAATGGCTCATCTCAAGGGATGATGGGCGATGGACAGGCGGATAAAATGGCTCGACTCAGGGTGAGCAAGACTGGTTGCAAAACATCTATACAAATACAATCCTTGAGGCGCATCAAAAGGTTTTTCTCTGATGAGAGACGGTCAGGGAGAGTGAGGCTTTGGGTTGGGAGGGCGAGTGGGTAGGTTGGTAGGTGAATAACTGCGATATGGGGCTGACGGGAAGGGGGGGGGTGTGGGGAGGGGCAGCAGAGGATCGCAGAACAGACAAGGTGGTGAACAAGAAAAGGTAGACCACGACCACAGAACGTGTTTTTTGAGAATTCTCAAAAGACCACGACCACAGAAAAGGTGATATTGGGTTTGGTGGTAATTACTGTAAGGGAGGATTAGTTTTGCGGAGAAGTAGAAAACAAAGGAAATCCGGCAGCTGAAGGCATCCCTCAAGGAGGAGAAAGCAGGGATGAAGCGGGAGAGGGGGAAGGTGCAGGCGGAGAGGGAAAGGGGGGAGGTTTTAGATTATTGTTTCACCTTGTGAACCCTCCCTCCCCACCCGCTTCTGCTCCCGCGCTCCCCCTTTTCCCCAACTCGCTCCTCAGGAGGAAGCGGCGGAGCTACGTCGAGGCATGGCGCTGGCTAAAGAGGTTGCCGAAAAAGTGATGGACGAGGAACAGAAGAAAACCAAGGAGATTTGGCAGCTGAAAGCAGCCCTGAAGGAGGAGAAGGCTCGGATGGAGAGAGAGAGGGTGAAGCTGCGCCGCTCAATCTTTTCCCATTTGTACTTTATCATGGCCCTTGCCACCCACAGGAAGAAGCGGCGGAACTACGTCGCGGCATGGCACTGGCTAAGGAAGTTGCTGAACAAGTGATGGATGAGGAGCAGAAGAAAACCAAGGAGATTCGGCAGCTGAAAGCAGCCCTGAAGGAGGAGAAGGCTCGGATGGAGAGGGAGAGGGTGAAGCTTCAGGCTGAGAGGGAGGAGATGGAGAAGGAAGCGAAAGAGATAGAGGAGGAGAGGAGGAGGGTTGCGGATGAGTTGGCACGAGTGGAAGGGGAGAAGGCTGGGGTTGAGGCTGCGAGGAGGCAGGTGGAGGAGAGGAGGAGGCGGAGCGAGGAGGAGAGGGAGCGAGCGAGGGAGAAGGGGCTACAACGCGAGGTAGAGAAGGTGAGAGGGAGAGGGGGGGGTAAGGTGAGAGGGGGAGATGGGGGAAGGTGAGAGGGCGAGGGGGAGTAAGGTGAGAGGGGGAGAGGGGGGGAAGCTGCTATGGCTGGCTGATATTAGATCATGTGCTTGGTTGAAGGATGTGCTTGGTTCAATGATGTGCCTTTCTTTCCCTTTCCTTAATAGTTTTTGCTGTCAGTTTTCCGAAATAGCAGTTGTCATTTCAGTCACCATAGCACACACATTTAAAAAGCTGATGTTTGAAGTCGACGAGAGAAATTCAAGTATCTGTGGTTCGCTGTTAGTGCCTCGAACGTCAGACCTTTTAGTCTGTAACACGAGGGTGTATGGCACAGATGCTGCATGGCATGGCACACACACCACCACGGTATTATCCAGCATCACATGGCGTAGTATCATGCACCGCACAGCACCATACCATCTCACCTCACACTCAACCCTATCTCGCCGCACCATCCTGCACCATCCCGCACCATCCCATACTCCACCAGGCATCAGCAGCAGAGGAGGGCCTAGCAACGGCTATCCTAGAGTGAGCCGTCTTCTCCTCATAGGTTTTTTCAAGTCTTGGAGTTCGTTTCAGTACAGACGTTCATTTGAGTAGAGGTTCATTTCAGTGCAGAGGTTCATTTCAGTGCAGAGGTTCATTTCAGTGCAGAGGTTCATTTCAGTCTTTGGGCTCATTTATTTCAATGTTCAGGATCATACATTCCAGGCTTGTGTTTAATTTCAACCCCCCATGCCTACCTCATTTTTACCCTTCCTTTGCCTCCCGTGACCTCTCCATGCTTCTCCATCCATTCAGATATCAGCAGGAGCACCAGCTGGACACCACTATTCCTCCTCACCATTCTGCCTCCCTCCCCCTCACTTCCTCCCCCATTCAGGTATCAGCAGGAGCGCCAGCAGTACCAGCAGCAGATGGCAGCATCTGCAGAAGATTCCCAGAAGCTTACCTCCCGTGTGGCACAGCTCGAATCCTACCTGGCGGAGCTCCGTGCCAGCCTGGAATCGTCCCAAGCTGAGCTGGACCGGACCAATCGGGAAGCAGAGGAGAACGAAGCCCTGGCTGCTGAGCTGGAGGAGCTTCTCGAGGCTGCCCGGAAGGAACGGGATTCGGTCAACGTGGAAAGTTTTCAGCAGCTGACCGAGGAGCTGGCAGAGGCTCAGACGAGAATGGTGGAGGAGGGGCGGCAGCAGCAGGAGCGGGCGGCACAGCTGGCGGAGATGATGCAGAAGATGCCGAAAATCAAGGCTGAGCTGGCAGCCACGCGGATGGAGCTGCGCCGGGAGCAAAACACGCGGGCAGCTGAGGTGGCATCACTTTCAGCAGCATTGGTTTCGGCAAAAGAGGAAGCCAAGGCTTTAAGAGAGACAGCGGTGGGGGCAGAGGCGAGAGTGAGGGCAGAACTGAAGGAAGCTGAAGATGCGTACAAGGCTGGGGTGGCTGCGACACGAGAGCGTATGACGACCAAGAACATTGTTCAACTGGGGAAGGCTCGACTGACCTCACTGCAGCAACAGGTGAGCTACCAAGATCTGAAAGAGGAGGTTGTCTTCATTTTTTAAGAGCATATTTCTGATCCTTTCTGTCATCTCTGAGCTTTCTGGACCGAGTGTGCTCTCACTTGATGTGTCAGGTGCAAGCGCTGAGAGAGTCACTCAAGGAGAAGACAGAAGAGCTTCAGCATGCACGTGCTCAACCAAAGTAGGGAGTGGTTTGTGCGTATCCAGGAAAACCTGCGTGCGATTGGAATGCTAACCATAGAGATTGTGTTAGAATGAACAATGTGTGCCAGTTTGTTAAACCCATCTACATCAAACTCTCCCTGAAGTCGCTAATGACTGCACCAAGATCACACCCATGCATAACCTTACACCATACTTCAATGCTGTGATCTGGGTGGAATCAAGGTGCAGGTCATATTTATAGTTCAAGAAGGGAAGCAAAAAGAAGGGAAGCTAGAAGGTAGTCATCATGGCCACCATGTCCACTTGGTTGCATTTGGATACCGTAACTAGCAAAATGGTGTAAAACCTCAGTCTGCATGGATACTGAAATCTCCAGTGAAATCGCGTACAGCATCCACCAAGAGTCACATGCATTCATCCCAGCCGTTGATCTTTAGGGCGTGTTACATTTTTTGTTTTTTTTTCGTCCGGACGGCCAACCTTCCGGACGATGGTGTGGTTACGGAAATCGTGAAATCTCGGCAGTGAGTTCGTCAAGGTCTAAACGACCTAAATCGCAATCTCCGTTTTGCCTCCTTACGACATCGCATTGGTCGCAACGCGACCGTACGACGTCGCAATCTTCGCAGGCGTCCGGACAGCCGTCCGGACTTTCAGCGACCAACAAAAATGTAACACGCCCTTTTAGACAAGTTTGAAAAAAAGAAGCACATTATGGTAACAACCTTATTACATCAAAGCAAAAAGTCAGTAAAAGGCTCTTCGACAGACGCAGACTTCAGACCAGACCTAATATTGTACAGAACCCATGTAACAAGAAACCAAGTATGTGAGGTGGATCCACCGCCCCTGATGGGCGAAATGCTTGAAGACCATGGCAGGACAGAGACGGAGAAATGGGTGTAAGGGTCGGGTGGTGGAGGGTACGACGTGTGTATCATAGCGAGGAGGATTCTGTACTGGTGGGTCTGAGACGAGACCGGAGGAGATTAGCAGCACCCGGGAGTGGCTGGACATGACGATATTCCCGAGCATTAGGAGCTTGAGGTCGGAAATGGAGGTGGAATGAAAGGGGAGGTGGGGTTAGTCGGCGGCTGTTAGTAACATCGCGAAGGTATGTGCCTCCGTAACTGTAATTGTAGGATGTCTGAGGAACATCCTCCTTCTAAGGTATGTCTTTAAAGGAGACCCGCTGTGCCTGCTCGTCAAGCCATGTCGTGGTAAAGGAGACGGCTCAGATTCATGGCAGCGATACCGTTGAGCACAAAGGATCTAATCACCGTCGATGAATGCACAACGACTAAAGCACTGTCGCTGGTTGCTCATTCCGAATCCGTACAGCACCGAGATCTATGCGCCGTTTGAACACCCGCATGCTCCTCCCGCGACTCGCCATCCACGCAGTGCTTTTGCCGCTTACAGCAGACATTCTTATCCGCCACGTCGGACGGAGCTGCGACGTCAGAATCCGAAGCCTCGGCAGCATCAGACACAGATCCTTCCGAGTCCGAATCTGCAGGCTCGGACGCCGAACCTAGAAGGTCAGACGCCGGATCTATGACATCAGATGTTGCGGACTCCTCGGAATCTGACTCGGCTGCTTCGAACGCGGGAAGCGACGGGAGAAAATCGTCCATGGGGTATTGCATCCGCCATAGCTCGCCTTCCAGTAGCTTGCAGTAGCTCGCGAAATCGTCCGACGTGATGTTTAGGCGAAAGTCGATGCGAAAGAGAAACTCCAGCTCCAGCCGGTTCATTTCGCCAGTCGTCACGCCGCCGACCTTGGCGTAATACGCGTTGTTGAAATATCTGTTAGGGAAGAAGACCAGAAGATCCAAATAGTGCTGGTTGAGTTTCTAAACCAGTTGTAAATCTCACTGACTTTTGCGATTCTGTAGTAGGAGCCACCATAAATGTTGTTTCACCAGTGTGAAGAAAAACAGCTGTTGTTCATGCGACATAAAAAAAAAAGGGTTACTCACGCGTCGTCAAAGAACTTGGTGGCGACCATGACGCTGGTGACGAGCAGCCGATGGATGTTGAGGTTCGTCAGGAGCATGTCCGGCTGTCGCTCGATCATCCGGTCGACATAAATATACGCCACCACGAAGCACGAGTAGCTGCAGTTCGCGTACTTGAAGATCCTATCCAGGTACTTGTCGAGGCCAATACCAGGTGCTTGCAGGCCGTGGAATACGGTCAGCTTCTGATTCGCGCACTGGCTGCTCGCTTCGTTAGCAGCCATGATCCGCTCCAAGATTGTAGCGAGGACATCGAGGATTCTCGGCCTCTCGCAGAGATTGTTAGGGTCTATTTCTAGCGTCTTGAAGGCGCTGACTTCCTGAAGCTGATCCGGCAAGGCGAAGGATCCTCCTTTGCCCATGGTTTCCGATCCGCAGAAACCAGTATGCTAAGGAAGAGAAACCAGATTCGGCAACGCGAAACTCACGACGGTTCGAATCCGCTAAAGCTGCTGCACATATACGGGGCCGAAAGAGGCTATACGACGCTTGACGCTCAACTTGTGTTAGGATCCGTTACGATCGAGGAAGGATTTGGATAGAACACAAGCTACAACCACGGCCAGGAGCATTGAAATGCACAAATGATGCTGTTAAAAGGAAATACTACTGCGGTGAAGCAGTTCAGAGCGCTCTGTTGCTATTGCGCCCTCCGACAATGTCGATGGCGGGAAGAGGTGAGATGGACCAGGAATGCCGAGCCAAGACAAAGCAGGAGGGAGGGAAACGAAAGCACGAGTGAGTAGGAAAGGAGAGGGAGAGGGGGGAGAGGGGGCGAGGAGGAGATGGGAGGGATGGATGTGAGGGAACTAGCTAGGTTGGAGGGAGCTAGCTAGATGGGAGGGAGCTAGCTAGGTGGAGGACAGACAGAAGGTTGGGTGGAGGGAAAAGTGGCGACAATTGAATGGTGTGTGCTAACTGGTGTGGGAGAAATCGAAATCAAGGATGAATCGGCGATGGATGGTTGGTGATGAGCGGCGCTCACAATCGACGAACCCGATTCAGTTTGGAGAACTTCATCTCTCCGCAGATCGCTCGCCTCAAATACCTCGTCAGCCTCCATGCGCGTCGTCGCTTGGTCGCCTCGTCGCCCACCTTGTTTGCATCATTAGGCGGTAGGGGGGGGGTACGATGGGGTCTGATGGGCTGCGACGGCTTGCGCCAACTGTCGGTTCGATACAGAGGTCGCCCATCAGCCCCCATTGACACGAACGGACCCCTCGTTCACGTCGTCACGTCGCACTCGCGCGTTGGAACGTGTTTGATATCTGTCGCGAGCCCCTCCGCGACCTTCCCTCCCTGCAAAACACGAGTTTGCGATTTTCATACGTCTCCCGCGCGTCGCCAATGTCAGCAACTGTGGATGTTTTGTGTTGGCGGGGACTTGCGCAGTGCGCATGCAGCACTTCGGATCGAATCAGTCTTGCGCCCTCAAATAGTTTCTCTTCCAATCAGGACGAGTCGCAACAGCCTCGTGTAACAAAATGATGTGGCCACAGTATCATCGCATGCTGAAGCAATCTCCCGCGAGCAAGGACAGTCTCTCTATGGCTGCGAAGTAAGGCGAGAGGCTAGAATTACTCGCAGCTAGCAGAGGTTTTGTCATTGGACAGGTTACCTGTGCTGTACTCGAAGAACATACGAATCACGCGGGAAAAATGCAAAGCGCCACATTCCGACAGCTTCCAGAGCTTCACGCACCACACGAGTACCATATCAGTGACTGCCACGTCTACTCTGATCCGGGCAACGCGGGAATTTTTTGCAGGAACCCCGTTTTGACACAGACCACAGCACACTTCCACGCCGTGGCCAGGGTCAAAAGAGAGCCAGCAGACCCGCTTTTCGGGCGGGAGAAAGATCGCACAGTAAGCCATAATAAATTTACTCGTTAGTGACAAATTGGTATTATTTCAAGTCAGCACATTCACGTGAAATTCTATGAACAAGATTGACGTGTATACCATTAATTTAGTGCCCCCTCTCTACAATACCGCACGACCACCAGTATTCCATGGCGTGCTTCAATGAAGCTACACGTTAACCACTTTGATAAGGATAGATGAACTACATTACAGGAGTATTATAGTCTCAGCAAAATCGATACGAGCTGCAAAATGGCATTGTACTATGCTCCGTCAGCCAGCCATCTTCTGGGTCGTGAAGATGCAATTCTATTGTATGTATGCACTGCTGGTACAGGGGGCTTTCAAATGTAGTGGACAGAGAATGGATTCAGGGGAAAAAACTAAGTGACTGGGACTGCACAACAAACAACATAGGTTCAGGACTGCTTGCCCTGGTAATGGCGATGGATCATGGGTGTTGAGTGTAGTCCTCAGGACTCTGTTCTGCTACTAAAACTCAAACACCAGCTGGGCATAAAGGGAAAAACAACGGACCATGAAATACCTGGAGGATGGAGAGACACAACAAACAACAGGGAACGCGTGAAGGTCGATGACCACACTAACAGCAAAATAAAGCTTCCAACACTCCACACTAGTGGAAAGAAACAGGCTGAACTTACAGCTAAATTGGCTTGATCTTGAAATGAAGACCTATTAGCGAGAAAACTAAACACTTCAAATCCTGAAATGCCACACAAAACGAGAAGCGGAGACAGAGGCATGAGCAAGGAGCAAAACAGAACGTAACAAAGGGCAGCTATGACAAAGAAACCACTGCTATTACGCTTTAAAGAGCGTACCTGCACCAAATAGTAGAAAACCCTAAGGCCCTCTGGGTCCTTGCTGCTCTGAACGTCAATTAGGGATCCGATCTTGGAAGTAAGAAACGAGACGTGCTCATTCCCCATGACAATCTCCAGCTCTTGCCGACCCACTCTGTCCGGCTCAGGCCAGTTGCTGTCATCTTCCTTCGTCACCTGCACCCTTGGCCGCAAAGGCGAACGGCGAATCAAGAAGGCGAACCTTAAACGCGAAGACTACTCTATAGTTCCCCGTCAGAACGAGATGCAGGAAACGCGCGAAGCTAAAGCGTACCTCGCTCTCCGCGATAATCCGTTTGCACTCTTTCATGACGGCTTCCGACACAAACACCTCTTTTCGGATCATGGTGTCCTTCTTGTAGTTGGAGTTATTCGCGTATCGCAGCTTCCCATCTGGTCTAAACTCGAACTCGAGAAACTCATGGCCGAATTTGCCCTTGTGACCGACGTAGTATCTGACGTAAAATTCTCCTAGCTCGTCGGTCGCCATGTCGTGGAGAGGTGACACCAAAGAACGGGCAAGCTGGACGGCTGTGGATGTTGAGACGGCTGAAGGAGGATTAGGTCAAGGTCGCGTTGGAAGTAGTAGCCCCGCGGCGGCGATACCCGTTGTGGAGCGAACTCGTTCATTCAAGAATGTTTGTGGTAAATCACAATTTTATACAGGCTTACGTAACGTAGTTCGATTTACTTGGAAATGAATATTTCCGACACGTCATCCACCACGTGTCAATTTGTTGCGCGCCTAGTTTTTGTGCACATGTCACCTTGGGATTGTTGGGCGAGCATCACCCACCACCTCCACCACCAAGCCACCCGTCCGCGGACGAGCGGGGCAGAACCTGCTTTCCCTTCTGCTTTGTCCCAGGCACAGCCCCCAGCAACTTTGTTGCTGAACTCTCTAGTACCGTGTTCCAAACCTTGGAAAATGATTGCAAACCTGGTAATCATGCACCTCGTTCGCTTCCTTCAAACAACGCCTATCAGATCATCGTATGCGTTAAGTTCAAAAATTACTTGTGTCTCCAAACCTGAGAGCACTTGCTGAGATTCCTACGATCGTCAGGTTGCTGGTCCGTGTCGGCACCTGACTAGCTTGCCCGTGAAGCTCCTTCGCTTGCAGCTATCCTCACGGGATTGTTGTGGTTGAGGTGCAATGAGGCCCGCTACCTCAACCATTCGCGGGAATGCAGCCTCCTTATGCTCTCACGTAGCGCTTTCGTCCTCCCGCTCCACCGTACCCTCGTCCGCTTTCCGGGGACTAAGTCCCTTAATTTCTCCGTCGTCCGTCACTCCAACGGCCACCCCTTCTTGCTCCACCCATTCCGGAATGGTGCGACATATCTGTCACGGTGTCAGCTCGCAGCGCGTCATCAGATCACCAGCGCTGAACTCTAACGTATCGCTAATTTCTCGCCGATTAAGCAGCTTTCCTCGTGTTGGTTCTGGAAGGAGCATCTGGCTGGGAGCGTCGTCGAATTCGCTGAGCTCGCTCGTGACTCGACCGTTGCTCGGCTCACGCCACGCGAAGCCGTGCTCAGTGCATTCCGGCGTTAGACCAGGTTGGAATGAGAGGGAGGAGGTCAATAGTGTCTGCATGTAAGCGTGAAAGCAAATTTTAGCGTATGGCGCATTTGTCGCGATGCTAGTGCGCGAGCTTAGGTGAAGGATTTCGACAATAGTGTAAGGCATCATCGTTTAGAAAGAACTATAAACGCAACCAAGAGAGAATGTTATTAAGTGTGCGCAATTGCAGATCCATTATCAAATGAGAGAGATTATTGTTCAAGGGAAAGAAATTATGCCGCTTCCTTCCAATTCACCTCAGATGTTTTGCAACTTCGTCTCACTGTGCTTTCCCGCTTCCACTTCTCCCACACTTTGCCCTACACTGAAACAGTACGAACTCTTGCGTCTCTGGTGAGCAATGAGGGAGCTGCAGGGGAGGACGTGTTTCCCTCCGTTCTTCCCAAGGCCTTTGACTTCTCTGCAGAGGAGAAAATCTATGCCTGGTCAGTGAAACGTGCTTGGCCAGTAGATGGCTGATGAAAGGATGCCTGATCAATGGAGAGAAAAGCTGAAAGGGAGCAAATTAGGCACCAGCTAGGCGCGGGATCTGATTGAATTGCTCTTCTTGAATATTCTTCTCTTGCATTGCTCCCCTTGTATTGCTCCACTAGAATTGCTCCCGTTGTAAGCAGAAGAGAGGGACACTGACATTTTCCCCTTGTACCTCCTGCTGTCTGTACCTGGTAACCTGGTTGATGATGCTGGCAGGTGGGAGAGCAGTGGGTACTTCAAGCCAGACGAGTCTGCTCTGCAGTCAGGCGCTGCTGCTGCTGGTAGTGACGGCGGTGATAAGGCTGACAGCAGCACCACTCCGTTTGTCGTCTCCATGCCCCCCCCCAACGTCACTGGCGCTCTGCACATGGGCCATGCCATGTTCGTCACTCTCGAGGTGGGCAATGGGGCAGCTTTGCAGCATGTAACAGCAGTGCGGCTTTACAGCATGCAGCAGCAGTGTAGCTTTATAGCATGTAGCAGCAGAGGCATGTCATGTTCGTCACTCTCGAGGTGGGCAATGGGGGCAGCTTTGCAGAATGTAACATCGGTGTAGCTTTACAGCATGTAGAAGCAGGGGCTCATCTTGAGGTGTCTCCTAACCTTCTCGCTCTGCATTCCCCTGCCTCTGTATCCCCTCCACCCCTGCGCTTTCACCACCAGGACATCATGACTCGATTCTGGCGCATGAAGGGGCGTCCCACCCTCTGGCTGCCAGGCACGGACCATGCAGGCATCGCCACTCAGGTGCGTTGTGCCCAAGCGAGTGGTTTTGAAATTTGCCCAAAACATAACCCTAACGAATGGAGCATGTGGAGCATGTGGAGCATGTGATTGCAATCATACTCCCCTCCACTTTGTGCCCCTCCCTTCGCCCTTCACAGTTGGTGGTGGAGAAGATGCTGGCGTCTGAGGGGATTAGCCGGCAGGAGCTGGGGCGAGAAGAGTTTGTGAAGCGCGTGTGGGAGTGGAAGGAGAAGTGAGTGGGGGTGGAAGAATACAATCTGCACTGCAACGGTTTCTTCTATTTGACTTTGTTGACGTGCACATGAAAGCACAAATTTCTAGTAGCACTGTACTGTATCTGTGTGCTTATGTGGTTTGGAATGTTGTGGCATTGGCAGATATGGTGGCACAATCGCAAAGCAGATCCGCAGGCTCGGCGCCTCCTGTGATTGGTCGAGAGAGAGGTTCACTTTGGATGATCAACTCAGCAGTAAGCCATTTCAGTCCACTGCTCCCACAATCCCCTCCATCCCTCTCCACCATCACCCCCATCCCCACAGTTTCTTGCCCCCATCCCCACAATTTCTTCCCCCCATCCCCACATTTTTTTCCCCCCATCCCCACCATCCCCCCGTTCCCACCTTCCCAACCCACCACCACTCCCCCATCCCCAACGCCATTCCCCATCGTGCCTCCCCACTGTCATAATATCACCCTCTCTTTCCTTATCAGTCCATCCATCAAACAATCAAACACGCATCGTTCGTGTCCTCTTTCCAAGCTGCCTTCGCATCCCACTCACCCAATCATCCTCGTTTTTGAACCCTCGCAATCTCTAATTTGTGGCTGCCCATTTCATGCGTGCCCAATGCCCATCCCATGTGTCTCCATCTCATCTTCTGCCAGAGGCCGTGGTGGAGGCGTTTGTCCGCCTGCACAACAAGGGGCTCATCTACCACGGTTGGTGTTGGACTCTCACAGCCTCTTTCCCATGTCTCCCATCCCACACCGTTTCCCTCTCTCTCTCGTCCTGCCAGAGGCCGTGGTGGAGGCGTTTGTCCGCCTGCACAACAAGGGGCTCATCTACCACTGTTGGTGTTGGACTCTCACAGCCTCTTTCCCATGTCTCCCATCCCACACCGTTTCCCTCTCTCTCTCGTCCTGCCAGAGGCCGTGGTGGAGGCGTTTGTCCGCCTGCACAACAAGGGGCTCATCTACCGCGGTTGGTCTCACACCCCGGACTCCCTCCCAGATGCCCGCTGAGTCACCTTTGGAAACATGCCAATGTGTTTCCGAATGTTTGCGTCTTCTGAGCATTTGTGAACAAATTTGTCCAAAGCACAAGCTTCCCTTGTCTTTTGCCCGCCTTCACTTCTCCTACGAACTTCCTTAAGCACCCCCACCCACCAACCCACCCACACTACCCAACTCCCATTCACGGTCCACCTCTCACTTACCCCCACTCTCTCACTCATTCACCCCCCACCAGGCACGTACATGGTCAACTGGTCTCCGTTTTTACAGACCGCTGTGTCAGATCTGGTGAGCTTGGGTGAGGCTAGAGATTTCCACCCAGTGGGGAGAAGTATCTCTGGCGGACCTTTCCACCCAGTGTGTTCCCTTGTTATGCTCACTGAATCTCACTCGTCGCCTTCAGTACATATCCTCACTCTACATCTCCACTCCCCATACTTCACTCCACACTTCCCTCTCCTCCTCCTTTCGTCTCCATTTCTCTCCCTTGCTGACCCTGGTCCCTCCTTCCCTCTCCCTCATTCCCTCTCCCTCATTCCCTCTCCCTCATTCCTCTCCCTCAGTCCCTCCCTCCCTTTCACCCCCCCGCCCTCATTCGCTCTCCCTCCGTCCCTCCCCCGCTTTCGGTCTCCCTCCGATGTACTATGGCAAAATTGCAAAACAGGAGGTGGAGTATACAGAGGAGCCGGGCACGCTCTACTTCTTCAAATACCCCATCGCTGGAGGCACAGAGTAAGTTGCATTTTCTAATAAACTCGCAAATTCCAACCAGGAAATGGAGTGAAGTGGAGCATTCAGAGGAGCCAGGCACGCCCTAATTCTTCTAGTACACCATTGCTGCAGGCACAGAGTAGTTCTCCACCCAAACCACCAAATGTATGGGGTGCTTCTCCACCCAAGCCACTCCTTACATTGAATACTGCACACCATGCCTCCCACCCACGCGAAACAGCGAATTCATGCAGTGCACACAGGGGATGCATAGTCTCTGAGACCTCCTTCCCTCTTCAAAGTTACCCCCCACCACCACCTTCCCCACTTCCCCCCTCTTCCACGTCCCCTCGCCTCCCTCAGAACCTCCCACCCCCGCTTTCCTCTTCCTCCCACCTTCCAGCTACGACTATGCGGCTGTAGCCTACGCTCTCACCTTTTCCTCTCCCCCTACTTTTCCTAACTTCTCCTTTCTTCCCCCGCCAGCTACGACTATCTGCCGGTGGCCTCCACTCGCCCAGAGACCATTCTGTCCGACAAAGCAGTGGTTGTGCACCTGGAGCCCAGGTGCACCTGCAGTGGTTGGCCAGGCGCTCACAGTCCCAACCCCCTCCCCTCTCCCCTTCCCTCTCTCTCCCTGTGCCTCCCATTCTCACACCCTCCCCCCCAGAGATGACTATCTGCCAGTGGCCATGACGAGGCCGGAGACCATTCTGGGAGACACAGCAGTGGCCGTGCATCCAGAGGACGAGCGCTTCAAGCAGTACGTGGGGCGGCAGCCTCACCTCCCTCTGCAAACCCACAACCCCCTTTCCCTGTCCCTATTTCACCCTTTCACCCACCCAACCACCCCGCAGGGACGACTATCTACCAGTAGCCACGACAAGGCCAGAGACCATTCTGGGCGACACAGCAGTGGCCGTACACCCAGAGGACGAGCGCTTCAAGCAGTATGTGGGGCGGCAGGCCGTGGTGCCCTTGTGTGGCGGCAGGACCATTCCCATCATTGCCGATGATGTGAGTGACTTGCTGTGAGCCTGTGATGATTGTTTAGGCGCCTCAAGAGATGTATGCGGGGTGGCAGGCTATAGTGCCCCTGTTCAGGGGCAGGCTATGGAGTGGCAGGCTATGGCTCCCGGCCCTTGCTGTCGATGGCGGTTCGGCCTGATGTGAGAGTATTTTAGATTCTTGAGAGATTTCTGTATGCTGATGGTTTCATTGCAAGCTCATTTTCAACCCCTTACCTCCCCCACTGCCACACCAGTACATGGACATGGAGTTTGGCACGGGGTGCCTCAAGATCAGTCCTGGCCATGACATCAACAACTATGCCATTCTACCCAACCAACCTCGTTTTCCCATTCCCCTACCCTACTCCCCCATCCCCCCCTCACGTCTTGCCTCCCCCCGCTGCCCTGCCCCAGTACGTGGACATGGAGTTTGGCACGGGGTGCCTCAAGATCACTCCCGGCCACGACATCAACGACTATGCCATCGGGCAGCTTCCATGCCCCTCTCCTTGCACCCCCATTCACCCAGTTCCCCATTCCCTCCTCCTCCTTATCCCATTTCCTGTGTCCCTCTCTTTCCCCACACTGCCAGTTCGTGGACATGGAGTTTGGCACGGGGTGTCTCAAGATCACTCCCGGCCACGACATCAATGATTATGCCATCGGGCAGCTTCTATGCCCCCCTCCCCATTCCTCTGTTCTCCCATTCCCCATTCCCCATTCCCCCCTCCCCTCTCTGCCCCACTGCCCCACCAGTACGTGGACATGGAGTTTGGAACAGGGTGTCTCAAGATCACCCCCGGTCACGACATCAACGACTATGCCATCGGGCAGCGCCGGGACCTCCCCATTATTAACATCCTCAATAAGGACGCCACACTCAACGAAAATGCAGGGGCCTTCTGGTGAGAGCGCTGTGAGGTGGTAGAGAGCGCCCTTACTCACCAGTTGCAACACCATTCCATTGTGCGTGCATGGTTATGCCATGTCATGCGGTAGTTGAGGGACCTCCCAATCCTTAACATCCTCAGTAAGGACGCCGCACTCGATGGACTCGCAGGGGCTTTCTGGTGAGTGAAGGTTGTGTTAGTTGGGAAAGCAACTCGTGCGTGCAACCGTGTATTCCATGTGAGCGATTTTTGAGAATTCTCAAAGACCGTGTATTCCATGTGAGCGATTTTTGAGAATTCTCAAAGACCGTGTATTCCATGCACATTTTGAAACGCATAGTCACAGTTCCCATTGAGTACACTTGATGCCCATTTCCGTTCCACCTTATCCACTCTTGCCTTCCCCGTCCCCTTCTTAGCAATGCACTCCGCCTCTCTTCTAATCTACCTGTCCCGTTCCCCTCCACAGTGGTTTGGATCGGTTTGAGGCTCGGAAGCAGGTATGGGAGCAGCTGGAGAAGGAAGGCCTGGCGATCAAACAGCAGCCACACGTGCAGCGGGTGCCACGCTCGCAAAGAGGAGGCGAGGTATGCTTGAAACGAGCACAAGTCTAAGCTTGTGTCAAGAGCTATTGTCGCTGGTTCTCCCTCAATCGACTTCACTATTTCTTCGCCTCTTCTTTCCCTCTTCACTTGCCTGCGTCTTACTCGAAAGGTGGTGGTGGTAAGTCCACTGGTGAGCCTGCAGTGGCTTGTGTGAATGCATGCAGCCGCTGGCAGCGCCACTATCACCCTGTAGTCGACCCACGCACTCTCGTGCCCCCTGTCTTTCCCTAAAGAAGCAGCCACTATCGACATCCCTACCTCTCTATGATCAGCGCACACTCTCGTTTCGTGCCCTTCCATTTCTCGCCTCTTGTGTTCCTTCCTTCCATTTTCAGGTGGTGGAGCCGCTGGTGAGCCGGCAGTGGTTTGTGCGCATGCAGCCACTGGCAGCACGGGCACTGGAAGCAGCAAGGACAGGCGAACTCACCATCATCCCAGAGAGGTTCGAGAAGGTACGGACTGTGAGAAGCTCGAAAAGATATGCTCTGTGAGTGTCCCTAATGGGTAGATGGAAAATGTCGCCATCCCCTACCCAGTCCTAGTTTGTCACCATCCCCCCCCCTTTCTCTCCCCAACCCCAACTGTACCCTTGCAGATCTACGAGTTCTGGCTGGACAACATACGGGACTGGTGCATCAGCCGGCAGCTCCCCTCTTGTGTTTCTTCATCTTCTCGGTTGCCCATTCCTCTTCATCATGCCACCTCCCCTCTCCCTTCTAAATCCCGGGCAGATCTACGAGTTCTGGCTGGACAACATAGGGGATTGGTGCATCAGCCAACAGCTCCCTTCTTATGCATCATCATGTGTCTGGTTGCCTGCCCCTCTCCCCCTTCCCCATGCCCCACCAGATCTACGAGTTTTGGCTGGACAACATAAGGGATTGGTGCATCAGCCGGCAGCTATGGTGGGGCCACCGCATTCCTGTCTTCTACCCCTCCTGGGACAACGCCCTGCCCGCTCCCCTCCCTGGGAAGGGCGGTGAGGGTGCTGAGGAGGGGGTGGCGGAGTATGTGGTGGCTGGGACCGAGGCTGAGGCCCGGGAGAAGGTTCGGGAGAGGTTCGGGGATGAGGCGGCGGAGACAGTGCGATTGGAGCAAGACCCTGATGTGCTTGACACGTGGTTCTCTAGGTATGTATGTAATTTAAACACATGGTTCTCAAGCTAGGTTCTAGTTAACTCAAAATTCGCATTGAGTCAGCGGAGACAGTGCGATTGGAGCAGGACCCTGATGTGCTTGACACGTGGTTCTCAAGGTATTGAACGTAATTTTGCATTGTATTGTTTTCAAGACCGCACCCTCCCACTCCTTGCCGCTGTTTGCTGGGCTATCCTCCTCTCCTCAGTCTAGAATTGCACAAGTGTTCACTCAAACTCGTCCCCTGTTTGCCCTGTCTTTGACTCGATGTCCCTTCTTCAACTTGTTTGTTGTGTTTCTTGCCCTTTCATCTTACCCATCGCAGTGGCCTGTGGCCGTTCAGCACGCTGGGTTGGCCCAACGAGTCAGCAGAGGACTACCAGAAGTTCTACCCCACCTCGGTCATGGAAACAGGGTAAGTACCCTCTACATATCCCAGCAGAAGTAAGTTCTTCTCCGCTTCCCCTGTCTCTGCTGCGTGTCATTCTTCCAGCCACTGGTACTTTCTGCCTGGAATCAAGCAGTTTCATACACCTTTCCCTGCTCCTTGCATCCCCTTCGTGTGACTCGTTGGACTTTGGCCAAACGATAGTCTTTCCTGTCCTTGTCTGCATGGCATGGCATGGTGTGGCATGGCATGGTGTGGCATGGCATGGCATGGCATGGCATGGCATGCAGGCACGACATCTTGTTCTTCTGGGTGGCGCGTATGACCATGATGGGGCTGGAATTCACAGGCAAACTGCCCTTCCACACCATCTACCTGCACGGGCTCGTGCGTGACGCACAGGTGCGTGTGTGTCTGGGGTCTGGGTTATGTGCAGGTGCATGTTCGTGTACGTGTGGTGTATGGTGTATGTACGTATATTGGGTGTCACCATGATGGGGTTGGAGTTCACAGGCAGGCTGCCCTTCCACACCATCTACCTGCATGGGCTCGTGCGCGACGCACAGGTGCGTGTTTGTGGGTGCTGTGTATGGTGTATGCTGGTGTATCTTGAGGTGTTCAGCTATCCCTAATAGAGTTCACAGGCAGGCTGCCCTTCCACACCATCTACCTGCATGGGCTTGTGAGGGATGCACAGGTGCGTGTGTGTTACTGCGTGCTGCGTATCGTGCATGTTCGTGTATGAATGGTGTATGGTGTATATATTCTGGGTGGCGCGCATGACCATGATGGGGCTGGAGTTCACAGGCAAACTGCCCTTCCACACCATCTACCTGCACGGGCTTGTGCGTGACGCGCAGGTGTGTGTGTGCGTGCGTGCATGCGTGCGTGCGTGTGTGTGACGGAGTGCTGTGTATGGTGTGTGCTGGTTCGTGTGCGGTGTACGATGCTGGACCATTCTGGAAATGCGCCTGTATCTTTTCCTTGGCCACCTAGCCTCTCTTTCCTCTCTCGTTGCAAGGTGTCCAAGTCACCGTGCAACGATTTCACTCAACACTCTCAACCCTCTTCTCTTCGCCCTTACCAAAACCCCTATCCCTTTCTCCATCAACCCCTCATGCAGGGTCGAATGGTGTCCAAGTCGCTGGGTAACGTGGTGGACCCTCGCAATACCATCTCCCCTCGTCCTTCCTCGTTTCGTCCTTATTCCTTCATCCATTTCTTCCTGTTTCTTCCTCACCTTTTTCTCCCTCAGGGTCGCAAGATGTCCAAGTCGCTGGGCAACGTGGGGGACCCATTGGACACCATCAATGAGTTTGGCCTCCCACCTCACCCCCACGCCCTCCCTCGTGTCCCCCGTGTGCTCCTCCCCCCTGCAGGGTAGCAAGATGTCCAAGTCTCTGGGCAACATGGTTGACCCTTTGGACACCATCACCCTTCTTCCCTCCTTCCCCTCGCCTCTCACTTCAACCCCACGCCCCCTTCCTGTTCCTCCCTCCTCCCATGTGCTCCTCCCCCCTGCAGGGGCGCAAGATGTCCAAGTCACTAGGCAACGTGGTCGACCCATTGGACACCATCAATGAGTTTGGCACCGATGCCCTCAGATACACCCTCGCCACCGGCACCACCCCCGGACAGGTGAGCTCTCTCACTCCTGGGCAGGTGAGTTGTGAGTCAACTCAAAACTCACTGGGCATGTGGTGGATCCCCGAGACACAGGACACCATCAATGAGTTTGGCACAGATGCCCTCAGATACACCCTCGCCACCGGCACCACCCCCGGACAGGTGAGCTCTCTCACTCCTGGGCAGGTGAGTTGTGAGTCAACTCAAAAGTCACTGGGCATGTGGTGGATCCCCGAGACACAGGACACCATCAATGAGTTTGGCACAGATGCCCTCAGATACACCCTCGCCACCGGCACCACCCCCGGACAGGTGAGCTCTCTCACTCCTGGGCAGGTGAGTTGTGAGTCAACTCAAAAGTCACTGGGCATGTGGTGGATCCCCGAGACACAGGACACCATCAATGAGTTTGGCACAGATGCCCTCAGATACACCCTCGCCACCGGCACCACCCCCGGACAGGTGAGCTCTCTCACTCCTGGGCAGGTGAGTTGTGAGTCAACTCAAAAGTCACTGGGCATGTGGTGGATCCCCGAGACACAGGACACCATCAATGAGTTTGGCACAGATGCCCTCAGATACACCCTCGCCACCGGCACCACCCCCGGACAGGTGAGCTCTCTCACTCCTGGGCAGGTGAGTTGTGAGTCAACTCAAAAGTCACTGGGCATGTGGTGGATCCCCGAGACACAGGACACCATCAATGAGTTTGGCACAGATGCCCTCAGATACACCCTCGCCACTGGCACTATTTTTCGTCAGGTGAGCTCTCTCCACTCCAGCAAGTATAACTCTTCTTGTGAGCAAAGGTCTTCATGTTCCTTGTCTGGTTATAGTTCCAGGTGAATTGGTTTATGTTAGTCGCAGTGGTGTGTCAGCTCCGTTTGCCAGTATCACATCTTGTCTTGATGGTTTGCTCTTTCTCTCTGCTTTTATCCTCGTTACAAGCAGGACGTGAATCTGTCTATGGAGCGTCTGGGCGCCAACAGGGCGTTTGTGAACAAGATATGGAACGCGGGGAAGTTCATTCTGCAGAACCTTCCTGGCAAGGACGACGAGAAGCAGTGGCAGCGCCTGGGGCAAGTCAAGGTGTGTATGTGTGGTGGGTCAAGAAGCAGTGGCGTCTGGGGGCGGCGCCAACAGAGCGTTTGTGAACAAGATATGGAACGCAGGGAAGTTCATTCTGCAGAACCTTCCTGGCAAGGAGGACGAGAAGCAGTGGCAGCGGCTGGGGCAAGTCAAGGTGTGTGCACATAATGCGTTGAAGTTGGTGGGCAGGCAAAACCAGAATCAGGAGAAAATATTCTTCCTTGAAATTGCCCTTTCTGATCCCAATACGTCGTTCTTTTGCTGTCTCCTTCATCTCATCCCTTCTCTCCATTTTGAGCAGTCATCCAACCCCCTCTCCCTTCCCTGTCTCTTTATCTCTATTCGGCTCTCCCCACATGGCAGTTTGACACTCCCGAGGCGCTCGCTGCCCTCCCATTGGCCGAGAGATGGCTGGTGAGCTGAGCTTGGTGCTGTTGCCACGTGCTGCACAGTGAATGGTGTTAGAATCTATCTTCTCTTGTAACCTGCATAGATGTTATAGGATAGGCTAGAGATAAGCACCCAAACTTAGTTTGGGTGTTCAAGCAGGGGTTACCCAATTTGTAGGTTGGAAACCCAACCTTGGTCCAATTATTGGACCCCAAAGGTTGGGTTGGGTAGAATTATTGGTTCACACCAATAATGTTGGCCCAACCCCAACTTGGCCAACATTATTGGACCCCACCAATAATCCCCCAACCCAACTTCATGGGTGGGGTCCAATAATGGTCACCTAGGCTAGGATCCAACCCATTCCCTATGTAAACCCCCAATCTCCTCAATTCAACAACAACTTCTCTTCTAACTTTTCTTCTCACATGGTATAGAGCTCTTAAAAATCCTAGGCCTACGCTCCTAGTTTTTTTTCAAAGGCCGCCGCAACCCCCGGCCTCCTTTCTCATCTTTCTGCGGCTACCTCGCCTCCCTCCCCCTCTCCTCAAGCACTCCCTCCCTCTCAGCCCCGCGGCCTCCCAAGCTGTCACGGCCTGCGCCGCTCCCTTCCCCGGCCCCACCGCCGCTTCCGCGCTCGCCTTGTCGCGGTCCCACCGACCGCCACCGCCCGCCCCATTCCGCGGCCTCGACGCCGCCTCCGCGCCAACGCCACTGCGGCTCCACCAGCCGCCGTCGCCGCCGCCGCTCCCTTCCGCGGCCTCGTCGCCGCCTCCGCGCCTGCACTGCCGCGGCTTCGCCAGCCGCCGCCGCTCGCGCCGCTCCCTCCCGCGACCCCGTCGCCGCCTCCGCGCCTGCACTGCCGCGGCTTCGCCAGCCGCCGCCGCTCGCGCCGCTCCCTCCCGCGACCCCGTCGCCGCTTCCGCGCCTGCACTGCCGCGGCTTCGCCAGCCGCCGCCGCTCGCGCCGCTCCCTCCCGCGGCCTTGTCGCCGCTTCCGCGCCTGCACTGCCGCGGCTTCGCCAGCCGCCGCCGCTCGCGCCGCTCCCTCCCGCGGCCTTGTCGCCGCCTCCGCGCCTGCACTGCCGCGGCTTCGCCAGCCGCCGCCGCTCGCGCCGCTCCCTCCCGCGGCCTTGTCGCCGCTTCCGCGCCTGCACTGCCGCGGCTTCGCCAGCCGCCGCCGCTCGCGCCGCTCCCTCCCGCGACCCCGTCGCCGCTTCCGCGCCTGCACTGCCGCGGCTTCGCCAGCCGCCGCCGCTCGCGCCGCTCCCTCCCGCGACCCCGTCGCCGCTTCCGCGCCTGCACTGCCGCGGCCTCGCCAGCCGCCGCCGTCCGCGCCGCTCCCTCCCGCGACCTCGTCGCCGCCTCCGCGCTTGTCCCGCCGCGGCTGCGCCAGCTGCCGCCGCCGCCCGCGCCTCTCCGCGGCCCCAACGCCGCCTCCACGCCAGCGCCGCCGCGGCCTCGTCAGCCGCCACCGCCAGCACCGCTCCCCTCACGGCCTCGTCGCCGCCTCCGCGCCAACGCCACCGCGGCCCCACCAGCCGCCGCCGTCCGCGCCGCTCCCCTCTGCGGCTTCGTCGCCGCCTCACCTCCCTCTCCTCCGTGACCACTGCGGGTCTCCCTGCGGCCGCCCTCCATGGCTACCGCCGCACCTTCCCCCGCCCCCCTCCCTCCTCCTATTGATACGTCCTCCGTCGATAAGCTGCAGCTTGCCGCAGACAAATCCGCCGTCAATTGGCACTCCTTCGTCGGCAGCATCCGACGAGTTCTCTCCGACGCATGGGTTCCCCCCTACCGTGTCCTTGATGTCCTCCTCCGCTGTCCCCAGGCACTCCCCCCCACCGAACCTGAACACCCAGGCGAGACTCCTCCTCTCCCTCCCTCTCCCGGCGATCCTCCTCTTGAACCCGACCTCCAAAGCACATGCGACCAAGCCGCCGCTGATGCAGACTTCATCTTACGCCGCCGTGCGTACCTTATCAAGAAAGCAGAGTACGATGCAGCAGTCGAAGCCTATGACCAGGCGGTTGCTGGCCGCAACGCTCACCTCGCCGTCGTCGCCAAATACAAAGACGACATGGCCACCCACATCCCGAAACTTATCGCCTGGACAACTGCTGACACTCGTGCCTGCACCGTTCTCCTTGGGGCTCTCCCTGACTCCCTCATGCGCCGCTTCCAGGCTCGAGAGCTTCGGGCCTCGGTCATCTGGGCAGAACTCCATGCGATGTTCGAACGCCGCGACATCAGCTCGGTCGGTATCCTGTTCCAAGAATACTTCTCAATCACCCTTGCTACCTGTGACGGAGCGGTCGACTACATCGGACGCATGCGGGAGGTAGCTGACCGTCTCGAAGCCCGCCAAGCCGGCCTCTCCGAACCTCTCCAAATCCATCGCCTCCTGTTTAACCTCACTCCCGACTATGAATCCCGCCTTCACGCCTTTACCGAGGCCAATCCCCTAGCCGATCTCGCCTCCGTTGAACAGTGGATCATAGACACCGAAGTCAAACTTCGCACCCCCATCGTCAACCTCGCCTCCTCCCCACCCTCCTCCTCCTCCCTCAACGCTACTCAGCCCCGCAAGCAGGGCAAGAACAACGGCAAGGGGGGTGGTGGAGGCAAGGGAGGTAGCGGCCAAGGCAACAGCAACGCGAACAGACGCAGCGGCACCACTGGAGACGAGCATGGCACCCCCAATACAGGCGGAGCATCTGCAACCAGTGGGACCCGCCCTGGTACTCTTCCGCCCTGCACCTATGTCCGCCGCTATGGTCCCCGGGCTGGCACCCCCTGCGGACAGACCAACCACCCTCCTGCCACCTGCTTCAAGATCCTCGATGATGCATGGTACGCACGAGGCAACGTTGGCAATCCTCCCAAGTGGGCAACACTTTCCCCACGTCCCTCCCCCACTGACATCCAAACCAACCCCGCTTATCTCCCCGCCCACCTCCGCCTCCTTGCTCCCCCCGCGCCCTTCCTCAACCTCCAGCAGCAGCACCTCCAGCAGCAGCAGCAGCAGCAACAGCAGCAGCAGCAGCAGCAGCAGCAGCCGCAGCAGCAGTTACAGCAGCTGTTTACCCACAGCCGCAGCAGCAGTTACAGCAGCTGTTTTACCCACAGCCGCAGCAGCAGCACCCATGGGGATCAGGGCCCCAGCCCCAGTGGGGACCCAGCCCTCCTCCCTGGCAGCAGCAGCAGCTAAACTTTGGCACAGCAGCCATGGCCGCCCAGGCTTCCCCGGCTCCCCTTTGGGGTGCTCCACCTCCCCCCAGTGGCACTGCCACCCCTCTCACTCAGGAAAGCTTTCTTGGCAACATTTCTGTCTCACCCTCTCTTCCTTCCATGTACCCATCCAACATTAATGAAACCACGTTCCAGTACTCCGTGTCTTCCTCCTCCTCGCCCACTCTGGACTTTGTCCTAGACAGTGGGGCCACTGAAACTGCTCTCAAAGATGCTGGTACACTCACACCCCTCTCCCCTCCCACTCACGTTCACGGCGCTGACAGCAGCTTCACCATCCCATGCACACACCTCTCCACTCTCCCCTGCTCACTCTTCCCCTCTGGTAAGGTAACTGGTCTCCACATCCCCACTCTCCGAAACAACCTCCTCTCCCACCGTGAAATCCAAGGTGCAGGTATCACTGCGGTCTATCCTGGTAATGCCACCTACTGTGACCTTTACCACACTGCCTCCGGCCGCTTCCTCCTCCGCATACCCCTCTGCCCCCGCACTCGCCTCTACACTCTCCGCACTCCGTGGCCATCCTCCTGTCATGTCACCACTCGTGCGGGTACCTCCACTAGCCCTCCCCATCTCCCTCCCTCCCCTCCCACTCCACCATCCTCCCACTCCTTCATCCCGCCCTCACTCGTTCCAGCCCCCTCCACCTCCGACCATCTCTCCCACCCCGCTGTTCTCCTACATCACCGACTCGGTCATCCCAATTTCGCCGCTCTCCGCACTGCCGTCACCTCACGACTCCTTCACAGCCTCCCTCCCACCCTTCCTCCCCTTCCCTCCTCCCCGGCCCCCCCATGCCCCTCCTGCATCCACGGCAAACTCAAACAATCCCCTCATCACAGCCACCCCTCCTTTGCTCCTGCACCCATTGACCTTGTCCATATGGACCTCTGGGGGCCCTCTCCCACCCGCTCACGCCAAGGCCATCGCTACATGCTGGTTCTTGTTGACGATCATAGCCGCTACTCCACCGTTTTCCTCCTCCACACAAAAGATCAGGCGCCGACCATGATCATTCACTGGGCAGAACAATGCCGCACCCACTTCAAACGTCCCATCGGCCGCCTCCACTCTGATGGGGGAGGCGAATTCCTCAATCGCACTCTCTCTCACTACTGCACCACTCATGGCATCCAACAGACCCACACTCTTCCCCACTCCCCTCAGCAGAACGGCATCGCAGAAAGCCGCATCCGCGAAATCACTAAGATCGCCCGCTGTCTCCTCGCTCACGCCTCCACACCCCCTTCTCTCTGGGGCTATGCCCTCCTTCATGCTTCCCTCCTCCTCAACCTTCACTCCCATCCCCAACACACTGCCACTACCCCCACGGAGCTCTGGTCAGGGTCCAAACCTGACGCCGCTGGACTCCGTGTCTGGGGTTGCAAGGCATATGTGCTCATCCCTCCAGCTGAACGGACCCAAGGCAAGCTCGCTCCTCGTGCCCTCGAGTGTGTCTACCTTGGCCACAACCGCGACTCGCCCGGTTACCTTTTCCTCCACCCTCCCTCTGGTCGCCTCATCCGCAGCATCGACGTTGTGTTCGATGAGACCACCCCATACTACTCCTCCCCACCACCAAACCCCCTCCCTCCTCCTACACGTCCTCTCGCTTGGACCGACACTGTCCTCCCTCCCCTCCTCCCTCCAGCACCTCTTCTTCCACCCCTCCCCACCCCGCTTCCGCCACCTTCATCTGCCGATATCTACGATCCCACTGCTCCAACATCCCCTGCACACTCCGCAGCTCCCCCTCCCTCCTCTCCTTCCCACTCTCCTTATCATCCATCCCAGCAGCAACAGCAGCAGCAGCAGGAGCAGCAGCAGCAGCAGCCGCAGGGGCGGCAGCAGCAGCCGCAGCAGCAGCAGCAGCAGCAGCAGCAGCAGCAGCAGCAGCAGCCGCAGGGGCAGCAGCAGCAGGGGCAGCAACAACAGCAGCGGCACCAGCAGCAGCCGGGGCAGCAGCAGCAGCCGCAGCAGCAGCAGAACCAGGAGGGGCAGCAGCCGCAGCAGCAGCAGGGGTTCCAGCAGCACCAGCAGCAACAGCGGCGGAGGGCGATTGCCCGCTCCTCACCTTTCCTCCTCCCTCGCATGCACACCCGCTCTCTTGATCCCATCCTTGGCACTCCGCCACCTTCCTCCCTCAGCCAGCTCGAGGACTCCCATGAGGAGTTCGCCATGGTCCAGCGCCACACTCCCTCTCTTTCCACCCTCTACCCCGACCTCCTCGGCGCTCTACTCCTTAGCGCGATCTCCGCTCCCACCATCTTCGTCCCCACCACCTTCCAGGAAGCTATCACCTGCCCTGACGCTGACAAGTGGATAGCCGCTATCTTCCTGGAATGTGAGGCGTTCATCCGCAACGACTCCTTTATCGACGTTCCCCTTCCCCCTGACGCCAACCTTGTCGAGGGCAAGTGGATCTTTCGAGTCAAACAGCTGCCGGGAGAGGAACCAGTCTACAAAGCCCGCTATGTTGCTAAGGGGTTCACCCAGACCTGGGCTGAGGACTACTGGTTCACATTTGCCCCCACCCTCAGGCAAGCCACCCTACGCACCCTTATGGATATCGGTGCGCGGGACGACATGGAGATTGACTCCATGGACGTCTCCAACGCTTTCCTGCAAGGTGAACTGCACGAACGCATCTTTCTCCGCCGACCTCCCGGGTTCCATGCTACGTTCCCCGACAACACCGTCTGGCAGCTGAAGCGACCGGTCTACGGCCTGAAGCAGGCACCACGAGAATGGCATGCGAAGCTGTCTGCTACTCTCCAGTCCCTTGGCTTCTCCCCCTCCCACTCCGACGCCAGCCTCTTCATCCGCTCTTCCCCCAGTCGCTTCTTCATCTCGGTCTACGTCGATGACATGATCCTGCTCGCTGACACCAGGACTGACATGGATCAAGTGAAACGGTCTCTTCAGGAACGTCTCAAGTGCAAGGACCTTGGTCCCCTCCAGAACTACCTCGGCATGGCTATCACTCGTGATCGATCCGCCCGCACCATCACCCTCTCCCAGTCCCACTACATCGGCCAGGTCCTGGAAAAGTTCGAGATGGCACAAGCCAAACCAGTCTCCACACCCCTCCCCTTCGGTCACCAGCTTGCGCCACCCACCTCCCCCTCCACCTCCTCCCGGCCCTACGCCGAGCTTGTTGGGTCACTGATGTACGCAATGATGTGCACTCGTCCCGACCTCGCCTACCCTGTCAGCGTCCTTGCTCGATTCGTCGGCCCCGGCCGCCACACTGAGGAACACTGGACTGCCGCCAAGCGAGTCCTCCGCTATCTTCGTGGCACCAGGGACCACGCTCTCACACTGGGTGGATCTTCCCCCCCCCTTCTCTCTGGCTTCAGCGACTCCTCCTGGGCAGACTGCCAGCCAGACCGCCGCTCCTCCCAAGGCTATGGCTTCACCCTCGGCAGCGGCCTCATCAGCTGGCGCTCTACTCGCTCCTCCGCCATCGCCCTCTCCTCCTGTGAAGCTGAGCTCTATGCTGGCACCATGGCCGCGCAAGAGTCCCGCTGGCTCTGCTTCCTCCTAGCTGAGCTTGGTGTTCCCCAGCGCTGCCCCACCCTCTGGTGTGACAATGCCAGCACCATCCATCTCACCCAAGACCCCGTTTTTCACGGTCGCTCCAAGCACATTGAGCTCCGCTATTTCTTCATCCGTGAACTTGTCCAACAGAATCTCATCGCCGTTCGCAAGATCGCCGCTGAAGCCAACCTGGCAGATATCTTCACCAAAGCACTTCTTCGCCCTGCGCACTCTGCTCTTCTTCGCCTCATCGGCCTCGCTTCCCCGGGCGCGCCTTGATTCAGGGGTTGCTTCCCTCAAGCCTTTCCACATCTCTGCAGGTTAAGGGGTTGTGTTAGAATCTATCTTCTCTTGTAACCTGCATAGATGTTATAGGATAGGCTAGAGATAAGCACCCAAACTTAGTTTGGGTGTTCAAGCAGGGGTTACCCAATTTGTAGGTTGGAAACCCAACCTTGGTCCAATTATTGGACCCCAAAGGTTGGGTTGGGTAGAATTATTGGTTCACACCAATAATGTTGGCCCAACCCCAACTTGGCCAACATTATTGGACCCCACCAATAATCCCCCAACCCAACTTCATGGGTGGGGTCCAATAATGGTCACCTAGGCTAGGATCCAACCCATTCCCTATGTAAACCCCCAATCTCCTCAATTCAACAACAACTTCTCTTCCAACTTTTATTCTCACAAATGGTTCTCAGCATCGCTTCTGTTGCTTCCTTATACTTCAACCCGAAACCCAGAGTACTTAACCTTGCCGTTATCTCCCCTTGTGCTAGCGACTTTATGAATGCATGCACCAACCCAACGTTCTCTTCTTACGTTCTCTCAATGCCACCTGTTCACTCGTCTCTTCCCCTCGTCATGTTCGTCCGTCCCCCTTCGGCAGCTCTCCCGTCTGCACACTCTAGTGGACGAGGCAAACATCGCGTATGAGTTCAACCCTCCTTCACTCCCCACTCCACCACCTCTCCCCGGGCTCTTCTCTCCCCGTGTCTCTCCTGCAGCTCTCCCGTCTGCACACACTGGTGGACGAGGTGACAGAGGCATACATCGCGTATGAGTTCAGTGCCTCTCCACCCTCCATCTCCTCGTGCAATTCTCTCTCACCCCCCTCTCCTGCAGCTCTCCCGTCTGCACACTCTGGTGGACGAGGTGACAGAGGCGTACATCGCATATGAGTTCAACGCTGCAGGGCGGCGCATCTATGACTTTTTCTGGAGCGACTTCGCTGACTGGTACGGCCTAAAAAATGCCGACTTTGAGCCGCCCCAAAGCTACGGTTTAGATAGGATAGATTCTCTGTACTTAGCCTTGATTTTCGCTCCAATCTTATACTGCTTCTGTAGTCCTGCATAATGTCTGTTGGTTATGTTCTCTCCTCGTCATCCTTCCATTTCCTTCCATCCCTCTCCGTCCCATCAGGTACATTGAGGCCAGCAAGACCCGCCTCTACAGTGGCTTCCGCTCCTCCAGCAGCAGCAGCGGTGAAAGCAGCAGCGAGAGTGGGAACGAAGGGCAGGCGAAGGAGTCCCAAGGCGCACCAGCAGACGAGGCGCAGCAGCAGGCGCAGGCAGTGCTGGCATACGCGTTTGACTCCGTGCTGCGCCTGCTGCACCCCTTCATGCCCTTCGCCTCAGAGCAGCTCTGGCAGGCGCTGCCCCACCCACCTTCCCTGCCCTCGCTCATGCTCGCCCCCTGGCCCGCTTCTGGGCTTCCACGGGATGCTCAAGCACTGGAGGAATTCGATGATCTTCAAGCACTGGTGAGCAGAATCGAACCGCTTGAAACATGCTCTTTTGAGAAGATCCAAGAACGTGAGCAGTGCATGGAGACAACCCCTTCATGCCCTTCGCCTCCAAGCAGCTCTGGCAGGCGCTGCCGCACCCCCCCTCCCTGCCCTCCCTCATGCTCGCCTCCTGGCCCGCTGCCGGTTTGCCAAGGGACGCACAAGCACAGGAGGAATTTTATGACCTTCAAGCACTGGTGAGCAGAGGCGAGCACTTTTGAGAATTCTCAAAAGCGATGATGATGATGCTGCACTTTTGAGCAATGGTGAGCATAGGGCGAAGCTCTCAGTGGAACTTGTGAGAATTCTCGATTGTGACTCCCGAACCAGCTAAGAAAATATCTGCAGTGCAGTCACAGCTATCTTCTCGGATAGCTGTGTGATGTGCATTCAGCTCGGATGACCCTCAGATGTTCCACACCGTCCCATCTCCTCTCCTCCCCAACCCCAAACCCAATTCCAGTCTGAACCTCTCGCTGCACATGCAGGTGCGGGCCATTCGCAATGTGAGGGCAGAGTATTCACTGGAATCGGCTAAGAAGATAGCTGCAGGGCAATCACACCTACCCGTGTCCTTGCCCCCTTCCCCCCCACATGCAGGTGCGGGCCATTCGCAATGTGAGGGCAGAGTACTCAGTGGAACCTGCTAAGAAGATTGCTGCTACTGTCGTCGCTGCACCCACCCTCTCTCCCGCCATTCAGGTTCGTGCTTGGCGGCTTCATATCTCACCACGTTTGTTAGCCACGTCCATAACCTGTCTCCCCTCATTCATACTTGTTTTCAGTCGACTCAAAACCCGTCATCTCCCCCCTCATCATTCTAAGTGTATCCCCCACTGATTTTCCCTCCCCACTATGATGGTGTCTCCCCACCAATCACATTCGTTCCTGCCATGCCATGTGTGTGCGATCACTGTTCATGGCATGGCCAACAGGGTGAGAGGGACGTGCTTGCACTGCTGGCTCGAGTCGACCCTGCCTCTCTGCAAATTACATCAGCACAACCAGGTGAGTCGCTCTGCTGTCGCTGTGCTGCCCGTGCGATTGAAATCTGATGCATTACCTCTCACCCTCTCCTCATGCCCCCTCCTCATGCCCCCACCTAACCCCATGCCCGATCAGGCAGCAGCAGCAGCGTGCGTGCATGTGGTGGCAGCGGAGGGCCTAGAGGCATATCTGCCCATAGCGGAGATGGTGGACGTGAGCAAGGAGCTGCAGCGACTGGCAGGCAGGAGCTGCAGATGCTGGAAGAACCCCCGTTCCCCTTCCACCTGTCTAGTCAACCCCTCTGAATTCCGACCCGTCTCAAACCCCTCGCCGCCTCTCTCTCACCCCTCCCTCGTCCCTTGCCCTCTCACTCACCCCAACCCAGACGCGGCAGCAGCAGCAGCGTGCGTGCATGTGGTGGCAGCAGAGGGACTGGAGGCATATCTGCCCATAGCGGACATGGGGGACGTGAGCAAGGAGCTGCAGCTGCTGGAACAAGCGAGCCCTGTTCCCCTGCCAGCCGTCTAGCATACCCCTCTCAATTTCCCTGTCCCCTCTCAATCCCCATCCACATTCCCTTGCCTATTCAGATGCGGCTGCCGCATCAGCATGTGTGCATGTGGTGGCAGCAGAGGGACTGGAGGCATATCTGCCCATAGCGGACATGGTGGACGTGAGCAAGGAGCTGCAGCGCCTGGGCAAACAGCAGGCCAAGCTCACAGCCGACCTCAACTCCTGCCGCTCGCGCCTCTCCTCCAAAAAGGTGAGAAGAAATTCACTTCCTGACATATGTGCAAAGCGGTGGGCGTATTCACACAAGTGTTTCCTATAGGTAGCTGCAGCGCCTGGGCAAGCAGCAGCACGTGAAGCTCACTGCCGATCTCAACTCCTGCCGCTCCCGCCTCTCCTCCAAAATGGTGTGTCGCGAGCGCATGATGTCTGTATGTAAAGCAATGCGCCTGTTGGCATGTGTGCGGAGTGGTGGGCGTATTGATGCATATAACTCTTAGAAAAAATTGCGTCTCCTGGGCAAGCAACAAGCCAAGCTCACAGCTGATCTCACCTCCTGCCACTCCCGGCTCTCCTCCAAAGGTTCGTAATATACGTATGCATAAACCTGCTTTCCCTTCCCTTTTCCTCCCTCTCCCAAGACCATCCGTCCTTGCCTCTGTCGTTTTTACCCCAGCTTGCAAACAAACTCTTCCTCCTTTTTCTTCCCCCTCCCGAACCCATTGGACCTCGCTTCTTTTCTCCCCCAGTTTGTGGACAAGGCGCCAGCAGCAGTGGTGGATGGATTGATGGGCACACGACCCCCTTCTTCTCTCTCATACCCTCCCTCCCCTCCTTACCTTGCTTCTTCCCCCAGTTTGTGTACAAGGCGCCAGCAGCAGTGGTGGATGGATTGATGGGCACACGACCCCCTTCTTCTCTCTCATACCCTCCCTCCCCTCCTTACCTTGCTTCTTCCCCCAGTTTGTGGTCAAGGCGCCAGCAGCAGTGGTGGATGGATTGATGGGCACACGACCCCCTTCTTCTCTCTCATACCCTCCCTCCCCTCCTTACCTTGCTTCTTCCCCCAGTTTGTGTACAAGGCGCCAGCAGCAGTGGTGGATGGATTGATGGGCACACGACCCCCTTCTTCTCTCTCATACCCTCCCTCCCCTCCTTACCTTGCTTCTTCCCCCAGTTTGTGGTCAAGGCGCCAGCAGCAGTGGTGGATGGATTGATGGGCACACGACCCCCTTCTTCTCTCTCATACCCTCCCTCCCCTCCTTACCTTGCTTCTTCCCCCAGTTTGTGTACAAGGCGCCAGCAGCAGTGGTGGATGGATTGATGGGCACACGACCCCCTTCTTCTCTCTCATACCCTCCCTCCCCTCCTTACCTTGCTTCTTCCCCCAGTTTGTGGACAAGGCGCCAGCAGCAGTGGTGGAGGGAGGGATGGTGCACCCACCGCGCTCTCCCTTCCCTCAAACCTTCTCTCCCTCCCTTCCCATGCTCGCTACGACAGTTTGTGGACAAGGCGCCAGCAGCAGTGGTGGATGGAGTCAGGAAGCAGGCGGAGGAAGCGGAGGAGAAACTAGCTCTTGTTAACAGGCGCTTGGAGCAGCTGCAGGGCATGGCGGCCACCACTGCTGCCACCTCCGCGTGACTTATGAGCAGAGGAAAGGAAAGGGGGAGGGGGGCTCAGCAGGCGGAGGAGACAGAGGAGAAACTGGCTCTTGTTAAGAGGCGCTTGGAGCAGCAGGCATGGCTGCTACCACCACTGCGTGACTTTTTGTCATTTCTAGAAGTGGATGGAGGCAGAGCAGGCGGAGGAGAAACTAGCTCTGGTTAACAGGCTCTGATCAAGTTCCTCTGCTTCACGCCAGCTTGGGTTGACAGACAGCCTACTGAGTGATCTTGATTGGCTGTTCCCGGGTTGCTGCGAGCACGTTACCTTCCAGCTTTCTTGCGGCTACCGACTAAGCCTGTAGTGGATGTTTTGTCTGGTTCTGGAAATGCCAGGCAGTGAGTTATTTCTTTCCCTGGCGCATTGGTGGAACTGCAGGCACAAGGATTCACTGGTCGCACCATGTCAAAGCTTCCACTAAGAAACCAAACAACGTTTCCAGAATGACTTCGAATCCCCAGTTGCTGAATTGTGAGTTCAATGGCAGATGCTGTGGCAGCACCCACAGCAGCAGCCACCTGAGCATCAACTGCACAGAACCCCTTCTTCCTCCCTGCACATCTTCGTTGTCGCTTTCCGCTGCTTTTTTCAGGGCAGAACAACATTACGGGCAGATCTACTACTGACTAGCCCCTAATCCAACTGCACAGCAGCATCCACCTCAAAATCCACACCAGCCACTACCTGAGCATCCACCACACAGAACCCTTTCTCTCTGCACGTCTCCACCAGCCTCGCTCTCTGCTGCTCCCCCTCTGGGCAAAACGCCACCACGGCACCACCGCTGCCTGTGAACTTGGCTGCTGCCCCCACCGCTCGTGCTGCCTGCACCATGCTCAGGTTCACTTCTCCCAGCACCTCGTCTCCAAACATCTGCCTGAGAACGCACACAAGGGAGGAGGCATGGTTAAGTGTGAGCTTGCCCCCGGCCTGCCTGCACCATGCTCAGGTTCACTTCCTCTAGCACCTCGTCCCCAAACATCTGCCTGAGAACGCACACAAGGGAGGAGGCATGGTTAAGTGTGAGCTTGCCCCCGGCCTGCCTGCACCATGCTCAGGTTCACTTCCTCTAGCACCTCGTCCCCAAACATCTGCCAGAGAGAAATGCGAACGGGTGGAGGGAGGGATGGAGAAGTTGGGAGATGCCTCAGCAATGCCGCTGCCCTGTGAACTTAGCTGCTGCCCCCACTGCCCGCGCTACCTGCACCATGCTCAGATTCACCTCTCCCAGCACCTCGTCGCCAAACATCTGCCTGAAAAGACGCAAGAGGAGGAGGCATGGATGGGGCATGGGTGAAAATTGCCTGCTGCCCCCGTGGCCCATGCTACCTGCACCATGCTCAGATTCACCTGTCCCAGCACCTCGTCTCCAAACATTTGACTGAGAACGCACACAAGGGAGGAGGCATGGATGGGGTTAAGTGTGAGCTTGCCTGCTGCCCCACCGCCCGTGCTGCCTGCACCATGCTCAGATTCACCTGTCCCAACACCTCGTCTCCAAACATCTGCCTGAGAGGTGTGTTGAGGGGTGGAGGGAGAGAGAAGGGAGTTGTGAGGTGTCTCGGCAATGACACAACCAATGATATCTGCTGCCCACTGCCCATGCTGCCCCTGTACCATGCTCAGATTCACTTCCCCTAGTATCTGAGAGATATGAGAACGGATGGAGAGAGGGATGGAGAAGTTGTGAGATGTCTCAGCAATGCTGCTGCTTTGGAACTTAGCTGCTGCCCCCACGGCATGTGCTGCCTGCACCATGCTCAGGTTCACTTCTCCCCATCGTGTTTCTTCCTGCTTCACGTCGCCGTGCCCACCTGACACAAGCCCACCATACCTGCGCAGATCAGAGTTTCGTTCCATAAGAAGAGCAAGCTTCCCCGAACACAAAGGTCGAACCAGACACTCAGACCAGATACCTGCCTCTCAAATGAAACCGAGGCAATTCTCACCTGCGCAGGTCGAAGTTCCTGTCCATCAGCCGAGCAAACTTCCCCCAATCCCGTGCCACCAGCGCATCTCGCCCCTCCTCTGCCAGCGCTGCCACGTCAGCCATGGCCTGGCGCACCGCCACGTCACCCGCCTGCCACCTGGCGCGCACGGAGCTGTGCACGTTGCCTGAGTCGCTGGGATTGGCTGCGTAGATGATCTGCAGAGGAGGTAAGAGCGCCGGATCCATGGGCTGGTAGATGCCGTACCCGTGCTTGTCAAGGTGTTCACTTTCAAAATCCTGAGGGGTGAGGGGGAAGAGGAAGAGGACAGCGTGAGGAAAGGACAAGGATCAATATGAGATATATTCCAACCCTGTCCCCTCCCTGAGTTATTGCAAGCCGAGAACATGCGGGTAGAGGAATGGGAGAGGCGCATCTCATACAGCGTGAATCACGCCTGGTTCAAGTTCAAGAACTAACCATGAAGACCAGTCCACCATAGGTTTGGATGACCCGATCCTGCAGACCCGCGGCAATGCCGAGCCTGCTCTCAGCCTCGAGAATGAGGTTCGGGCGCACAGGTACGGGAACGGCGCGGTGGAGGTGGTAATGATGGAGTAGGCAGCTGAGGGCGGCTGCAATGATTGCACTGGATCCTGACAGGCCCACCTGATTGGTTGGTGAATCGAAAGATAGAGATTATGGGATAAGATGACGCGTGGATGGAAGGGAAGGGACAGATGGGTCATGGATACAACACATGCGATGGGGGTGGGGATGATGGTAATGATGGTACTGAAGGTGGTCGTGCAGATCGTTCATACACCTTACTGAAGCGGGGCTGAGACATCAAATTGTAATGGAGACGACGTGGTGAGGTGTGTTGTTGGTTACCCTACCTGGCGAGAAATGTAGGCGAACATCTAAGCAAGGTACGTAGGTAACCCTAAATGGCGAAGTGTGTTGGTAACCCTACCTGGCGAGGAATGTTGGTAACCCTACCTGGCGAGGAATGTTGGTGGAGTAGGAGAGAGTGAAGGCGGCGTGTTGTGGCAAGTCAACGCCGTGCTGCTGGCAGTAGTCGTGGACACACGCGCACAGCGACACTAAAAGACAAACGCCGCCATCCGCGTGCTCAAGCCGCTGCTTCTTGGATTTTTCCGCCTGTGCCGCCCCTAGAGTCAAGACACACGAAGAGGAGGGCAACACGTGATGGGGCGTGTCAGTAAAAGATAGTCGGCAAATATATAATAAGGACGAATGCGACAATCGCGACGATGGCGACAATTGCGACGTTCGTGATCGTCGCAACAATTGTAACCATCGCGATGATTGGACCCTTGAGAGCGCGATATGAAGGCGTTGAGCTACAGTGCACCGTGTCTGAACTAGTGGCAGCGAGCGCAACGAATGGATCGAACATTCCAAATCGACGCGCGCACCAGATCGCTAAGCGACGCGAATTCGACGATGTCATCGCTCGCACACGGCTTGACTCGGATGGTTCGCGAAGGCTGTAACGTGACTTCGGCGAAGAAGTTCGCGAGGGAGAACGAGAGAGTCTTGCCGTTGTAGCCGTCGCTTGGATTCCCCAACAGCCCCACGCGCGCATACGCCCGTCGTGTGATGCTGCGCGCCGAGTCAGAATCCGCTGTCGTGGAGATCGGATTTGAGCAATTCTTACTCTGGTCATCTCGTCCTTCCATCTGAGCGATTGTGGAATATTGGTTAACGCGGAAGTCACTAGTGTGACGGAGACTACGGAAGTATTGACGTAGAGTAGTGTGTTGTAAGGACTCTCGCGGAAGGAAACAGAATAATTGTGGCTAGTAGCGATGTGCGAAGAAGAATGGCTGGGGAGAGTGCCCCGCTTGTTGCTGCCAGGGGGTGATGTTGATAGTGCAGCTGGCTGCAGGAAATTCCCGCTGGACTTCGGCTACCCCAATCGTTTTCAGGTGACATCGAAGTGTCGAAGACAATCGTTCACGAGTCCACGTGTACAGTCTCGGCCCACAGCCCAGAACTTTTGCGTTCTTCACTGGGAAAATATAAACGAAATGTTGAGATAAGCAAGGTATACTTACCTGGGCGGGGTCAATCGGTGATCAAGAAGGCCGATGGCCTAGGGGCGGGCCCGCCATTGCACTTCGGCCGGCCCTGTCCCTAGCACGCCGGAACTCCCGGTGATGCACGTCATAATTTGTGGCAGAGGGGGCTCGCGTTCGCGCGGCCCCTACCAAAAGGAAGTTTGAAGTGGGATTTTTGCTGTGTGAAAAATGGAACCCCCAAATGAAACCTGAGTCGCGCGAATGGGTGGTCACATACGATCACCTTCGTTTGGAGCATTTTCCAATTTCCGCATGGTGTTAAAATGAACGCACAATCGCCATATTGGAAACAGGTGAAGTGAGCCAAAGTCAATGAGAAATTCTACAATTGCCGCACAACAACGAATCACTCTTTGTCGAGACATTGTTTCGCGCCCAAACTGTCACAGGCTGCGACTGTCAGGGCCAAGACCGTCCACCGCTTGACGAACCACACTTTACCACGAGTCGTGCACAGAATGTCAGTCGCGCGAAACAAACTGTTACACAAAACCCCTCGCCACACCCACTTCCACCTCGGATTATCATGACCACGACGTCTTCGTCAGCGTCGTCACGCCTCGCCAACATGTTCTTCTGTTGCGGGTGCCCAACCTGCCTTTTCCTGGTTGTGCTTTTCCAAATTTCTAGGGTTCACTGGGAGTTGCAGGTATTTTCGAGGTTGTTATCTACCAGCAGCAGCAGAACTGCTAGGCAATTCTTTATAGCTCCCGCCGACAGCCTTGAATTTACACGCAGCAGGATCCATAGATGCTTCGATTGTGCTCGATAAGGATACCGTTCACACCCTGCGGCTGTTACTCTCGCGAAAATAACGTGTCCGTGCGAGCTCTTCTCTCCGCGACAAACAGTTGTTTCCCTAGTTAGTTCGAAGGTTAACCCATGACGCTCGCTTCAGTGTTCGTTTCGCTAATTCCTCGTTCCAATTCGTTTCTTCGCGAACCGCTTAGGCAGCAGCTGAATTGCTTTTTCCCGACTTAGCTTCACCGGACGGCTGTAGAATCGTACGCCGTAGTATCTGAACTTGCCGATTGACGGTTCAGTTATGGAAATTCTTCCGCCGTCAACTACCCGTCAGCCGGCCATTCCGGGCCGGCCGGAGCAATCAGAGGAGTACGCATGGGTTCCAGGTCTAATCGACGCGGCGACGATCGAAAAGCTAGAGCGCGTGGGGATGGCATGGGGTCCCCTGACCGGCCTCCCATGGGGTGCTCCCATCCCTCTGCTTCTCCTCACAGCCTTCTGCACCACTCTGCACCGATACAACCCCAGGCGGAGGGATTTCCCGGTGGGAGTGTCGTTCGGGTGGTACATACTGCAGGCGGAAGACGCGGACGATGAGCCGCCACCAGCGGACGCGCACAAGGGCGGAAGAGGCGGAGGGGGAGGGGGAGGGGGAGGGGGAGGCGGCGGCCACCGCCAGTCGCTTTTCTCCGATAGTGACTACTCTGATTCAGAGTTCGCGTCGTCGCGCCAGGCCACGCGGCTGTCCGCTATTGGCGGCGGCGGCGCCGCCGGCGGAAGCGGAGCAGGAGGAGCTCCACCGGGAGGAGCGCTGGCAGCGGCGGCGCGCGCGGCATACCAGTCATCCGCAGGTCCGGGCGGGGGCGTGGGGGTAGGCAAAGGCGGAGCCATCCCGCAGGGAATGCGGCCAGGCGGACTCGCCACAGGTCTCCTCTCCACCATGGTTGGCGCAATGGCAGGGGGAGGGGCGAAACCCGTAGCAGCAGGCGCAGGCGCAGGCGCAGGCGCAGCGGGAGCGGGTTCCGCGAAGCCCGCGGGGGGCGGGCTGCTGCGGCTGTGGCAGGGGGGGAAGCTGTACGACGCGCCGCCGTCAGGGCAGGATCTTAGGGTTAGCTGGCGCGCCAACGGGCTGTTTCACGACACTATATCGGACGCGATGAGCTCTATAACGAGTTTTTCTGCCGTAGGAGAGGAGGACGAGGATCAGCTATTAGTAGTGAACGTGGAAATGGACAATCTGCCCGCGCGCGCCCCGCAGGCGGACAATCTCCTCCCCCCGTCCGCGCTTCCCCCGGCTGCTGCGCCCCCAGGCGCGGTTCCGCGCCAGGGCAGTCTGGGGGCGGCGGGGCTGCCGTCCATGGGGCTAGCGAAGCAGCACAGCCTCAGATCGGATCCGGGAACCGTTCCAGGGGCGGGCGGAGCGGGCGTATCCGGGGCAGGTGTTTCTGGGGGAGGTTTATCCGGGGCAGGTGCATCTGGAGCGGGGCGGTCTGACCGAGACGTGACGTTGCTTGAGATGTTGGCGCACGTGGGATCGCGGCTGTTTGAAGCGGTAGGAAGCGCGGAGGAAGGGGGAGGCGCATCTGGGGTAGGTCACAGCGGTGGGTTGGACAACCCGACGAGAGACCACAGCGGGAGTTTGGCCAGGTCGTTAGTTGGGGGGGCGGGGGAGGGGCGCAGTGTGAGGGCGGGGGGAAGGGGCGTATCAGGGGATGGAATGTCGGATGTGGATAGAGAGAGTGTGGGGCGGGGGACGGCTAGGTCAGCATCAACAGCAAGGAGCAGGGTGGCTGCTGCTAGTGCAGCTGCAGTGGCGAAAGGGTTTCCGGCGTTTTTCAAGTATTTCGCGTATGGGATTGACAGGCAGACGATTGAGGAGGAAGGGGAGGATATACCGTCGTGCGGGCTGGCAGGGTTGTTTGTCCCTGGGTCGAAGAAAAAAGCGGTGCTGATTCGGTGGAGGTACGATGTGTCTAAATACGATGAATCTACGGTTGCGAGGCTGAGCGCGAATTTTTGCTTTCTGGTGGAGCGGATTGCATCCCTGCCGTCGATCGAGGCGCTGCCGATTTATTACCTGCCCGTGCTGACCGACGCGGAGAGGGAGCAGCTAGAGGACAAATTTTCCAGGCGGCTGGTGCCGCACGCGTTTTGGCACGAGGAGGAAGAAGGGAGGAAGCTTCTGCTGGATGTGGGGGGGTATAGGGATGCGAGGGGGGTGGGGAGAGGCGGCAGGGATAAGCTTAGGGAGAAGGATCGGTTGAGGAGGAAGAAGAGGCAAGAGGAGGGGAAGGGAGAGGGTGGGGAAGGTGGGGGGGAGAGGGGCGGAGATGGGGTGATTGTTGGGACGGGTGATAATACTGAAGGGAGAGTAGTAGAGGGAGTAGCAGGAGCATTAAAAGCAGGCGCATTAGCAGCAGGAGCGGGAGCAGTAGGAGGAGGAGGGATTGCAACAGGTGATGCTGCTGCTACAGGTGCTGCCACTACAGGCGCTGCTGCTACTGCTCTTGCTGCGTCCCTCCCTCCCCCTCCTCCCTCCCCCGGCGCTGCCTCATCCGCAACCCAGTCTGTGGTAGGATCTAGCACCAGAGGGGGAGCGGGGGGGGCAGCAGGCGGAGCAAGGGCAGGCGGAGGCGGAGGGGGAGGGGCTGGGGGAGGTGCGGGGGGAGCAGGGGCAGCGGGCAGTGTGGTAACATCAGGATTTGACACGGTTACGGATTTGTCGGATGCGGCACCAGGTAGTGTGGGCAGGGGGGTGAGGAGCAGGGGCCGTGGGCTGAATGTGCGTGATCGCACCCTGGTGGATTTATTTGAAAGGCAAGTGAAAGTTAACCCTTCTGCCACGGCGCTGCTGCTGCTGCACCGTGGGAGAGGGCGCGGGGGCGCGAGCGGAGGGGGATCATGGGGTGGGGGAGCGGGTGGAGGGGGAGCATGGGCTGCAGGGAGCGGGAGCGGGAGCGGGAGCGGGAGCAGCAGGAGGAGGTGGGGTGGAAGGGACGAAGCTGGTGGTGAGAGAGGCGGTTTCTTACATGCAGCTGCACGCCCGTGCTCTGCTGATTGCAAAGTTTGTTGCCAAAAAGCTTCCTCGCCCTGCTCTCATCCCGGCGTCCCATCGCGGTAGCAGCCACAGCACCCCTGCCGCCACCCCCAAGGCCTCCTCCTCTGCTGCCGCTGCCGCTGCTGCTGCTGCTGCTACTGCTGCTGCTGCTGCTGCTGCTGCTGCTGCTGCTGCTGCTGCTGCTGCTGCTGCTGCTGCTGCTGCCAACGGCACGGGTGTTTCTGTTGGTTCCCCAACCGTTTCAGCAACGCCAGCAGCAGCAGGAGGAGGGGGAGGAGCAGGGGCAGGAGCAGGGGCGAACATAGCAGCAGCGGCAGCAGCAGCAGTGGGGGCAAGCCGGGCGAGACCTGAGGTGCAGCTAGTGGGGGTGTGTATGGAGAGAGGGGTGGATTGGGTAGCAGCTATTCTTGGCATCATGATGGCTGGGCGGGCGTACGTGCCTCTGGACCCCTCCCTGCCACGTGGCAAGCTGGAGGAGATTGTGGAGGAGTCCGGGATCATGCTCGTGCTGACGTCGCGCCACCTGGCGGACGCGCTGACGTGGATGACTCCTCGCTCGCCACATGGCGCGGCCGCCACGTCAGCGTCAAGTCCGCGAGCGGCCAATCAGGGAGGAGCAGAGGAGGTAGGTCAGGGGCAGGATCAGGATCAGGAGCAGGAGCAGCAGCAGCAGGAGCGGCGGCGGCGGCACCACCTTTTGAAGCACAAACGGGCTGGAAGCTCGGGAAGCACAGGGAAGGCGGAATCAAGAGGAGAATCAAGAGGAGAGTCAAGAGGAGAATTTGGTGTGAGTGAGAGTAGAACCGGGGACAGTAGAGGCGGGAACAGGCGGACTGGACTGGCAATTTTCTTTCCCAGCAGCAGCAGCTTGAATTCTGCTGCTGACAGTAACGTTTCAGGGGAGGGGCGGTTGGCGCGGGCGCTGCCTGTGTGGGCGGTGGAGGAGGTGATAGAAGGGGAGGTGGAGGAGGAGAGGGCGGAGCGAGCGTTGCTGGGGGACTGGGGTCCTGGAGATGAGGGGATGATGGGCAGAGAAGCAGGGGGAGGAGGGGGAGGGGGCGGGGTTGGTGCAGGGATGAGTGGGGGAGTGAGTGCGGGGGTGAGTGCGGGGGTGAGTGCAGGTGTGAGTGCAGGGAGTGCAGGAGGGAGTTCGGGGTTGGATGTGCTAGTGGGGTTGAGGCCAAGAGCGAGTGGCACGTGCTGTGTGGCGTATAGAGAGGATGAGCTGGGGCGAGTGCGAGGCGTGGTGTTACAGCATCAGGGCGTGGTCAACATGGTACACTGCTTCAGACACAGATTGCCTTCTGAACATGCTTCTGCTGCTGCCGCCGCTGCCGCCGCTGCTGCTGTTGCTGCCGCTGCTGCTGCTGCTGCGAATGCGAATCCTGCTTCTGCCACTGCTGCACCTGCCACTGCTGCGCCTGCCACTGCGGCTACAGGTGCCACAGCCGCTACAGCTGCTACTGCTACGGCGGCTGTAGCGGCTGCGACAGCAGCGGCGGCTGCTACAGCAGGAGCAGCCCCGCCTGTGGATGTGAGGGCGCAGATCTCCCCTGCGCATCAGCCCGCGCACCTCTTTGAGCTTTTCACTGCCTTTGATGTCGGCGCCGCTGCTGCCATCTGCCCTTCCCCTCTCGAACCGTTTTCTCCCAGTGCCACTTCTGCTTATAACGAATCTGCTTATAGCGGAGCAGGAGGAGCAGGAGCAGGAGCTCTTACTGCTGCTGCTGTTGGTGCTCATGAGTCTGCTATGGTGCACGCACAGGCCTGTGCAGAACTTTCCTCAGAAGCTTCCCTCCTGGGCGTCTCCGGGCTGCTCACGCTGCCAAGTGTCGCGATGTGGTTGGAGCCTCGGTCGCTCCCGAGCCTGCGCTGGGTGGCCTTCTCAGGCGAGCCCGTACCTCGAGCTCTGGTTTGGCGCTGGCTTCGGGCCGGACGTGTGGTGGTAGATATTTACGGGGCTGTGGAGTGCTCCCTAGCTGCCACGTGTGCAGTCTGGCGACCTGGCGACAGGGTGGCGGATACGATTGGCCGGCCACTCCCAGGTGTCCACGTGTACATTCTCGGGCCGAACCTCGAGCTCCTCCCGATTGGCGCGGGCGGCGAGGTGTGCATAGCAGGGATACACGTGGCGAGAGGGTATTGGAAGAGGCACGGGGAGACTCGGCAGAGGTTTGTAAGCAACCCGTACGGCATGGGAGTGCACGACAGGAAGCTGTTCCGAACCGGGGACCGAGGCAGGTGGTTACCAGACGGGTGCGTGCAGTTTCTGGGGAGGTTAGAGCAGCAGGTGTATATCCGAGGGCTGAGTGTGGAGCCGGTGCAAATAGAGGAAGCGGGGAGTAAGGTGGACGGGGTGGCCCGCTGTGTGGTGGCGTTCAGGGCGCATGACCCTGGTAGACAGCCGTATCTCGCTGCCTATCTGCTGTTGAAGCCGTCGCTTGCAGCGGCTGCTGCTGCTGTGGCGGCTGCAGGAGAGGCAGGGATGGGTGGAGGGGCTGGAGGGGAAGCAGGGGCGGGGGCAGGGACGGGGAAAGGGGCGGGGAAAGGCGGGGGGAAGGGGGTGCAGACTCCAGCTCAGCAGCTACTGGCGTCACAGCAGTTAGCAGCAGTGATTCCCAAGAAGGTCCGAGAGTATTTTAGATCCACCCTCCCTCCTCATGCCGTTCCCTCAGCCATCCATGTGATTCACCACCTCCCCTGGACCAAGACAGGCAAGGCCGATCGCTCCCAACTCCCTCTGCCACCCACGGATTCCTTTTTTGTCTCTTGTGACGAGGACGGGTCTGTGGGCGGCACGGGGTTGGGAGCGGGTGGTGGGGAACCGCTAGAGACGGCGGAGGAGCGGGCAGTTGCGGTGATTTTTGCCGAGGTGCTGCCCGGGGTTGAAGCGGGCAGGTTGCGGAGAAATTCGAATTTTTTTGAGCTGGGTGGGAACTTGTTTCTGGCAGCGCAGGTGGTTGCGAGGCTGGTTGATTCTATCGAGAGTTCTGTTAAGGAGGGCGGGAGCAACGGGGGGGATGGCAGCAGTGGTGCCACGTCAGCTGCTGCTGCCGCTGCTGCTGGTGGTGGTGGTAATGCTGGTAGGTTGCAAGGAAGGGGAGGTGGACGAGGGGAGGGGGGAGGGAAGGGGGGAAAGAGAGGGGGCAAAGGCAGCAGTGGGAGCGTGGGTGAAGCAGCAGAAGATGTAGTGGGAGGAGCAAGGGCGGAGTTTTACAGGGCAGGGTTGACGTTGAGAGACATGTTTAGTGCGCCCACTGTCATGGGCCTTGCTGCTGCCCTGCACCGCGCTGCCACTGCCGCTGCTGCCGCTGCTGTTGCCTCTGCTGCCGCTGCTGGTGCTGGCTCTGGTGGTGGTGGGGGCCTGGGATTGGATTTGGATGAAGGGTCGGAGGAGAGTGACGGAGAGGAGGAGGGGCAGGCAGGCCTGCGGGAGAGGCTGCTGCGCCTGGCGCCCTTCCCTTCACCCGCTGCTGCTGCTGCTGCTGCTCCTGGTTCTGGCAGTGCTGCGGCTGGTGGTGCAAATGAGGGGGATGGGGCGGGCGGAGTGGTGGGGGTGGCGCTGTCAGAGGCGCAGGTGCTGCTGTGGGTGGCGTACCATGCTCTGCCGCACCCTCAGCTGCTGGACGAGTGCCATGTGTGGCGCCTGCAGGTGAGAGAGAGCAGATGGGACCTGCAGGTGAGAGAGAGCAGATGGGACCTGCAGGTGAGAGAGAGCAGATGGGACCTGCAGGTGAGAGAGAGCAGATGGGACCTGCAGGTGAGAGAGAGCAAATGGGACCTGCAGGTGAGAGAGAGCAGATGGGACCTGCAGGTGAGAGAGAGCAGATGGGACCGGTTGATATTCAGTTGGCACTATGAAGGTACTGGTTTCTAACCAGCAGGTGCTGCTGTGGGTGGCGTACCATACTCTGCCGCACCCAAAGCTGCTGGATGTGTGCCATGTGGCGCTGCGGTCTTTTTCCTTAAAAAGCGCCTAAATTATGTGCCCTCGCCCAATTGCCGTCCTCCCATCCCTCCCTGGCCCATCACACAGGGCCCGGTCAATTTCCCTCGCCTGCAGCGGTCTCTGCAAGCACTGGTGATGCGCCATGCAGCGTTGCGCTCCCGCTTCGTTGTCTGGCACACCAGCAAGCGCAAGCCAAAGCCATCATTGCTTGAATTCGCCCACAAACTCCCCCCACCTCTCCCACATTTTTTTTTTTTCTGGCCCATCACACAGGGCCCGGTCAATTTCCCTCGCCTGCAGCGGTCTCTGCAAGCACTAGTGATGCGCCATGCAGCGCTGCGCTCCCGCTTCGTTGTCTGGCACACCAGCAAGCACAAGCCAAAGCCATCATTGCTTGAATTCGCCCACAAACTCCCCCCACCTCTCCCACATTTTTTTTTTTTCTGGCCCATCACACAGGGCCCGGTCAATTTCCCTCGCCTGCAGCGGTCTCTGCAAGCACTAGTGATGCGCCATGCAGCGCTGCGCTCCCGCTTCGTTGTCTGGCACACCAGCAAGCACAAGCCAAAGCCATCATTGCTTGAATTCGCCCACAAACTCCCCCCACCTCTCCCACATTTTTTTTTTCTGGCCCATCACACAGGGCCCGGTCAATTTCCCTCGCCTGCAGCGGTCTCTGCAAGCACTAGTGATGCGCCATGCAGCGCTGCGCTCCCGCTTCGTTGTCTGGCACACCAGCAAGCACAAGCAGCCCGGGCGTGGTGGCGGTGGTGGTGGCGGCGCCAGGGGCAGCAGCAGCAGCAGTAACAGCGGTTCGCTGCGGTTGAAAGCGGCTGTGATGGATGCTGCGATTAACTCTCTGAAGACTGAGCTTGCTTCTGTTGCTGCTGCTGGCGCTGCTGCTGGTGGTGCAATTGGAAACGCCAAGGGCAGGAGGCAAGCAGGGAGCCGCAGGAGCAGCAGCAGCAGCAGGAGGAGGAGCAGGAGGAGCAGGAGGAGCAGGAAGAGCAGGAGCAACAGGAGGAGGGGGAGGGAGTGTGGCAGCAGGTGGCGGGGAGAGCAGGGGAGGAGGAGGAGGAGGAGGAGGAGGAGGAGGAGGAGGAGGAGGAGGAGGAGGAGGAGGAGGAGGAGGGTTTGTCTATCGGGCTCTTGCAGGGCTGTTTGCCCCGAGTGTCTTTGCTCCCAGCTTCTGGAAGACAGCAGAGAGTGTTTTGGAGTGTGTAACTCAGATACACACGCACCCCACCCGCGGGCCTCCGTTTCGGCTCGCTCTGGTGGATATCTCGGGCGCCAAGTACTCCAAACGGAACAAGCTTATAGCGGGGATAATCGCGGAGGCGAGACGTCCGTTTTGCCTGAGGACGCCTGAGGAGGCGGCGGTTCAGCTGGTGATGGGGGGGAGTGGGGCGGGAGGGGGGAGTGGGGGTGACGTGGGGGGGATGGGAATGAGTGGGGCAGGAGGGATGGGCGCAGCAGAAGTTGGGCTGTTAGCAGGAAGAGGAGGGGGCAGCCGGAGCAGCAGCAGCAGCAGCAGCAGCAGCAGCAGCGGCGGCGGCGGCAGCAGCAGCTGGCAGTGGCAGCAAGGCCGCCGCTGCTGGCAGTGGCGGTGGCAGCAAGGCTGGAGAAACAGCAACAGCAGCGGCAGCAGGAGCGGCAGCAGGGGAAGGGGAGAGCTTGTTCCGAGCGACGCTGATTCGGCTGAGCGCCACGGAGCACTCTCTCGTGCTCGTGTGGAATCCCCTCATCTTCGACGGCGTGTCTTCCTCGCTTTTTTACTCCGACCTCCTCCAGGTGTGCAATCTTTGCACCTAGAAAGAAAATTTGGAAAAAAATTCAGACTTTTCTTATCCTGTGTCTCCTCTCACTTCCACCTTTTTCCAGAAAAAAAAAAGTGAATAATTATATTACAAATAAAAATAGTAATAGTAATAGTAATAATATTGATAATAATAAATTTTCCTCGTTTTCTCCGCTCTTTTCTGCTCCAACCTCCTCCAGGTTTACAAGGCGGGCGGCTCGGCGGCTGACCTCCCCGCAGTCGCCAGCTACGCGGATTTCGTCCTGTGGGAAAAGGACAACCTGGCATGTGCCGGGCATAGGGAGTGGGACCTGGGGTTCTGGAAGCAAGCAGTGGGTGTACCTCCCCCAAAACTACCTCCCCAGCTGCAACCCAAGGTAGACGAAAGCGGGAGCGAAGGAGGCGGAAGAACAGGCAGAGGAGGCCGAGCAGGAGCAGTAGCAGGAGCAGGAGGAGGAGCAGGAGGAGGAGGAGGAAAGGGAGGAGCAGCGGCGGCGGCGGCGGCAGCGGTGGCGGCGGGAGGGTTGGCGTTGGCGCTGCGGAAGGGGCATGTGGAGGTGCTGATTGCAGCGAGCACACGGAGGCGGCTTGAAACCTACGCCTTCCACCGCGGTGCCACCCTCTCCATGGCCCTCCAAACCGTTCTGCACGCCTTGCTACACCTCTGGACCCACCAGCACTCTGTCGCGATCGCCGTCCCGGTCGCTAGGAGACAAATCCTGCCGCTCCAGTCGGTAATCGGGCGGTTTTCGGATTTGATTCCGGTGGTGACGGATATGAGAAAGCATCTGAGCCCTCCGTTGGTGGTGGCTGGACGGCTGAGATCGTTTACATCTTCGATCAGCCGAGCGTCGTCGTGTGTGTCGTCCCGATGCGTGTCTCCTTCGACCTCCCGCCAGTATTCCATGCTTTCCCCTCGCCTCTCTGCTTCCACCCCTGCTGCTGCTGGGGTTGCTGGGGGTGCTGGCTTCGGTGGGCCAGGTTCGGGCTTCCGACCCTCCAGCCACGGAGGCCGGAGCTCAGGAAAGGGAGAGGGGGATAGGCCTGGTTCGGCAGCGGGGAGAGGATCAGGAGGGGGGATGGAGGGAGGTGGTGGGGGGTACTGCAGTAGTGGAGAGGAAAGGGAAGACGGGGCAGCTTCGACAGCGGAGAGAATAGGTGCTGCTGGTGGTGGCAGTGGTGCTGCTAGTTGCTTACGTCCTGGGATGCATGGGAGGAAGGGGGATGGACGGAGAGGGGGAGGAGGAGCTGGAGCCGGGGGAGGCGGAGGTGGGACGGGAGGGGGAGCGGGGCGGAAGCTGTGTCTGCCCAGTGAAGTGCATGCTATTGGGGATGCTGACTCGCCTCCCCTGCCCTCCCCTCGCTCCTCCCCTGCTCCTGCTGCTGTATCAACTGTGGCTGCTGGGATGGGTGTGACTGGTGCGCCTGCTAGCGCTGCTGCTGCTTTGAGGCTAATCGCGGCTGCTGATGCTGATGGGACGAAGCAGGGGCAGCAGGGGCAGGAGTTTGTTCAGGGGAGTGGCGGTGTGGGGGTCGGCACTGACGTGCTTTCTCTCGCTGCAGCTGCTGTTGCCACAGGGAAGGGGGGGAGGCGTGGGGAGGAGAATCGGGCTGGTGGGGGGAGTGGGGGGGTTGGGGGGAGTGGGTTGGTGCCAGGGAAGCAGGCTGGAGGGGTGAAGGGGAAAGGGGCGGAGGGGGGAGGAGGAGGGAAAGGGGGGGGAATGGGAGGAGGGAAGGGAGGGGGGGAGATGTGCAATGACCACAGGATGTCTGAGGGTGTGTCCTTTGAACAACTGCTATTCCAAGTAAGTAACTCAGTCCCTCCCTCTCTCAGGTACTCGATTTTGAGAATGTTATGAAAGCCACTCGTCCTTATGCTGCTTTCCTCCATTCTCCCTTCTTCACCCCCTCCCTCGCCCCCACCCACCAGGTCCGAGAGCACACGCTGCAGGCGCTGCAGCACCAGTCCATCTCCCTCCGTCTACTCGCCTCAGCACTGCATCCCACCGCACCCGACCCCTTCACCTCCCCCTTGGCCCTCGCATCCTTCGCCCTCACACACCCCGGAACCGACTCTCCCCCGAACCTACTCCCCCTAGAAGACTCCCTAGTAGGGGACCTAGATCTAGAAGCTTCTGCTGCTTCTGCTGCTGGTGGGTTTGGTGCCGCGAGTGCCGCTGGTGCCGGTGCTGCTTTTGCTGGTGGTGCTGCTGGTGGTTTTGGTGGTGGAATCGGTGGGGTGGGGGGTGGTGGGGCGGAGTTTGGAGGGAGTGTGGGTGGCGGCTGGTGGGGCGGTGAAGTGGCGCTGTTTCCCTTGGGATTGTCGCTGCGGCCGCTGAGAGACGGGCGGCTGGCTGGGCGGCTGACTTACCAGGTAATTTTTGGGGGTTATTTCGGGCGACACCCCATTGTTATTTGGGCTATTTGGAAATGCAGACGAATTCAATTGATGCAGGTGATTGAGTGCTGATGCTGCTGGATGATCCCTCAGTGAGGGTTTCGGTTTTAGGCGATTAGCTTGCTGAGAAGGGTGAATGACGGGCAGGGTGCATAGCGCTTTTGAGAATTCTCGAAACTGGTTTCCATATTGCTTGACATGAGCTCCTTTCTTTCCTTCCCCTCCTTTGCCCCCGTCCCCCTCCCCCTCCTCCTCCCCCTCTTTCTTCCCTCTTCCACCACCCGGCCTCCCTCCCAGGTGGATGCAGTGCCTAGAAACATTGCAGAGGTGCTGGCGAGGCAGATGGAGCGGCTAGCAGAGGCAGCAGTGGAGTCACCGCGGCCCCTGCTGCTGGATGAACCGACAGTCAGGGCGCTGATCCCCTCCCTGCCCTCGCTCCCACTTACCCACCCGTTCCTTCAGGTGGATGCAGTGCCTAGAAGAATCGCTGAGGTGCTAGCGAGGCAGGTAGAGCGACTGGCAGAGGCAGCAGTGGAGTCGCCGTGGCCCCTGCTGCTGGATGAACCGACAGTCAGGGCGCTCAAGCAGGCTAGGAGGCGAGTGGGGGTTGGGGATGGGGGGAAAGGGGGTGGTGGAGGGGGTGGGGGAGGGGGAATGGTGGGGCCGATAGGGTGCATGCCGCTGTGTATAGGGCGGGATAGACGGGTGTTGATGAGGCAAGGGTCGTCAGATTCGGATGAGTCTGATGTGAGCGTTTGAGAGGTGTGGTGCTTGAGGGGTGTGACTTGTGGGGTTGAGGTGGGGAGGGGATGGGTATGGTGGGATAGGCGGGTGTTGATGAGGCAAGGGTCGTCAGATTCGGATGAGTCTGATGTGAGCGTTTGAGAGGTGTGGTGCTTGAGGGGTGTGACTTGTGGGGTTGAGGTGGGGAGGGGATGGGTATGGTGGGATAGGCGGGTGTTGATGAGGCAAGGGTCGTCAGATTCGGATGAGTCTGATGTGAGCGTTTGAGAGGTGTGGTGCTTGAGGGGTGTGACTTGTGGGGTTGAGGCGGGGAGGGGATGGGTATGGTGGGATAGGCGGGTGTTAATGCGGCAAGGGTCGTCAGATTCGGATGAGTCTGATGTGAGCGTTTGAGGGGTGTGGTGTGTGGGTTGTTGCTTGGTTGTGGTGTGAGTATGGAGGAGGTTGGTGAGGGTTTTTCCGTTAATAGGGGTATTTTGTTGGAATAGGTGTGATGGGAGATGAGGGGAGGGAAGGCAAGGATTGGGAATGGATGGGATGGGATGGGATGGGATGGGATGGGATGGGATGGGATGGGATGGGATGGGATGGGATGGGATGGGATGGGATGGGATGGGATGGGATGGGATGGGATGGGATGGGATGGGATGGGATGGGATGGGTGCGGTGGGGCTGGGTGGGGTAAGGTGGGGTGGGGTGGGGTGGAGTGGGGTGGGGTAAAGAAGAGGGGGGGGGGATACAGCATGGTGGCAGGCAGTGTCACACAGTGACGAGGATACATCAACAGCTCTAAGGGCACCGCCAGTCGTGCAGTGCACACACTAACACACATTGCAGCAGAGCAGAGGTAACCAGTGGACTGCAGGGGCCAGCAGGGGTGCTCACACATGCAACGGGCTGGTCTGTTGTGCAATAAGGCGTCTGACAGCTACAGTACGATGTACTCATCCTGATTTGATTTAATTGCTGCTGACAAAGCAGAGCAGAATCTGTACAGCATTTCCTGATACCGGTATTCATAAGAACTTCAATAATTGCAATTTGCTTGTACACCTCTAATTAGTACAATGATAATAGGTAGTGGTTCCTTGTCATGTGGATCTATACCACATTTCAATCAGAGGCGTAGTTCCTTGTTTCAATAATTGCAATTTGCCTTGTTTCTTGGTCTTCACTTCACCATAAGCAGTAGTGCCTGTATGACCATAGTGCCAAAATACCCAAAAGCTTCCCAGCGAGCAGTTGATAAGGATATGTAGTGGGCTTGTCAGCTCAGTACATGATGAAACTTGGTCTCTTTCAATGCGGATGCTGTTTTCCACATTGTGTTATACGCATTTGATGCCCTTTTTCATTGTCTACTCAGATGGTAACTTCCACAGTGTGTAATATCCAAACAAAGTTTTTACTACAGTAAGTTACGCAGTGTTTCGGTACTGGGTAGACTGCTAACAGTGGCTGCTGGGAGCAGCAGCAGCACCAGGAAAACCAGCCAAAGCATTAACAAGAGAAGAACTCGAAGGCAGCAGTTCTTTTCGCAGCACGTGCAGTTTAAGTCTGGCCCGGCAAGGCTGGTAGTACTGGTCCTGCTGCTTGTGCCGCTGCCTGTGCTGCTGCTGATTCTCGTGGATGTGCCACTGCTGCTCCTGTCTCTCCTACTCCTGCTATTACTCCTAGTGATGATGCTGGTGCTGGTGCTGGTGCTGGTGCTGCTCCCAGTGCTTGTGCTGCTACTGTTGCTGCCATTGCTCCTGGTGTTGGTGCTGATGGCGCTGATGGTGGTGCTCCTGCTGCTGGTGCTACTGCTGGTGGTGGTGCTACGGGGGCAGATTGGTTGAACATCGTTCGTTGAGACAGTTGCAAAAAAGCAGCAGCTGCTGACGTGGCAGCCTGCAAAATTGGCCGAATATCCTGAGCTGACGCAGCAGCTCGAAGCAACGGGCTTAAATCCTGTGCTGACGTGGCAGCACGAAGCAATGGGCTTATATCCTGCGCTGATGTGGCCGCATATGATGACGGGCCTGACTCCTGCGCTGATGTGGCAGTTGCTGATTGGACAAGGTGTGACTTGTGACAGTGGCATTGGCAGCAGCATCCTGAGGAGGCGCCTGATTGGCCGGTGAGAGGTGGTGCTGGGTTTGGAGGGGGGTGGTGGGGTGATGAGTGGTGGAGGTGGCTGTGGTGAGGTTGGGCGGGAGGAGACTGAAGAAGGATTTGGGGGGGATGATTGGGAGGATAATGGGGAGAATCTTGCTGCTGCAGTTGCACACGAGATGTGTGCTGCTGCTGCAGTGGTTGCTGTTGCTGCTGTTGCTGTTGTTGCTGTTGCTGCTGTTGCTGCTGTTGCTGCTGATGCTGCTGCTGCTGCTGCTGCTGCTGCTGCTGCTGCTGCTGCTGCTGCTGCTGCTGCTGCTGCTGCTGGTGCTGCTGGTGGTGCTGCTGCTGCTGGTGCTGCTGCTGTTGCTGCTGCTGCTGTTGCTGCTGTTGCTGCTGTTGCTGCACACGAGGAATGTGCGGGTGCTGCTGGTGGAGCTGCTGCTGATATGCTATGGGTGGATGCTGCATGCTCCCTGCTGCTGATGAGGGTGGTGTGATTGCAGAGATCGGGCCTCTACCTGCTGCTGAAACCACCACTGGGAACGCAGATGCTGCTGGGAGTGGCACTAGGCCTGGTGTTGGCGCTGCTGGTGTCGATGCATATGGCGCTGCTGCTGCTGACAGTTGCTTTGTTTCTTCAGCTGCTGCCGATGCGGCTGCTGATACTGGTGTTGATGGCACTGCTGCTACTAGGCCTGTAGATGATGGCCCAGATCGCTGACGCGGTAGTGGAAACGAATTTGCTAGTAGTGAAGCCGCAATTAGGGGGTTTGATGGCACCTGTGGCCCTGGGGATGCTGCAGGGCTTGCTGCTGTCAAGTTGAAACCCGCAGGGGGGTGTGAATGAAACCCTGGTGGCCGTTTCACAGGTGCACGAGTGGCGTCAGGGAGATGTAACAGCAGTGAAGGGCTGGGGCACACAGATGCAGTGGGTGCTGGTGCTCCGTTACAAGGCGCTTCACTTGGAGAAGCTGCACTGGAAACTTGTATCCGGGTGATTTGTCCCTTGTTGGAACCACTTCTTGCAATGGTGACAGGCATATTAGTGCATGTAAAGCCCGGTGCAGAGCCTGCTACAGCACCTGCTACAGTGCCTGCTACAGCACCTGCTACAGTGCCTGCCACAGCACCTGCTACAGTGCCTGCTCCAGTGCCCGCTACAGTGCCTGCTGCAGTGCTTACTACAGTGTTAGGTGTAGTAGTAGCCTGTCGCCTATCCGAGGCTGAAAGGGGAGTAACGAGGCAGAGAGAGCTTGCAGGCGCTTCCTGATTGAGCATCCACTCAATCATATCCTCCTCTCCGCCCTTCTTCTCATTCTCCTCCCCTCCAATATTTCCCTCTCCCTCGCCCCTCCCACTCACCACCACTCCCCTCTCCCCCACGCCTGCAGTGTCTCCTTCCTCAATCGCAATAGCGGCTCTATTCGCTGTTACTGTACCCGCCGTTACTGTAGTTGCGGTTACTGTAGTTGCTGTTACTGTAGCGGAGTCCGAACCCCAACCGCCTGTGTAGCTGCCTCCCCCTTCCCCCATCCCCGAAAACGGTCCCCCAGTGCCTTCCCCTAGGGAACTCCAGAACATTTCGTCGTCTGCTCCCATCCAATCGTTGAAAACGTTTGGAGGGCAGCTTTGGTTGCTCCGGCGCCCACCTCGGGCAGCAAAAAGAAGGTCGATTTCCCCCAAGCCAATCATATCGCTCTGAGCTTCAACTTTAGCATCCTGGGCTGAGGGTTGCTCCTGCTGTGCTTGTTGTTGCCCCGGTTGATTCTGCTGCGCCGGCTGATTATGCTGCCCCAATTGCTGCTGCTGCCCCAGACGTATTTGCTGCTGTTGATGCTCCTGCTTTTTGTGTTTCAACCCTCCCTCCGTATCTTCCTCCCCCACTCGAAGCGCCTTCCCTCCCTCCCCCCCAGTCACCATCTTTCCGCCTGCATCCGCTTTCGAGTCCAAGCCGCTCGTCATAGGAACATCAGCTGAAACGTTCCCCCGTAACTCCGCCTCTTCCGCCGACACAACTCCGCCTGCTCCCATGCTTCCGTCGATGCCCCTGCCAGTCTCTTCCTCCGCGCTGCCGCCGCAACTAGCCCCCGCGCTTCCTCCTCCAACACTTACTTTCCTCCGCCGTGACCTCAAACCCCTGAACGGCCTGCATAGTTCCGACGTGGCACTCTGTAAGCTCGCCACGTGTTTCGCCGCGCCTTCCCTAATCAGCCTCATCGTCTCGATCCCGAGCGCGATCTGCAGCCGTCGATCGACTTTCCCGCCGTTTTTCGCCAAGACATCCGCGAATTGCGCCGCGTATTCGCGACTTCCTTCGAAGTTCACTCTCGCGCGTGATCCGCGAATCGCGAGCGCCGCCGCGTCGTACGCGAAAGCAGCTTCGTCCTCCGTGGAGTACGTCCCTAACCACACGCGCGCGCTCTTCGCAGAATCTCGAATCTCCGCCGCCCACTTTCCCCACGGGCGCTGGCGCACCCCGCGGTAGTGCAGATAGGGGGAAGCGGAAGCCAGGGAAAGTTCGGACGGCGAGGGGAGGGGGAGCGACGACGAGGATGGGAGGGAGAGCGGGGACGGAGGGGGGAGAGAGGAGGGAAGAGAGACGGAGGGGAGAGTGGAAGGGGGAAGGGAGAGTGGGGAGGAAGCGGAAAGTGGTCGGGGGGACGCGGAGGGGAGGTTGAGCGGGGATGGCGGAGGGAGGGAGAGCGGCGTGAAAGTCGCGGAGGAGGAAAGACCGACTCGAAAAGCAGTCCCCGTATGTTGTGGGGTGGATGGATCTGAAAATGATACGTGTCGTTCCGTAACAGGTTTCGCGTCGCCAGTGATAGGTTTTGAGCCAGAGAGGCCGCGGCTCGACTCCGCAACCGGCACCCTTTCCCCTAGGCTTGAACCGCCTTTGGCGCCGTGAACGACGCCGTCAACAGCGCTGCTAAAAGTTACGGCGTTATTGTCAACGTCCGCTGCTACATTCGGCGACTCGTCCGTTCTCCCCCTCGTTTGCATAACACCCTGCGACTCCCCTGCGACTTCGTGCGACCAGGCTGCCACGGCAGGAACGTAGATATCGGCGGACATGTTTTCAGAGGAATCTCTAACAGACGGGAGCGCGAATTCCGGATTACTTTCTGGTAACAACGCGGCCCCGCAGCCGCCAAACGCGTCGGTGCTAAACGGCAGCAGCTCGGTCAGCGGGTCAAGCGACTGCTGTCGCTCGCAGAGAATCGCATCCCCTTCGCGCTCGTCGCCCATCGCATCGCCCATTGCGTCGCTCATCACGTCGCCAAGAGTCGCCGCAGGCCGTTCGACGTCGCATCGCATCCATTCGGGAGAGACCATCGCACCGTCAAAAGGGCCTACTAAGCTGGTCGCACCATTACCAGTACCCCCAAGACCGTCGACGTCGGCGGGTGACGACAAAAACAGATCTGAAGCGGACAGCATTCCGTCGTTGGAATAAAACAATGGGCTTTCGTCGTCTTGAAACTCCATGACCGCTGGTCTTGGAGATTAAATATTATTAGAGTTTCGCGCCGATTGCTTTCTCGAGGTAACTCGACTACGACTACGGCCTCGGGAACATGCGGCGATCAGCTTCCCTTATGATTTGTCTGAAGCCACTCGCGCGTGTGCAGAGAGTCGCGTATGTCAGGTACATACGGAGGTCTACGATTGCTGTTTACGAGGTCTTGTAAGCCTTGTAGCACCTTCTGCTGTAAGCCTTACGAGGTCAATAAAGTAAGCGAGTAGCTGACACTGATTGACCAAAGCATCGGCGACACGGTCATAATGCGGGGTACAAATCGGAACTGAATCTCAAATTCCTGCGCATTGTCTGCACTTCCCTATGAGCGATGCGGCCACAGCAAGGCTTCTTGCTGATGGGCTAGTTGCAAGCACGGGAAGTTCAAGGCTAGCGTATGTTGTGGACCATGGAAACGCATGGCATGCGGCATCGGTCAGTGCTGCGGCGGAGAACCCATGTCTGTTCGGCGGATGCCACGCTGCAGGGAGACAGCAAGCCGATTCGCCCGTTTCGGCTAGAAAGGGCAGCCAAAGTGCGAACGCCTGTGACGTTGCGTGGAGTGGCATCACGGCGAGAGTGAGGTGAGGGGCAATTAGCGGGAATGACGGTATGTTGGAGGAGTTTGGTGGCGACGTGGTTAAAGGAAATACACCAGGAAGGTCCGTGGTTTCGGCAAGAATCAGCAGCAAACGAGCAACACAGACCAACACGAAGGGCAGAGCTGGAAGCCAGAGGGATTGTTGGGGAGCGACAGGTGGAGCTTTGCAGAAGAAACGAGAGAGTTTGATGCGGTCGTGCTGAATGGGCAACGAACAACAAGGCGCTGGGCTAGGTGACGAAGAAGTGTAGCTTTTGCACGCTAAAATCTCTTTACAGACAGACCACCACGGTCAGATGGAACTTTGTTGAACTGCAACTCGCAGGGGGAAGATTGGCTGGCTGGAAGCACACGGTGTAGCTACACGCGCCTCGTCATTTGATGACTTCGCTTGGCCGTGGCCGATTTCTATTGGACAAGTGCCCCAAAAATTCTTATGAACGCAACCTGTTGCGGCTGGGCTGGGATATTGTTGTAACTGGAGGATATTCGCGAAAATAGAGCAGGTTTTGGGTACTCCCTCAGGGTGCGTTCCTGGCTAGTGTCAAGCTTCCGGTCATCCGCGGATGACCGGAAGTTGGACCCACTTTGGGCCATCCGAGACCAACTTCGGGTCTTCTGGCCCAAAATTGCCCCTGTTTCCAGAAGACCTGAAGTTTGAGAGCAATTTTGACCCGAAGCTTCGGGCCTCCCGGGAAGGCCTGAAGCTTGACACGCGCCAGGAACGCACCCTCACCACGTTTTCGTGTGTATAAATTTCGCGAAAAAAAAGTTGTTCAGCTGCAGCTTCAGGGGTGAACGTTCGATCGTCAGTTCGCCACGTTCACTGCGCTGCACAGACAAGGCGTCGTGGCCGTCAGAACAGAAATCGAAGTGAATGTCGGTGATGGCGGCTCCAACTGGTGAGGTGATAAGCGAAAGGGCTCCGTTTACTCCTGCTGTTCGCAAGTTCTCCGCGAGGTCGCTCGCGATGTGTGTGCGAAGCAAAATCCACGCTGATCCATGTGTGGGCGATCGCCCAAACTACCTTGCTGTAAACTGACTCGTTCTTATACCAGTTACATGACGGCACGAGTATAAGCAACACCATAGCTGTTACAGGTTGTAGGAGACGTGAGCGGAAAACTGTACTATTGAAGTTGTGTTTTCTTTTTTCCCATACGAATGAGAGAATAAACCTGGCAGAAGAAACCTGGCTACTTGGGGACCTCGTTCGTTGATGATGGAGACGGGTTTGGGCACGTGATGGTAGAAGGCGTGAAAGCCTCGAAATGCAAGGTTCAAGCCTGCCATTAAAAAAGATTGGGTTGTAGACGCTGTATACCGAACAAGAATCCCGTAAATATATATTTTTTAATGCTATCAGAATCATATGGTCATCAAGGCGTCCAAAACATGCATTGGTGAGGGCTGGAGAGCGGCCTTGAGGAAGACATGGTGCTATGGAATAACGAAATAACAAGATTACAGGCTTCGAAATTGTCTGGATCGTATAACGAGGATGTGGCAATGTGTTTCTTTTGGATTCCACTTCCTAACACGGCAGTACATAGGATCTTGTGAGGTGAGCTAGAACCGACTTCACCAATTTCAAGGTCACAGGCTCCAGTCCCTTGAGATTTTCCACTGCCGTGCATCGCTAGATGATTCGCATGCCAGCATTCCCGCCATCTTCTTTCTCGTTGATTTCGCCGACGTTTGAGCCGAATTAGAAGCATTTTTAACGCATCCACTCTCCAGTCTAGTCTAGTTCCGCGTCGTGCGGTCCATGGCTGCTGCGACAGACCCTGCGGTATTCACGAAGCTCGCGGAAGATAAGGCGTCGGAAACGAATGGTCTCGGAAGCTCAGCCGGGAATGGCGGGACATCGGACATGCCAGCCGTCAGCTCAGGAGATGTAGTCACAGGAGGATCGTCGGATCCCATTCCCGCTGCTTCTAACGAACTGTACGACTCTTTCTAACGAAGCGTATGCGAGAGGATCCGCGAGCTAGGCGTACGACTTGATGTTAGAATCAGTTACTCTTCTTGCCTAGAGTATCCTTCCGCAGCTTAATGTTGTGATGTCAAGGCAACATGCAGCCCCATTGGCTAACTTCCGCTGCCCATTTTGACGATTTGATCCGCCACAGGATCTCTCGAGCTCTCACTTGGCGTTTGATCCTTTTAATCCGTCACCTATTCACCCGCACATCTTTTGCGTTACTGGCTCCTTCTGCAGAAGCACAGGAGACGCGGTGCCGGCAGCGGCAGGCGCGGAGACGATGACTGCTGCGACGGAAGTAGCAGGAGCAGCAGGAGCAGACGGGGGTGGAGCGGGAGGCGGAACGGAAGGAGACAGCCGGCCGGCAGGGGAATCTAATCCGGATAAGAACGGCGATTCGACTGGCGGAGCCAATCAGGCGGAGGAGGAGACTCCGCGCGGGGATGGCGGCGAGGGGACGGGGGGCGGGGGGCACACAATGATCGGCGGGAGCATCGTGGGGGACGTGCTTTACAGCATCGCGACGGGCGAGGAGGAAGGGCGCTCGCGCGCTCGCATCCTCGCGTTCGCCGCCAAACGGTGCGCCGGGAGAGCGGGAGAAGGGGGTGAGAATGAAGAAAAGAGAGGGATAAAGTGGGGTGAGAGAGTGGGGCGCTAATTCTTGCGCGGAGAAGCGGGAGTGGGTAGAGAAGGAGGGAGGGCGAGGGAGAGGGAGCAACGGGTGGGGGAGGGCACACGATGATCGGTGGGAGCATCGTGGGGGACGTGCTTTACAGCATCGCGACGGGCGAGGAGGAAGGCTGCTCGCGCGCTCGCATCCTCGCGTTTGCTGCCAAACGGTGCGCGGAAGCGGCGGTTGCGGGAGAGAAGGGGGGTGAGAGAGAGGGGGATGAAAGGGGGGTGAGTAGAGATCAAACAGGTATCTTACAGCGGTCGAGCGCAACCCACGGGACTATTACGCGCTCTACAACTGGGCGCTGGTGCTGCAGGAGAGTGCGGATAACAGCGGACCCGAGGCGGGGTACAACCACATGGCACACACACACCAACATATCACACTCTCGCCCCGCCCCTCCCCTCCACAGATACCAAACGGCTGTCGAGCGCAACCCACGTGATTACGATGCTCTCTACAACTGGGCGCTGGTGCTGCAGGAGAGTGCGGACCACAGGCATCCATGTCACTCTCCCACATGCCCAACGCGCTCATTTCTCCCTTCCCCCCCCCCCCCACACACAGCTACCAAACAGCGGTTGAGCGCAACCCACGGGACTACGACGCGCTTTACAACTGGGCGCTGGTGCTGCAGGAGAGTGCGGATAACAGCGGGCCCGAGGCAGGGCTGAGGGGAGTGGACCAAAGAATCACACACACATGTCATGTCACTTTCCCATCCGCCACACACCCGTCCACAGGTACCAAACGGCAGTGGAGCGCAACCCACGGGACTATGACGCGCTCTACAACTGGGCGCTGGTGCTGCAGGAGAGTGCGGACAACAGCGGGCCCGAGGCAGGGCTGCAGGGAAAAGACGCTCTGCTGGAAGAGGCATGCCGCAAGTACCAGGCCGCCAGTGTGCTGTGTGGCACGCTGCATGAGGTGAGGGGGGCTGTCTTGAGGGAAGGCATTCAGAGGGCTAATGGGTGGAACGGGGCTGCAGGGAAAAGACGCTCTGCTGGCAGAGGCTTGCCGCAAGTACCAGGCCGCCAGTGTTCTGTGTGGCACGCTGCATGAGGTGAGAGGGGGGGAGGGGTGGGAGGAACAGAGGGATAAAGACAGCAGAGGGCTGTAGGGCGTGAGGGGGACGCTCTGCTGGAGGAGGCATGCCGCAAGTACCAGGCCGCCAGTGTGCTGTGTGGCACGCTGCATGAGGAGAGGGGGGCTGCATGAGGTGAGGAGCGAGAGACAGAAGGCTGAAGGAGTGCACCAGGGCATGTGAGGGGTTCCATCTCCGTCAGAGCATCGTCCTATTCTTCTCACTCCCCTTTTTTACCCCCCTTTCCTCCTTCCTCCCTTGCCCTTTTTATTCAAATCCTACCAGGCGTTTTACAACTGGGCCATTGCCATTTCCGACCGAGCCAAGATCCGAGGCAGGACTGCCGAAGCTGAGGAGCTCTGGAAGGAGGTACGGCGAGGAGGCATGGTAGCAGGTGGGGTGAGGGGGCATGGGAAGCAGGTGGGGTGAGGGGGCATGGTAGCAGGTGGGGTGAGGGGGCATGGTAGCAGGTGGGGTGAGGGGGCATGGTAGCAGGTGGGGTGAGGCGGCATGGTAGCAGGTGGGGTGAGGCGGCAGGGAGGGAAGGACTGGGAGGACGAGAGTTTGAGCCTTGAGTCAGGGTGTGCAGGGTGAGGAGGCTTGAGAAGCATAGAGAGAACGAGGGTG